TCCGAGCGGTGAGGGGACGCTAAGTGACTGTTAGGTGGCTGCTACAAACCCGGTGCACACGTTCGAGACCCGGTATGGGCCCGGTATGGAAACGGCCAAAATTTTCAACAAAAGTCAATCTGGGCGGTGAAGACGGTAGAAGCACGTTCAACACCCGGTATGCACCCGGTGAGAACGATCAGAAGATGGCAACGAAACGGTAAAAAGATTAATTTTATGATTTTTTTTTTGCGGCCGGGGACAAGTTCGCTCAAAACCCAACGTTCTGGACTCTGTTGTTTTTTTAATAGCCCGGCAGGTGGACGGTAGGCCTACACGGCAGAGTGTGAGAGCTCCATTAAACTTCAGCAGCGACCGATCGATGCCCTAAAAACAAGCAGTGCCCGGGCGGCCGCCGCTCGGTGCCTGGGCGAAATTGGCTCAAAACTCGCCGCCTGGCCGCCGAGCAGGCTACTTTTAGGTGATGTGACCATAGCTTTATGTAACCCCCTAATAGAGTTTCTGTAATAATAGATGAAAGGAACTATCTTCCTCCGTAGGTGTGATAACTTCAGGCAAAAGAACAATTGAAGTGAAAAGAATTTTCAGGATAAGAAGAACATAAATATTTAACAGAACATCTTGAAAAAAGTTTCACGTTGGTTATTAAATTCAAACATGGAGGCTTAAAAAGTTTGTTTCTTTTTCCAGCAGCATTTAAATATTCTGACAAAAAATATTTTGAACAATTATATGTAGCGTCTAACGTTAAGGCGGGAGGGACTTACACAAATTTTTTACGTCAGACTCCCCTGTATCTTCAAAACACCATGTTTGCATATGTGCGTGTGCTTGTCTGTGTTATGGTTCTCGAAGTGAGTACAAAATGAACAGCGAAGTTTTTAAATGAATTACTGGCGAATTCAATAATTGCCGTCAATATTACATCAAAACGAAGGAAGACAGTCATACACACATGCATCCCCACATCTCCCCACCTTCCAAAAGTCACGTACATACAAAATAAATTCTTTTCATTATGACCAATGCCCCTGCTTTATCAATACCAGGTAATAAGTTCTTTCATATATAAGGCAGCTTTTGTTTGTTGTTGTGTTAATTTTCATGTCGCAATTATATTAATACTCTACGTCTTTTCGTTCTTTGTTCTCGCTTTCAGTATAAATACCCCTCACCATGTTTTCTTATTCCTATCCTCTCTTCTCTATGAAAATGGGGGGGGGGGGAAGATAACCTAAACAGCCAAAAGAGGAAATGCTATATTGAGATGCCAGAGATAGATAGAGACATGACAGTAGTCTTTACCTTTTATTTCAGACCTCCTGTCACAAGTGACCCTGGACAGCATAACATCAGACACGGCGACATTGTCTTACACCGCTATACCAGGTGCTTTTTCCTACACAATTACATATTCTGATGGCACGACTACGAACACTGCCCAGTCTTTTACAACTTCGGCCGTTATCCCAAATCTTAACCCTGGCACCGTATATCAATTCTCGGTGAGGAGTTCATCCATCAACGGCCAGCGGGATGTCGGTTCTGTATCTGGAACAACAGGTATATTGTTATTTTTCTATCATCGAGTTCTTTCTTTTCTTTGTTTCCTTTGTTAGAAATGTTGCTTTGGTACTATGTGTGCCGGATAAACAAACACAATATAGAATGCTTTGTGATCTAGTTTCTAAATAAAGTTATTAAGATCAGGTGAAAGTGTTTTGGCTATGTGTTTTATTAGATTGTTCATATTAGGCAAGAGTTGGATATAAATCCAGAAAACAAATAATCTGAATCCAAAGAAAACTGAGTGAATTTATAGAAATGTTTTAAAGAATTAAGTTGATTTTTATACCTGATTTTGGAGAATATATTCAAAATTTGGCAGGAAAGATGTAAAATGTTTTAGAACAAATCCCATTCACATATGATATCTGTGTGGATTGCATTTGTCCTTCGATATGACTGATTCAGTTTCTTCTCATTTGGATGATTCCGAAACTTCAAAGAGTACATTAATGCTAAGTTGATACGTTATCAACTGTTGTCTAATGCTTCCATGCAGTTTCTTCCGCGTTGCAATCACGTGATAAATACTGAACATACCTTTGAATTTGCTGTCATATATAGATGCACTTCAGACAGAGGTACGTGTGGATTCGGTCACCGAAAACACGGCAGTCATCTCGTGGACACCTGTTCCTGGCAGCGTCATTTATCAGATATTCTACACTGGACCAGATGGAGTAGAACGGTCGGTATCCTCAATAGACCCTACAACCACACTTACCGGACTTACTGCTGGAACTCAGTATGCCATCAGAGTGCGGTCAACTTCTAACACCGGACAACAATTAGAAGTGGGCACTACTACAACTACTACAGGTATATGAATGGTTTGGGGTGGGGTGGTATAACCCTAGGATTTATAGTTTTTAAGAATACAATTTTAAATATGTCGTGGCCGAGTGGTTCAAGGCGCTTGACTGGAGATGCGAAGGTCGAAGGTTTGAGTTCCGACGAGAAACATACATGTACAACTGGCTATTTGTGTAATATGTGGTGAGAACAAGATTTAAGTTTGATAAATGTATTAATTTTATATTTCATATCGTACTTAATGAAACTTAGGTTGTTTTTTTTTCTTTGGCAAAATTTTGATTTAGAACTGGGATTTTTTTTAAATGCTAAATTAGCCACTGGTTTCTATGGCTACCCCAATAGCTGGTTACTACCCAGAAACACAGTCTATAAAAGTATACTTATTATTTTCATATATTGCAATATTTTAGCATTCAAATGACACCCTATATGTTTCATTTAGTCAAGTAAGAGATTTTGAGCTAAAGGTTTACGTATTTTTGGAATTGTCCGGTAAATTGTTTTGTGCAACTTAACCATGGAATCCCTTTTTAAGGAATATTCAGGATGCTTCTTTGCCATCCTCCTTGATACTAAAACTGATTTATCTTGTTATTGCAAGTAGCATTTTCCTGTTAATTTTCATCCATTGTATTATTTCTGCCTCAGATCTACAGACAAATGTCAATGTCGATAGTGTATCAACAACATCGGCAACATTATCATGGACGCCTATTCCTGGAAGCTTTTTCTACCGGGTATTCTACACTGGGCCGGATGGGGTAGAAGTGCAGGGGAATCCCACTACCGACCCCACAACAACCATCACAGGTCTTACTCCTGGAACTACGTATACCTTCCGCGTGGAATCAACTGATGGGGCGGGACAAAGAGTACTGGGCAATGTACCAGCCACTACAGGTATTTAATGTTTGCAAAATGTCAACTTGTGCAGAATAGGAAGAGAAAATAATGAGACAAATAAATCTATTGAATTATTAAACAAGACTTTCCAACTATTAAATAAAATAAAAATGAAATATACATGCCAGAAGTGAGAAAAGAAAGTGATACCGTTCCACAAAAGAATATTGTATCTATTTGCATTACATCGCCAATGTATTGTAAAATATTTATCATAATTGATTCGTGATGTCAGTGTTCTGGGTTTGAAAACAAGTAGAAAATGTGGCAAACCAGCACCTGTGTATTAGATAAGTTTTGTTTTCTTCATATTTGTATGTAAATATATATATATATATATATATATATATATATATATATATATTTTGAATAAGGCAGACTAATGGAACATGGTTGCAACTCCGAGTTTCACGCCTTGTGAGCGATCATCAGGTAACTGGTAGCATTCTTAAAAGTACATGATTACTCTACCACCTGGGTGCAAATACGTTCAAAATAAGACTTAGCTAATACAATATAAAACAATAACATTTACTCATGGGTAAAGGGGCCATTGTAATTGCTCAGGTACTGCGATGGAATTTTAAACATGGGAGGGGGTATCGCAAAATAGTCTCCACCTAGGTGCTAGTACATAAATATTTAATTAATTATTTAAGTTTAGTCTCTTTTGAAGTTGCAGAGGTAGAATTTGTTTTCATGGCGGCATTTGGAGATGAGTTCTGGTCTTTTGTTCAGGAGTGTCTGTTTCTCGTCGGTGATGATGGCAAGCTTCTCAGTTAGGCACAGGTTGCATTTCTTCGTTTCGCTGGAGTACGCCTAGGTCTTGCTGGAGATCGACCACTCGATGACGAATGGGGTGCTTTGGTATTTGAGTTGCCAAATGTGTTTGGAGAGTTCTGTGCTGTTTTTGTGCTTCTCATGTCGGAAGGACTGTAGATGGTTGCCGTACCTCAGCATGAAGGGGGGCTCGGTTAGTCCAATATATTGCGTAGGGCTTTCTGGGCCGGATACTTTGGCACTGTAGATGATACTGCCGGCCTGGCAGTTTCCTTGTAGGGGGCACACATTCTTTTTTCGGCAGTTGCGGGTTTTCGGCTTGGTTTGGTCGTCCGTGGATGAATCTGCTCGCTGTGCGCCTTTATGATGCTGGTGACATTCGGCATGCAGCTGTAGCTGACTTTGAGCGTGTTTCTGTTGAATATCTTGTTGAATTTTGATTTCTTTGGGAAGTGCTTATCAACAAGCCTCAGGAACAATATGCCGATGTTGGTTGCGACGTTTTTGCTGAATGGAGGGTTGAACCAGATGATGTTTCGTTTCCGGTTTTGCTTTCTCCTTGTCGGGCGCTCCTTCGTGAAGGTGAGGGTTTCAGCAAATTCACTGGCTTTTATGGCATCGTTGTAGTCAGGGGAAGCTTCGTTGAAAGTCTCTTCATCGCATGAGATGTCTGCTATTCGGCGGGTTATCGATGCTGGGAGGTTCTGGATGATGGATATATATTTTGCTCTGCCTATAGGCATTGAGCACTGTACGGATGAATAGACCAAAATCTAAGTATATATATATATATATATAAATGTATTCTGAAACTTATCACTAATTCTTAGGTGCTGCATAATAAACTGTTTCCAGATGCTTCCAGGCAGTTTCTTCCACGATACATTCGCATGACAAATACTCAACAATACATTTGAATTTGCTGTAACATATAGATGCTCTTCAGCAGACTGTGGTACGTGTGGATTCGGTCACCGAAAACACGGCAGTCATCTCGTGGACACCTGTTCCTGGCAGCATTCTGTATCGGATTTTTTACACTGGACCAGATGGAGTAGAACAGGTGGTTACATCAACAGACCCTACAGCCACCCTTACCGGACTTACTCCTGCATCTCAGTATGACATCAGAGTGCAGTCAATTTCTAGCACTGGACAATTAGACGTGGGCACTACTACAACTACTACAGGTATATGAAAGGTTTGGGGTGGGGTGGTATAACCCTAGGATTTATAGTTTATAAAAGAATAAACAGGTATATATGTCGTGGCCGAGTGGTCTAAGGCGCTTGACTGGAAATGCGAAGGTCGACGGTTCAAATCCCGACACGGAAAATACATGTACAACTGGCTATTTTTGTAATTTGTTGTGAGAAGCAGATTTGTTTTTTGATAAATTTCATATTTTATATCATACTTACTGAAAACTTAGTTCTTCATTTTTTGTTTGGCCTGCAAATGGGACATAGTACCTGAGGAAAGAGATTGGACGTACATGTCTAACTGTCTATTTTTATAATTTGTGGTGAGAGGACTATTGATGGTTTGATAAATTGATTATTTACATTGTCTATATCTTACTTAATGACAACTTCAACAATATAACATCTAATTCATTGTAATTTGTTCCTACATGCAATTACCCCGTAATTTTTTTGTGCAACGTAATTTGACAAATTATTTTTACATTTAGGATGATCCTTTGGGAACTGACCAGGGTTCCAAGATAAACTGAGCTATTTTAACTAAATATTTCCTTTGGCAAAAGTTTCAATTCAATTCAATTCAAACTTTCTAAAAAAAAAATCATACTGTTCAGTTTCATAAACTACAATGTTTTAGTTGTCAAATGAAACCATTTCTGTTGCATTCAGTCCATTCCGAATATTTTACCTAAAGGTTTACGTATTTATGGAATTGCCAGGTACATTATTGTGTGCAACTTAACCATAGAATAAATTTTACGAAATATTAAGTATGCTTCTTTGCCATTCTCCTTTATACTAAAATTGATTTTCTGGTTTGTTTAAAGTAAAATTTTCCTATCAACTTTCATCCATGGAATAATTTCTGCCGCAGATCTACAGGCACAAATCAATGTTGATGGTGTATCAGAAACATCGGCAACATTATCATGGACGCCTATTCCTGGAAGCTTTTTCTACAGGGTATTCTACACTGGGCCGGATGGGGTAGAAGTGCAGGGGAATCCCACTACCGATCCCACAACAACCATTACAGGTCTTACTCCTGGAACTACTTATAACTTTCGCGTGGAATCAACTGATGCAGCGGGACAAAGAGTATTGGGCAATGTACCAGCCACTACAGGTATGTAATGTGTGAAAGGTTTGAACTCATGCAGAGCAGAAAGAGAAAATATTGAGAAACATGAATCATTTGAATTAATTAACAAGAAATGCCAACTATTTAATGAAATTAAAATGCAATATACATGTAAAGGAAAGAAAAGAAGGTAACACCTAACATAAGAATAGTGTGGATATATACATCGCCAATGAATTGAATAATATTAATCATAATTGATTCGTAATGTCAGTTTTTGGGGTTTGAAAATAAGAAGAAAATGACGGCAAACCAGCACCTGTGTAAAATAAGTTGCTATTATACATAAATGGATAGCTTTCTTTATATGAAAAAAATGTATGTTTAAATTTAATTCAATATTTATAAATCAATACATAAATGTAGGTCCTGATTTTTCGATCGTTATTTGATTAATAAGGGATCTGTCACAAGCTTTGATGAAAAAGTAACAACTCATAATGGGAATATATTAATAATTTTAAAGAATATTTTATATAGATCATTAAATTCAAAGCATTAAGGCTTGGAAAGGTTTATTACATTTTTTCCTTTCCAACAGGATTTAAATATTTTGACAAAACAAGATTTTAAACGATTACATGTAGCGTATGACGTACACACGGTTGTGACGGACACATCCTGTTTTTGTCTGTGCCCCCTGTATCTTCAAATCTCAAATTGGTTGTGTGCCGCCTTTTGGAGTAGATATGAAACCAGCTTTTCATCTGACTTTGGGGTTTGAAAAGAGGTCTGATGTACATGTCCAACGTAACTGCCTATTTATATAATCTGTGGTTCAGGACAAGGTTTATCGTTTGATAAATTGATTATTTTCATCTGTTAAATCTTACTTAATGACAACTTACACAATATAACGAATAATTTATTGTTATCTTTTTCTTTATTGAATCGCCCCGTAACTATTTTGTCAACTTTTTCTGAAAAATGACTTTTACGTAATATTTATGATGATTCTTTGCCACCCTCCTTAATCCAAAAACTGATTTTTCTTGTTTGTTTAAAGTAGAATTTTCCTATCAATTTTCATCCATGGAACAATTTCTGTCGCAGATCTACAGGCACAAATCAATGTTGATGGTGTATCAGAAACATCGGCAACATTATCATGGACGCCTATTCCTGGAAGCTTTTTCTACCGGGTATTCTACACTGGGCCGGATGGAGTAGAAGTGTCAGGAAATCCCTCTACCGATCCCACAACAACCATTACAGGTCTTACTCCTGGAACTACTTATAACTTCCGCGTGGAATCAACTGATGCAGCGGGACAAAGAGTATTGGGAAATGTACCAGCCACTACAGGTATGTAATGTTTGTAAGATTTGAACTCACGCAGAACAGGAACAGAAAATATTGAGAAAAATGAATCATTTGAATTGTTATAAAAGAAATGCTGACTGCAATGAAATAAAAATGCAATATACATGTAAAAAGTAAGAAAAGAAATTGACACCGTTTTTTTTTTAACGAAATAATATTGTGGATTAATCTGCATTACATTGCCAATGAATTGTATAAATATATATGTATAGCTTTCTTAAAAAGATAATAAATGTCTAAATATGATTAAATATCTATAAACCCATATATAAATGCAGGTCCTGATTATTCGATCATTATTTGATTAGATAAAGGACCTTTCAAAAGCATTGACGAAAAAGTAACAATTCATATTGGGAATTTATATTAACAATTGTAAAACAATATTTGATAGAGGTCATTAAAATCGAAGCGTAGCTTGGAAAGCTGTGGCACTTTTTTCCTTTTCCACATGATTTAAAACAATCACATGTACCGTCTGACGTACAGGCGGTTGGGACGTACACAACGTTTTTCGTCTGTCCCCCCTGTATCTTCAAATCTTAAGTTGGTTTTGTGCCATCCTTAGGATTATATAGTACAGATATGAAAATAACTTTCATCTGTCTTTGGGGTTTAAAAAGTAATTGGACGTACATGTCCAACTGCCTATTTTTATAATTTTTGGCTCAGAGGAAGATTTATCGTTAAATAAATTGATTATTTACATTGTTTTTATCTTACTTAATGAAAACTTGAACAACTAATTCATTGTATTTTTTTTCCTACATGGAATTACCCCGTACATTTTTTTGTGCAACTTAATCTGAAAAAACAAACAAAAAAAAACGAAATATTTAGGATGATTCTTTACCACCCTTGATACTAAAACTGATTTTCTGGTTTGTTTAAAGTAGAATTTTCCTATCAATTTTCAACCATGGAATATTTTTTGCCGCAGATCTACAGACACAAATCAATGTTGACAGTGTAACACCAACATCGGCAACGTTATCATGGACGCCTGTTCCTGGAAGCTTTTTCTACCGGGCATTCTACACTGGACCGGATGGAGTAGAACAGTCGGGAAATCCCTCTACCGATCCCACAACAACCATTACAGGTCTTACTCCTGGAACTACTTATAACTTCCGCGTGGAATCAACTGATGCAGCGGGACAAAGAGTATTGGGAAATGTACCAGCCACTACAGGTGTGTAAAGTTTGTAAGATTTGAACTCACGCAGAACAGGAACAGAAAATATTGAGAAAAATGAATCATTTGAATTGTTATAAAAGAAATGCTGACTGCAATGAAATAAAAATGCAAAATACATGTAAAAAGTAAGAAAAGAAATTGACACCGTTTTAAGAAAAAAATATTGTGGATTAATCTGTATTACATTGCCAATAAATTGTATAAACTTATGTATAGCTTTCTTAAAAAGGTAATAAATGTCTAAATCTAATTAAATATTTATAAACCCATATATAAATGTAGGTCCTGATTATTCGATCATTATTTGATTAGATAAAGGACCTGTTAAAAGCATTGACGAAAAAGTAACAATTCATATTGGGAATTTATATTAACAATTGTAAAACACTATTTGATAGAGGTCATTAAAATCGAAGCGTAGCTTGGAAAGCTGTGGCACTTTTTTCCTTTTCCACATGATTTAAAACAATCACATGAACCGTCTGACGTACAGGCGGTTGGGACGTACACAGCGTTTTTCGTCTGTCCCCGCTGTACCTTCAAATCTTAAGTTGGTTTTGTGCCATCCTTAGGATTATATATAGTACAGATATGAAAATAACTTTCATCTGTCTTTGGGGTTTAAAAAGTGGTCGGACGTACATGTCCAACTGCCTATTTTTATGATTTTTGGCTCAGAGGAAGATTTATCGTTTAATAAATTGATTATTTACATTGTTTCTATCTTACTTAATGAAAACTTAAACAACTAATTCATTGAATTTTTTTCCTACATGGAATCACCCCGTAATTTTTTTTGTGCAACTTAATCTGAAAAAAAAAAAAAAAAAAATATTTAGGATGATTCTTTACCACCCTTGATACTAAAACTGATTTTCTTGTTTATTTAAAGTAGAATTTTCCTATCAATTTTCATCCATGGAATATTTTTTGCCGCAGATCTACAGACACAAATCAATGTTGACAGTGTAACACCAACATCGGCAACGTTATCATGGACGCCAATTCCTGGAAGCTTTTTCTACCGGGTATTCTACACTGGGCCGGATGGAGTAGAACAGTCGGGAAATCCCTCTACCGATCCCACAACAACCATTACAGGTCTTACTCCTGGAACTACTTATGACGTCCGAGTGGAATCAACTGATGCAGCGGGACAAAGAGTATTGGGAAATGTACCAGCCACTACAGGTATGTAATGTTTGTATGATTTTAACTCATGCAAAACTGTAAGAGGAAAATATTGAGAAAAATGAGTCATTTGAATTATTATAAAAGAAATGCTGACTATGCAATGAAATACAAATGCAACATACATGTTCAAAGAAAGGAAAGCAAGTGAAACCGTTCCACTAAAGAATATTGTGGATGTATTTGCATTACGTCGCTTATCAATTGTATAATATTTATCATAATTGATTCGTGATGTCAGTGTTCTGGGTTTGAAAATAAGTAGAAAATGAGGCAAACTAGCACCTGCGTAAGACAAGTTTTTTAATTTCATATTTGTATATATATATTCGGAAAGCTCACACTAATAGGTGCTACATAAAACAACTGTTTCCAGATGGTTCCAGGCAGTTTCTTCCACGATGCATTCGCATGACAAATACTCAACATTACATTTGAATTTGCTGTCATATAGAACCTCTTCAGACTGAGGTACGTGTAGATTCGGTCACCGAAAACACGGCAGTCATCTCGTGGACACCTGTTCCTGGCAGCATTATTTATCAGATATTCTACACTGGACCAGATGGAATACAACGGGTGGTTTCCACAACAGATCCTACAACCACTCTTACCGGACTTACTCCTGGGTCTTCGTATGACATCAGAGTGCAGACGACTTCTAGCACCGGTCAACAGTCAGACGTGGGCACTACTACAACTACTACAGGTATTGGGATGGGCATGGGCAGGAGGATGTGAGCTGGGAGGTATAACCCTAGGATTGTTAGTTTAAAGAATATACATGTATATTATGCAGTAAATTAGAATATCTTACCTAATGACAACTACAACAAAATTTAATTCAAAATTAATTTAATTTAATTTTTATGTTTCGTTCTCAATATTAAATAAAATCAGTATACATTTGAGGGAGAACTTACCCCAAATAATAACGTAAGATGTTCTGAGATTTATTGCATTCTTGCCCTTTAATCTACAAGATTCCCCACCAAAGTGTATGTGAAAGGCATATTAAAGCAAGAAAAAAGTACTGTTTCTCAGCTAAACATGGGCATCGCCATTTTCTTGATTGCATAACGTACTTTGCGGAGTTGTTTATGACCTAAATTTATTCAAATTGATGGATGCTTCCTCCCCAGGTATTAGTGTTGTTAAAGCATTTCATCTACCTGCTATTATCCTTTGACTTCCAATTGCCAGAAATCAAATTGCATAAATAAGTTGGTGCTGTTCTAGGGTGAATGTTTGCATAAATGAAATACATTTTCCAACCGCTATATTTTAGTTTTTTTAAATAAATAAGTTACAATTGTTACCCTATAATATATTTATTACCAAATGTATTTTTTAAGTTCCCAGCTATGATTTTCCCTCTTTGGAAAGTAGAGGTTTTTGTTATTGGATTAAAAAGTATTTTCAATTAAAGCTTGGTGCATGATAGATGTGCAACAATGCCTGGTATGTCACATTTTCAAGAAAATGGCTGCTCCCATGTCATGCAAAAAGGCATTACATCATGCCTAGAAAGCTTCATCTCATATATCTTGTACACGTTGATAAGATTTATTGTACATCAAAAGACATGAATTCATCTCTTTTTTCAAGATACCTACACTTATCATTTGGTGTTAGTTCTTCTTTAAACACTCATGGAGAATTATAAACTCAATTTAAACAGATCTGGTTCAGTTCTGAATACACAATAAAGTTAATATACATTAAAACATATATGGAGAAATATAAACTCATGAACTTAGGTTTAACAGAACTGACCAGGGGTCCAAGATAAACTGAGTTATTTTAACTAAATATTTTCCTTTGGCAAAAATGTCAATTTAAACTTAGCTTTTTTGAAAGAGCTTTGGCAACTTTGATAGCTCGTCACCACACAAAAACGCATTAAAAAAATGTACTGTTCAGTTTCATAAACTGCAATGTTTCAGTTGTCAAATGAGACCATACATGTTGCATTCAATCAATTCTGAATATTTAACTTAAAGGTTTGCATATTCATGGAATTGCCAGGTACACTGTGTGCAACTAAATCATATAATTAATTTTACGAAATATTGAAGATGCTTCTTTGCCACCCTACTTGATACAAAAACAGATTTTTCTTGTTCATTTAAAGTAGCTTTATCCTTTACATTTTCACCCATGGAACAATTTCTGCCGCAGATCTACAGACACAAATCAATGTTGATAGTGTATCATCAACATCGGCAACATTATCATGGACGCCAATTCCTGGAAGTTTTTTCTACCGGGTATTCTACACTGGACCGGATGGAGTAGAACAGTCGGGAAATCCCACTACCGACCCCACAACAACCATAGCAGGTCTTACTCCTGGAACTACTTATACCTTCCGCGTGGAATCAACTGATGGAGCGGGACAAAGAGTATTAGGAAATGTACTAGCCACTACAGGTATGTAATATCTTTAAGAATTGAACTTATGCAGAGCAAAAAGAGGAAATATTGAGAAAATGAATAATTTAAATTATTATAAAAGAAATGCCAACTATTCAATGAAATGAAAACGGGGCTGGATATAATCCTAGAATTTATAGTTTTAAGAATATAAGTTTATATCATACAGTAAACCGTTCCACATGTTTTTTTATCAGAGAATTAATGGTGTATCATTTATAAGGTGGAGTAGGTGCTAACCCCACCCTCCCCACAAAAGTGTATGTAAAAGGCATATTAAAGCAAGAAAAAAGTACTGTTTCTCAGCAAAACATGGACATCGCCATTTTCTTGATTGCATAACGCACTATGCGGAGTTGTTTATGAACTAAATGTATTACAATTTATGGATGCTTCCTTCCCAGGTATTAGTGTTGTTAAAGCATTTCATCTACCTGCTATTATCCTTTGACTTCCAATTGCCAGAAATCAAATTGCATAAATAAGTTGGTGCTGTTCTAGGGTGAATGTTTGCATAAATGAAATCAGAGAACTAATGGTGTATCATTTATAAGGTGGAGTAGGTGCTAACCCCACCCTCCCCTCCCACTCCTTTCACTCGTGCCCCACTCCCTTTATAAGTAAGAAGAATCAACGAAACTTGCATTTGGTTTAGTTGGTTGGTTTAATGGTCTATTTTACCTGAGTGCAAAGAAAGCATGTGCCTGTAAGTAAGTAACCTGGGAACCGACGGACTTAATAAAGAAGACTACTGTCCAGAGGGCGGTAACAAATCAACATGGTTTCGAACCTTGGTCCTCCCTCTCATGAACCAACTCTTGGGTCTGGGGAGAATTTAGAATGAATGCATGATATGCTGACATAATAAAACATAACGGGTCATGCAATTACAACAAGGTCTATCAGTAGATTTTAACATGTCAAGCAAAAAAAAGAGGAAAAGAGTCGTAGGAACAAAATGACGAACCTATCCTATCTCAATAGGAAACTGTCTGGCAACTGAAAGCATCATGATGCCCAATTCCTTAAACAAATTAAGGATATTGATAATGGATATGATTAAAAATAATCTAATGAAAATGAAAATCGAAATCAGGTAGAACAGCTGTTATATGAAGAGGGTACAAATATCATACGCAGTTCTATCTACATGTATTTAATGTTTTTCTGGTTTCCCAGTTTTTTTTGAGCAGATGTATGCCTTTAATATTTGAAGGGCACTGTTTTTTTCAAAAGGGAAACTTTTGGGAAGCATTCAATGCCCTTGGTTCATAATTGTCTAAAAAAACAAGAAATATTCATGTTCGTGTACGAAAAAAATACAGAAAAACGCATCAGAAAAGAGTTCGTTTGAAAAGCTTTCATGTTCTATTTGTATTTCGTCAATACAGTTATTATTTTTGCAAAATATTTTATATTCACTTGTAAAATGCAAAACGTTATTCCACTATTTCCTTCTTTTCAACGAGCTCTCAAACATTTAGAAAATATGGAACGTATAATTGCTTTCAGGGAAAATCGTCTCGATCTTCATAATAAGAAATGGCAGATATTTTGTTAACTTTTTTTTTATTGCTGATGAGTTAACTATTACACTATATTCTTATTATACATATTCTATTTCTATACGAACATGTTATTATTACTATTATTATCATGTACTATAAATATTATGAATGAGTTTTGTTTTCAATAAATACTTTTCCAAACAGTGTTTTTATGGATCTAGTAACGGCAACCACTGTATTTTGGACGCCTTTTCCTTGCAACTTTATCTATTAGTTATCAAATTTGTATTACAATTCTAATTTCACAGCTTAAAACACAACTATGCATGCCTTTAATGCTTAACGTGACATTGTCTTTTGTGTACGTGTGCTCGGACCGCAGATCTTCCAACTGAAGTCAATGTAGATTCAGCCACACAAGACTCTGCCACTATCTCATGGACACCGATACCTAATACCATCGTATATCAGATATCCTACACTGGTCCAGATGGAAATGTAGTAACTGCTTCCGCCACTTCAGAGACTGTTATACTAAATGGCCTGCTTCCAGCAACGGCATACAATGTTGATGTTGCTGCCCTCACGAATACAGTACGAGTGGAAGTTGGAAACACAGTTGCAACAACAACAGGTTAGTGTTAAAATAAGAGTTCCTAATCCCAAACAATATCTTCATGCACATTTTATTACTTCCTACTCCTTGTCCTTATTCCCAGGTTCCTTTATTAAATAAAAATGTACATGATAAAATATTCTTTGGTTGGTAGAAGCCATGTCGGTTTTCAAAGTGTTTTCAAACATATAATCTTGTATCTTATATGGAACATTTGTTTACATCTCGTAAAAATAGAAGGGAAGATACAAATCAAACAGCCGATAGAAAATGAAAATTCTCTCTTTCAAAAATACATTGTTATGCTGCATTATTATTCATCATTTGTGCAGGTGTGAAAGACCCTCTTCTCGGATGGTTTAATTGTCTATATTAAAGAAAGATACATTTTGTTCTTACTGTAAGATAATATGTTTTGATAAATACTTGCATTATGTAAATACTTGTTTTAACGAGACTTGCTTTAAGGGAACTATTAAACTCCATATGTAAGGTACTGTTCCCTAAACATGGTCGCAAAGGGCAATTTTCGATATGCTATTGTACATTTCATAAGATTCATGTTTGGGTTACGAAATATGTTATATGTTTGGACATTTAAAAATGTGATGGACAAGGCTAGAATTGTCCTAGGTTTACTTTTTTGAAAGTCTTGGCAGTCGTATTCATTGGACATGTTAATCTAAACCCAATCAAATTGACGTTTCAGCCCCCTCAGTTGTAAATTAGTTACACCAAAAATATGCATCAAGTATATATGTGCATAAAAGAGGTAAAATTACACACTTTCCTCACATTCTATAATTCTCGATTTTTGGGAGCATTTGTGTAATTGTCGATGTGGCATCCATTTAGGTCATTTTTTATATGATTTTCTACTGGAGAACGACCTAGAAATTGTTTATACTCTTATAGGTAATATATTATATTAGAATTAAAAAGTTTGCTAACGCATCTTGATCTCTTTGCAGCCCTACCAACGTCAGTCACAATTCTAGGAACAACTCCAAATACAATCAGCGCAGAGTGGACGCCAATACAAGATGCCTTCATATACCGCATAGACTATGTCAGTGCTGATGGCCAACACACAGGAATTGTCACTTCAGATGTACCCCAAGCGGTTATAAGCAGTCTACAGCCGGGTACGACTTACACGATAACAGTTCTTGGTATCGTACCGGGGGGCAGCGTTCAAGTTGGTTCAGAGACGGCAACAACAGGTTGGTAGAAACACAATTTTGTCATTGTATTATTGAGTTCTTGTACTGATGGAACTTTAAAATGTGACAGAAATATGATCAAGGGGCTGCAGCTAACCCTAAGGAATATAAAATAATTGCAATCTTTCGGGCGTATTCGTATCCATTCCCCCTCGATTCGGGGTGTGGGGTTAGATCCCAATAATGATTTGTCTAAATTATCAACATGAGAGTAAAACAAACACACCTATAAAACAAACCTGGCTTTCAAGGACATCTGTCTCCTCAATATAACTCTCTTTTTAGGAACATACGCATTCATCCATGATATTTTCCAGCGCTGTACATATTCTCGTGAGATTTCATGGTTTCTGCAGCTCCACAGTGGTCTTTTTAGATTATAACTTTGATAGAAAAATAATAACTGGTGGAAGCAATTAGGAAAGGTCGATTATGTAGTACATGAAAATGAATGTATACTATGAGGTTTAAGTATGATCAATTGAAATGAAATGTGCGCAGTCTAATTGCTGATCAAAATCACACGCACTGGACACAGAATTGCGTATATTGGACTGCACACACGTGCTATGAGAGTTTTGTCCAAACTTTTTAGATATTCCTTCAATATTTAGAATATTAGGGCATATGAAAAGCAATTTTTCTTAGGGGATATTTCTCCCTGATATGATATTCTTTTAAAGTGACATACAAATATTATATCTCTAAAGCATCTCTTTATTTGATGACAATTTGAATATGATGCCATCACAGAGAAACAAAATATAAATGACATAAATTTCTATAAACTCTTGCAATGTCTTCTCCTCTAGACATACAGCTTGATCTCACCGCCAGTGTCTCAAACATCCAAACTACAAGCTTCGACGTCATGTTACAAGATAGACCTGAATTTACCTACCCAAGCTACAGGGTCACAGTCAGTGAAGTTGGTGGTCCATTCTCTGTACAACTTCCCGCCACTGCAAATCGTGATGGCGGTATACTGACTGTCAATGCCGTCGGTCTTACAGCCGGCACGGAATATAATGTGAATATCCAAGGTGTAACCAGTGTTGGACAGCTTGAAGATCAAGTAACTTTCAACGAATTTACAAGTAAGATAATGGTTTCCATGTTAGTGTTGTCTATAAATGAATCATGTTAAATTCCCAATTTTTTTAGACCCACAACTTGTTTTATAGTTACAGGCAAAGAGTGTGTCTATTGTATCTTAATATGTTTAATCAAGTAGCTCTTCTGTACTGTCATTTTGATAATATGCATGTATGTATGGTGCATAAACTCGCCCTGCACTGTTGTTTATAAGAACGGATTATTCAAAGTGCTATGAAGTTAGTAATGATATGAATTGCATGTATCTGCATGTGTATAATATTACGAAAAGTAACTAGTACATTATCATTATTATTATCATTTATCATTTCGCGTGCCTGGGAGGGGAACAGCAAACTGAACAGGGGCGGATCTAGCTTTTTGCTAAGGGGGGGGTTGACCAATAATGACGATGCGGAGCATCGTCCACGAGCCGCGAAGCGGCGAGTCGATTTTTTTTTGGGTGTTTATTTGAACCCCGTAAGTGATGTTTTCCTGGCATCTATTAACACAATGGAGACCATAAAAAGCAGTGCATGATAACGTCTTTTTAAATCAAGTAACAGTTAAATACACAGTTATATCCAGAGTTATCATGTGTTTGGTTATTAGTTACCAGATGAGTTGAATATCTTCTCACAATATTTGCACTTGAAAGGGTTTCTCTCCAGCGTGCGTTCTTTTTTCTTTCTTTTTTTTTTTCCTTTCCCCCCCTTTTTTTTGGTTTGTTTTTTGGGCCGCCCAAGGGAGGGGTTTAAACCCCCTAACCCCCCCCCCCGTAGATCCGCGCCTGTTTCCCCGCGAAGCGTGGGCGCTGGATGTGTTTTATTTACTCAAATTGTAGTATTACAACACGTCCGTATTACACCCCCATGTATGGTAATTTACCCTGTATGCCAACTTTTTTGCATGATTCAAACATACCTTCCAGTAAAAAAAGATGCGAGACTGGATTGCCGCAACTTCTTTGCCCTGTTTGCTTCCATATTGCTTGTCACTACACTCAGACCAGACTGATAAAAAAGTGAGCAACTTGAACAAGTAATCCAGGAAATGAGCAGCCCAGCTCAGCGTGCGTTGCCAGGTTAAATCTTCACAAAATCCCCACCCAAACGACACTTAAAATATCCCCAAAGTTGCCAAATTTTGACAGAAAATCCCCAAATTCGTTTTTCATAAAACTCAATATTATTTTCATTCCCAAATATTTATTTTTCATCCCCAAAGACTTCAACAATCCCCCAATTTTTTTTTTTTTTTTTAATGTGGGGATTTTGGGGATGAGAATCGGCAACGCTGGCCTAGCTTGTCACTTCGGCGGTGGCCCGTGTCCTCAAAAAAGCTGATGGGGGGGGGGGGGCAAGGGACTCTGTGACATTTGTTCGCCCAACCCCCCCCCCCCTCCCCCCAAAAAGAAATAATAATAATAATAATAATAATAATAATAATAATAATAATAATAATAATAATAAATGAAATAGAATAAAATAAAATTACAAGTTTAAAAAAAAAGATAAGATTTAAAAAAATGGTCCCCGGATTTTTTTTTGGGGGGGGGGGTTGCAACCCCCCCAACCCCCCTCTAGATCCGCTTCTGCTGAATCAGTGTAACCCTCAGGTCTCTCCACCCTGTATACATGTAACCGACTGGGTTGTGCTTGTGGATCACTTCACCTGGGTTTACCCCTACCCTTATAAAACAAGTGCAGTAGGTTCTTAACATGCACAGTTAGTGACTCTGATCTACACGGGTCCTCTATTTAATGTACTTTCCGAGGGACGGAGTGTTTTCCACTGTTACCAAGCAGATGTCTTCGAAACGAGGAAGAGACAGGTACATGTACATTTTAAAACCACCTTCGTAGTTCCGAATAATGATACCATCATCCCACGCGACCACAGGACCGAATCCACCTATAAATGGCCGCTTCTCAGAAGTAAATGGAGCTACAGTTTTTCTTGAATGGAATCCCCCTGCTGATGGGCGACTTGATGGGTACATAGTGGTACATGGTACCGAAACTCAGGATCCTTCTACACTTACACAGGTAAGGACAGTGACATAGATGAAAGAGAAAACCTATCATAAGTGCCCTGATTGCTCCAGGCTTTAGTGCATATAAGATTTCAGTCTAGACTTGGTTTAGGGTTAGGCTTACGTATATATTTTTGTGTTTTGTCCAGGGTTTAAGCAAAGACATTGGTTAATGTAGCATACTGACTGCAGAGGAACTGCCGCAGGAGAATGTGTTATACGATTTTTTATAAAATCTATTTATCAAATGATATTTATAACAAATCGTGTCGATTAAAAAACAGCATTAAGGATTGTTCAGAAGTGATTGGTAATGACAATAACGATAAATCTTTCCAGGTCGCTCTCAAGTTTGGGATATGGAAGAGGCATTGACAATCGTAGTTTAGACCTCAACGATTAGATGGTTACATTACGCCTCAAGTTAGATTAGAATGTTTTACACCGGTGCGTATTTCATCGTATATAAAAGAAATGCAGAAATATACTTCACATTCCTGTGGAACTGACTCTTGATTGCAAGAATTCATTTTCTTTCTACCACGCCGGTTCCAGCCGTGTCATTTTTGTTGTTGCTGCTCATGCAAAGAGAAGTAGAAAGAAGTATGTCCATAAATATAACGTTTGAATAGAACGTAAATATCATTGTAGCTGGTTGGGACTACAATAGTTATACATTTAGCAATTATACGTTGACATAAATTAATTTTTAAAATCCAAAACAAAGACGAAACACATGATCAAAATATCATTATATATTCTTTTTGATATAGTTGGTCAATTGTGTTGTGAATTTTGAGTACTGTAGGAGAAAGAATAAAAATGGAGAAGACAAAAATAGGATTACATGCCTAGGAAAACCAAATTTCTTCATATGGGAAAATGCAATAGCAAAGTAAAGCTTCAATTAGAGATTGAATGATAAAAACAATGGGGAAAATAACGAACTGTTTAAAAGCTGAGAAAGAATAAAGTTATACTTGTTTGCCTTCAAGATAGTTGAAAAGCTAGAAAATACATTCCTGAACGGTTATACATCAAAAGGTAACAAGGTCACAAACTTGTCATTTCTTTTTCATTTGATTCAGTATATTTGTTTTTGTGATAGGTGGTAAACTTTATTAATTTTTTTTTCTTGAAAATTCCTTTATAGCAAATTATTACTCTGAATATTGCATCAATTTTCCACTTTTTAACAAATCAAAGCCGAGAAAAATAAGTCTGTCTGTATTAGTAATAAATTAGATCACAACTTTACTATTGTGACTCAGCTGAAATTCTAGAGCAAATGCGCTATATAAATACATTACTATTCTTAACATATTGATCAGAGCAAGAGTAACCCGCATTAATGTAATATCATTACATTTACACAGGCTGTAATTCCCCTTGGTCAGACCAGTTATGCCGTCTCAGGACTCAATCCTCTCATTCCCTACGTCATAGGACTGGTGTCTTACCGGGATTCAGTAGAAAACTTCAGTGATTTCGCAGAGCTTCTTCAAGAACGCAATTCTAATTTGGTAATAAATCGAGGTGAGTCTTGTCATTCCCACTTGTACGTTTACCTTCCGTATCACTTTCGAATCACAAAGACACACTGTATTGTATTGTCCTATGTGCTTTCATACAACAAGAACAGAATGTCACTGTTAAATCCTGTAGGCGATGCAGTATTTCCAGTTTATTATCAATAATTTCTAAAGTTTTTTAAACATTGAAAATGATATTAATACTCATCTACATCACTAAAATCATCATCATTCTCATAATATTATGATCTATATATTGATAATAATACTAACCAAATCAATATTGCTCAAGGTGCGTACATTGTACTATTCATACCCTGGATTTGACATGTAATAGCCCAGATGCCCTTAAGCACTGAAAGCATTCAAAGAATAGCTTTGAAACCGGTGCCAAGTTACTGCACTTGTGTGAAGAGTGAAAAATGTAGATTAATGACATAACAAAGTACAATGCACCGGAACCGAGAACCATATGATCAAGAGTGCCGATAATTTTTCCACTAGAACACAACATCTCTACAGTCATCATCCTAACCGATGAGAGTTTCATCTCTACAGTCCTCATCCTAACCGATGAGAGTTTCAATAAATACCTCAATGTTTTATCCTTTGAGCAGCTGATAATGAATGTGCTAGTAGACCTTGTCAGAATGGTGGCCAGTGCTTTGGTGAATCAGGAGGTAGATCTAGATGTGAATGCATCAACGGCTTCAGCGGTACTAGCTGTGAAACAGCCACAGGTAATTATAATCAATCTTTTCTTTACTATACACCCGTGCCAATGTGGAATGAATCCTGATTGAACAGAGATAAAACCTTTTTTTCAATGGGTGAAGGCATTGCAAACCTCCCGGGAGAGCAACATGATGGCAGCGTACACTTAAGATCTGAACGAACATGCCAAAAGCATGGGTAATTATCAGCAAGAGAAGAGTCATGTCTGGTAAAGTAATACACGACAGAATTATTTACTTTATTGGAATTGAGAAATAAATGCATCAAGCGAAATAGATCCTGAAAAACTTGTGACTCTCTAATCAAATTTCAATGTATGATCCTGTATTTGTACCACGGTCGAGCTGCCAAATTAACTAGTGCTCAAGCATTTTATATACTCATTGGGACTTTGGTGGAGAGTGGAAAGTGTAGATTAATATTTGTGAGTAAACTTCGGACTCCTTACAGATGAATGTGCCAGTGAACCATGCCAAAATGGAGGAACTTGCTTCGATATTCCAAACGGATACATATGTAGTTGCCCTGCTGGGATAACTGGACTGCGCTGTGAGACAAGTATGTAAAAGTGTTTTTTTTTGTATAACCAATAGTGGAAGTATCTTGTACCTGATGTAGAATTGTTTTTTGCAAATACGAAACGTATAATAGACGTGAAGTGACTAAGAATCTTACATGATACTAAACCCAATAACGAACCGGAAATATGAAGAAAAGTTAATCCAGGGAACATTTATCGTTTGAAGCTCTTTGTGTTAACATCCATATGCAATACTGGGATTGTGTAGAAGGGAGTTGTCTATCGTACAAGCTGGAAAATAAATAATCATTGCAAGCTATGGATCTGTTAATTAAGATAAGCGTTCAATGTGAATGAGGTGAATTCGTAAATCGTTAACAATGCTTTTACCAAGGAACTAAGGAATCAGAACAATTTTTTTAAATAGCAAACACGGCTTCTTCCACATCTAAGACAACATTTTCTACATTCAATTTTCCCTTTAAATTTTTATTTTGCAAATGCAGATTTCCCTTCAATATGTGTTGTTTCTGTCTTCCTAGGACCTAATCCATGTGCTTCTAATCCTTGTCTGAATGGTGCAACATGTATGGATGAAATTACAACGTACTCATGCTCCTGCCTGCCAGGTTTTATCGGTGTTTTATGTGAAACAAGTAAGTTTCATTTCATTTCAATATATTAATCCATTTCCTATTGGAAACGGGTTGCTCCTTTATTAAAGCCTATGGACATGGAAGAATGCAGTAACCAATAGGTTACGATCAACCCAATTGGTCTATGTTGCACTTAAATTGAAACCTGGTACTGGGAGTCATTTGAAATCGTGTCTAACATGGTTAGCCTGGGGTCTTACATTTGTCCTGTGTTTAATAGGGGCTAGGGGCTTACTTAACCCAGGGTCGGGTTAAACTGTAATAATAACATACAAACCGAAGACTTTAAATAGGTTGGCACCACCTCATTTCTGGAACCATGAACATTTTGGTGATTTTGTAGCACTCTGCCCAACTTACACTTGTAATTTCGCGGTTTACCTTTTTCTGAATACATGCGGCCAGATATTTTTGTATGCAGTTAACATATTCGTCAGGAAAATGAAAATGTATTGCATTTATTTGTTATCTGTTTGGAAATCGTTATATATATTTATTTATTATATTGGTCGTTTATTTTGACAGGGTGGCCCTTTCAGTTATAAAAACTGCTCGACCAAGGGGCCCGGTATCAACATAATCAAAAACATATTTACAAAACATATAAACTTTAAAGTTATAATGAACACAAAAGTTGAACAATATATAATGTTAAAATGAGCGGGGATGAATATAATATTAATGCAAGTATTAAGTAAATTTTAAACTATGTTTAAAATTATGTGAGAGAAAGGAGTTTGCAGTGTTTTTAAAATAAATCTAGTGAGTTTAATAAACTCAGTTTAATATTCAATATTTTAAACTGTTAAACTGTTAAAAAAGAAACAATCTGAGTAATCCAATTTGGAAATCTTCATCTATCCTTATCTAGTGCTTTATGAATAGCATTTCATTCAAATGTATATACTATGGAATTCAAGCCAAAAAAGTACTTGCAAGCAAAAGATCAAACTCAAGGCATCGCCTGAATATGTATCAAAAACGGATTGAATACAAAATCCTAGTGGTTGTCTTTAAGACACTCCACAATACTGCACCTAAGTACCTACAAGATCTCCTCACCATAAAGCAATCCCATTACTCACTCCGTTCTTCTGCCTCTACCATCCTAGAAGTCCTCAGAACCCGAACCACCCATTATGGGGACCGTGCATTAGTGCATAATGCACCAGTCCTCTGGAACAAGCTGCGAAGTGCCGTTCAAAACATTCAATGCCTAGAAATCTTTCAGAAACATGTTTAAACGGTTTTATTTTCTCAGAGTTACTAATGATATTACGTTGTTAAAATTCAGGAGAGAAATTTGTATATTTTGTTTGGTATTTGAGTTATTAGATAAGTGCGCTTTATAAGTATTTATTATTATTATTATTATTCTTGTGCTCAAAGTTTTTGCTTGCTTCAATAGGCTATTTTCATAATGTACTCAAATTTAATGCACAAATCTTCGTTAAGTGCCTCATCAAAAAAGATTTCATTCACCTATTGCGGATAATTGTATCAGTAGTCAGAATGTCAATTGCATTCATTCCATGTTGTTAGGTAGGACTAGGACTACCTAGGAACACGCCGGTGGATATGATGCTTAAAGGCGAACGTTCGGATTGAGCAAGAGCTCAATCTTGATTGACGAATCTTGAAAAAACGTAAGGAAATGCTTATGAGAACTAGCAAATGGTTTGTTTTATGCAATCATTTTAAAGCAAATGGATTGCCTGATCCCAAAGCAATTTGCGGGCAGCAATCATTTGCTTGCCCTTGTGCTAACATTGCTACTTGTTATGCATACGATCCATTTTACTCAATTTATGTTGAACCTTTCAGGTAAGTTAAACAAGATTTACAATAGAATAACAGCTGTGCATTGTCAAGTTTAACAATGTCAAATCAATTTATTAACATTTCAAAAATACAGTAGTATAATGGATTCTTTAAAGATACAAATTTCTCTTAGCAGATGATCAAATCGTGTTTGTTCGTAAGAAGTACATTACATGAATATCATTTTACAGATTTCAATGACTGCTTGCCTACCAACCCCTGTCTAAATGGTGGCACCTGTATAGATTTGGTCAACGAGGTCTTTTGTGTATGCCTGAACGGATTTTCGGGTACAAATTGTGAAATAGGTAAGACCATGATTTTCAGTTTATTATGATCGTACTGTTAAGCATGAATGAATGAAACTATAAACAGAAAATATAACTGAAATCATAAACTATATCCCCGACATGTGTCTTTTAAAGAATGACAATTTAAGATAATATCTTTAGAAATGTATATTTGTATATGTACAATTTCAATAGATAAGAGCTTGACAATATTATTTGTAGATGTTGATGCACATGCTCTACTTAGTTCCATATCCGGTGAGATTTATACTTTATAGATTTATACAGCCGTAACACAATATATATTTTGTCATATACCTACCGAAAAGGAACGAATAACATTGAATGCTCCAAACATGGAATTAAGGCTTCTTCTCCCTGCAGACTAGGTTATGTTTCTGCTATCAAGATATTTTAAAAAGATAATTACATCAATAGTGTTGAATATGGAATCGTATACAAGTGAAATCTGTTTAATTTTTATTATGCATAGTCCATGATAAAAAAAAATCTAAACGTGATAAATATATGTGCACAAATTTGAATAACATATACTTGATGTCATATTTCTATAGACATCGATGAATGTGATCCAGATCCGTGTGTGAACGGAGGGTGTGTTCCTACTGTAGGATTGGCAACCTACACCTGTATTTGCGATCAAGGCTTTACGGGACAAAACTGTGAAACTAGTAAGCATTAAATGTCTTATTTAGTCAGTATAGTTCTCAAATATTTTATGGGATATACATATATCAACAGCAGAATCAACCTAAACACTGCAGCTATCGATAAAAAAGTTGAGAATATCAAAGTCACAAAATTTAATTCAGATCTCTTTTACAAATTCTTTTCAAATATCAGCATATCCAAACGTATCATTTACTAATGCTATTCTAATATTGTAATGCTTAATATTCAGCTGAGTTTTACTCTCGATTTATGGGATTTCATAAAAAAAAAATCATTTAAACAGACCTACTGCAGCTTTACTTTGACATAATGTATATGCTTGAAGGATTTTCTTATATTTTGTAAACCTGAAGAAAGTGATTTTGCCATTATGTGTCATATAAGAATGAAATGGGAAGAAACCTTCACAATGCGAAAGCTGAGCAGAGAACAAATTAAAGAGGGGAAAACCCTCTTTTAATGTCGTAATGGACGACGATAAACTAGTTTATTCATTTATGGATTCCTTTTTTTTTTGTAACATAGTACATGAATAAGTAAATTGTATAAAAGAAAATGATAAACATAGAATAACAAAATGTGATTTTATTTAGATGTGACAATCACCCACAAAATGTTAGTTCAGTGTTGTTATAGTTCCATGTTGATATACTATATTCAAGATATGAGCTCCAAATGTTACTTCTATGTAAAAGAGATATTGCAAGTTTAAGTGCACTGTGTATTAACACAAAACTGACTTGTGAGTAGACTAGGCGATGCACCTTTACATTTTTGCATAGAATAAAGACCTATATGGAACTCAAGTCTGACTTTATAGATTCATGACGTGAGGTTCTAGTTTTTCGTTATCTCTTTCTTTATGTTAACCCTTTTAATGTCAGATAATGTTTTAAATGTTAGTTCTAGCTGTACACAAATTGCCTCGTGCTTTTTTTTAAAGGTCATTTGGTACCCTTAAAATAATGAATAAACTTGTGTTTTTACCTTAAAGGAACTTGGTTACATTCTTCAGATGAGAGATAGTGGTGCTAAGGTAGTGACTTTAATGCTAGATGTACAATTAAAGATAATCTGAAAATTTGAGTGAAAACGGACCATTATTTATGTTACGAATTGGGAAAAACTGATCTGATCGATTCCTTAATTCTACCAACTATATTAATACAATATAATTACATTTTAGGTGAATGGAAATCGTCAAAAAGCAACAACATGGCTCTACATTCCATTCCAGACATTTAAGTGTTGACAGATTGCCTGTTTTATGTCTTGTTTTCATGGAAAAACGGTTGGGAAAATTCAAAAATGGTTGGGATAATTAACTGTTAACCACTTTTAGAGGGTGTCATACATCGACTCCTTCAAAGAAAACCATAGATATCTTCGTAGTTTGATAATTTTTTCAGGATTTGTGCATGTCAGAGGGTTAGTACAGTAGAAGGAATATAGTAAAGAACATTTGATACAAATTTTTTTCTCATCAACCTTCAACAATGTTACCAAGTCACTTTAATTATACTTATCACTCTCCTTAACCCTTCTTAAACGTATGTAGATATAAATGAATGCAACTCGGTCCCATGCCAAAATGGTGGTACCTGTATAGACGCTCTTGCAAGCTATGTGTGTCAATGTACTACTGGTTTCGACGGGCCGAACTGTGAAACTCGTAAGTTAATTATCGATGACTATTTCAAGTAATATTCGTTACTTGGTAGTAGTGTAGATACTAAAGTAAAGTACCAAAAGTATGATACATCATTTTGCCCAGGAATTACAGACCATGTCGATATCAGTAATCTGGACTTGTTTCAAGAGTCCTGGACATGTAAACATGTCACTAAAATTTATAAATCCAAATTAATGTTGAATTTTGTTCTGGTTTTTATTTTGTTGGGTTTTTAGATAGCATTAAAAGCATTCTTCAACCTTATTCTCTCATCTATCAGGGATAATAGAGCCTATGCAACATTACCATTATTGCTAAGTTTAACTGCTGAAGCCTGGCATGGCATTCTTCACATATGAATAATTTAATTCCAAAAGGAGCTAAATCCACTCTGATGAAAATTGAGTTAATGATATCAGAATATTGTACCCGTCTTTCTACAAAATTATTAACCTAAATTTTTGGAGCAATTATGGAAAAATACACTTTCTAATATCACTTTTCCATAGACGTATGTACAAAATTAAGCTCCTTTTGGAATTAAACTCTTCATATGCATGTTGCGTTCCCATCCGCATTGCGAGACACATGCGACAAACCATTTAGCCTATGCCTTATTTGATGTAGGCATCACTCATTACCAACATTCCTTTTGGCTATAGTTTTGAAGTTGATATAAGAAAGTGATGATACTACAAAATTACCCTGCTAGAATTGTAATATCCATATCGCCATGTACGACCTAAGGTGGTGGACTTTAATGCAATGCAATATATAGATTGTACCTTGTGACTAATCGATAACATTGTATGACCAATTTTTATTGCAACATTTTATTTTTCCAAATAGCGACGAACGAGTGTATTAGCCTGCCTTGTGTTAATGGAGGAACATGCGTGGATCTTGCTAGTTCATACGCATGTACCTGTCTGATGGCCTACACTGGAACTAACTGTGAGATGGGTAAGAAAAGTACTGAATTCATTAAAATATCTCTGTCAAGCGTTTGGCGTACATTTCAAATGGGCATATAGCATAGAATGCTTCCTATTGAAATAAAATATATGTAATATGTAATATTATTGGCACAGTCTTCTAATAGTGGAAAGTATGGTTCTTATTCTGCCAGAGATATGAATCATGAAAATACTCAAGATTTATTAAAAGCCAGTAGAACAACTTAAATCGTACTAAATTGTACTAATATCGAAATATCAATGTGAAGTGCATTATAGTATTATAAAACGCATTATAAATTAGTATTATTATCATTATTATTTTTGGAATATTTGTTAATATAGCTATTATTTTTATCATTAATAACAAAGTTTCATCATATCTAATTTTATAAATATTATAAATATTATTTTCATTATTACTACCAACATCATCAGCATCTCTCACATTATGCATGAAACCTTTTTACAGATGTGAATGAGTGCTTATCAAATCCATGCTTAAATAGTGCAACGTGTATGGATATGTTGGGGTCATTCCAGTGTCAATGTCTTCCTGGGTTCGAGGGACCAACGTGCGCTGTAGGTAAGTAAATATAATTGCAAAGTAAAGTAAGTACATAATAGCAGTAACAATGTTAACATTGTTAGTAACGAAAATGACGAATTACAATTGATGATAGTAATACGCTAAAAGATCACAATGTTGCTAATAACAAAATGAAGCCGATAGAATGATGGACGGTTTCATTTTTATAAAATTCCTAAATATATGAGGTAGGGTAAAATGGATTCTGCAGCCCCAGTGAATTTTGAATTTATCAATATTTGGGAATTAAAGAGGTCTAATTGACATTTTTAGTATATTTTTATAATGGACATCTATATTTAAATCGCATCCGACACGGAAGGCTACATTACTCTATTTAATGCGAATAAAAATAAGGGATATGATATTGAAAGAACAATTCTGTTCTATAATAATGCTAGAAAAAATATTTTGAATAAACACATTGTAAATTATATAATTGACCTCCAAATTAATCATTTCCCTCTTTCAATTATGTTACAACCTCGGCCCGTGGTCTCGGTGAAATACAACAGTCAGGAAATTCTAAATTTGTCTGTTCATATATTTCGTTATAAGTATTCAAAATATTTACGATACGTGATGCCACATTTATATCATTACTATGAATGTCCAAAACTTGTCCTGTCTCGCTTTGCCCGCCTGACATATTTACAAGACTGGAGAGCTGATATTCTGGCAAGAGACGTAAGCCTGCCTTGCAAAGTTGCCCTCACTTCTTTGAGTATAACGGTTACTTCATGATACTTGTGAAAGAATAGACCAGTTCGGAGATAGCACTTGTACCCATGACCACCAAATATCCACGGATCTTTTAAACATGGAGGAGCCCCACTTTGTTCATTTGACAATAATCACTACCAAAGAGATGATAGTGCTTCAACAACATTTATTGTTCGCCCACTTGATATAAAATACTTCAGCCTGTGTTTCATAGAATGAAGTGTCGGTGCATGAACAAAGAATGATTTTGTTACTGTCATGAATACGTATCCAGGATTCGTCTCGATGGATTTTTACAGTTTTGTTGAAATTAATTTTATCTGCCCATATGCATACAATGTATAGTATCTGCGAAGTGACTATTAATAATAACAACTTTCTGGAACGTCTGATATTGAATGTCAATTAAGACCTGTCACTTAAAGTGACTCGGTAACATTGCGCCAGATTCTGAAAGTGACTCGGTAACATTGCCCCAGATTCTGAAATAAATCATGGATGTAGCTCATGCTGCAATCATACTTTTAAAACTTTAGGTCAGGCAGGAATCCCATGACTTTTACAAACCGATTGCTTGTCTGATTATCAGGATATTTATGATTGGAAATCTAAATTTCATTTTTCGTTTTCCTAACGATTTCCTAACACTACAGTCTATTCAGAAAAATGAGTATGGTAAAACCGATCACTCAAAGATATTTTACTTTTTAGAGGAACTTCATGATAATTTTGAATCGCATTTTTTTTAGGGCTTCAACATTACACCACATCACAGACACTGATAACACTTAGGGGCATGCATCTCAAATTTACCATTGTTAAACGATGCCTTTAATGCAAAAGGTTGTTGCATTTTCATTCCTATTATCGATTTCTTTATTCAAACTGTTATTTCTTGTAAATCTCCTTGAATTTTCAACCAGACACTGACGAATGTGCAAGTATTCCATGTCAGAATGGCGGAGAGTGCCTTGATTTTCCGAATGTGTACATTTGCAACTGTGTTTCAGGCTTCTCTGGACTAAATTGCGAAATAAGTAAGTATAGTACGTTTGACAAGGACTGTTCCAGTCTTCCAATAACTATATGACGGGGGATTGTAAGCTATAAAGTTTAGCGCTATATAAGGCTAAAAGTCCTCTAATTCCGCAAAACCTTTTAGCACAACTTTTCTCTAGTTTATCTTGCGGGTTGAGTGTGGCAAATGTAGATCAATGTCTTTCCAAAGGACATTAGTGCCGTGGCGGGACTCGAACCGCGGACCTTGTGATCGAGAGTCCGGCGAAGTTACCACTCGACAACGGCACCTCTACACGCCTAGACCCCCTGTATGATTAAATCAATAACCTGCCAAAGCATGGCCAGCTCTAGGCTACATCATTTATTCTACAGTATGTCCAATGGAATACAATGTATATACGGTACTTTTGTACTGTTATGATTATACTCTATCATATTTTGTTACATGTGATTTCTGAAAGACAAATAAACTTGAACTTGAAGATAAACGTCCTACCCCACAGTGCGGGAAAACGGACGCTTTTAAACGATAATGAAGATGAAAGTTCATGTCATATACAAATTCCTGAAAAAAATTTTGTTCGACGAAATGGAAGGGCCCATAGTCAAAGGCACATGCAAATCTTGCTTTGGTGGCTGACTAGAGTGATGTCCACATCTATGTAAAACCAATGATAACTTGAAAAGACAAAATTTCTTAAATTTTGGGGCTAGCCTCAATGATATTCATGTTGCTTTATTCTCCTCAGAAGTTTGGTTCGTTGTACGCATATTGCACCACATAATAATAATTGATTCTTATTGAGCGCTATTACAGACAAACTGATCAGAGTGCTATAACAACAGAAAAAAAAACATACAAATCATAACGATTAAATAAGGAACAGTGATTAAGATATCATGAATGAAATGAAATGAAATTTAGATACTCAAAACATACATTATGGATTCAAGATGGATACAGTTGGACTTTAAGTTTCTATTTGAAAGTGTATTTGCAGCTTGCTTAGTTTATGAACCTGCGTAGCTTCTGGACACTTGGCCATGCCATACTGTCTTGGATCTGAGCTACTTGGTAGGTGCAGAGATTATCATGGGACAGCATTTTCGAGGATGTGAAGATAATGCCAATACTATTAACTATAATAATACCATTAACTGTAAATTAAACACAAATATTCACCTTTTCTCCAATGAACTTCATATGATCTAATGCTAAAATACAGGAACCTTACAAAATAATGATTTTCTTGAGTTTTTCTTTCTACTTAACGGTAAGGGGGTGGGGGGATTTCGCAATAATCTGGGAAGAAAGCATGACAACGTTTCAGGAAAATGATATGAAACATTTTGTGTGTGAAAAGTCTTTAATATACACAACGGGTGTACTTTTACCCCTTGACTACTCAATTCCTTCATTCCCTTATGCTTTAATACAGGAGCTACCTGGCTCCCGTAGGCAAAAGATTAACAAACACAGGAGAGCGTTTCATTATTAGTTCTCTTACCTTCTGTAACCTCCCACGTTGTGGGAGCCAGTGGGAGCAGCATTTGATATCATAAAAGTGGACCAACGAATGAAGACTATTCTACGGCAATTGATTTTAAAGCAAATTAGGCATGTAATTCCGTTACTCTTAAATTGCCCTGTATCTTATTCTTATTCATTATGTTTCCTGCTTCACTACACGAAGATCTTTACATGGGTATGGCATTGAAAGATTGGGAAAATCAAAGAAATGCACATCAAAATGTTCCCTTGTAGCATTTACATGAATTCCATGGATTGCAGCTTGCAAATTACAACAACATACCAAAATTCTGCGAATTGTCATATAACAAATGTCTTGAAATATTTTCATTAGTTATTAAAATATCAATGAGTTCAAACAATAACACGGCAGAGTTATTTACTTTTACTATTTTTTTAACAGATGATGACGACTGTCGAAATGACCCTTGCTTAAATGGAGGTACTTGTGTAGACGGATCTAGGAGCTTCACTTGTATTTGTGCACCAGGGTTTACTGGAAATATGTGTGCTGTTCGTGAGTTGAATATATCATCCTTATTATTCTTTTAAGTGTTTATCAAATAATAAGGTTCATAAGGTTCAACAAATTAATCTTTACTGTTTGTACTTTTAGCGATAGAATTATATCCACATGGTCTAGCAGTTACATCATGACAAATGGGAGAAAAAGATGTTAAGTTTCACCTAAATGTGCCATTTACGAACACCAAAGTTTATACCAGAGTAGTGTAGTTTTACATCATATTCAAGAAGGCTTCTATTTCCATTAATATATACAACAGGCTTAAATACAAAGGGCACCAATATCGACCTTATGCAAGAATTGAACATGAAATTCCTATGATTTTTATGTTTTTCATAGCCACGTCACAAAGAAACATTTCCCCCCGTTTATGTTGGAACGGCATTTTGTGTGAATGTGTATTTCATATCTACATCTCATATCTTAATTTTATTCTTGAAAAAAATCTTTGTATATGGAAGTATTCAAATATTTGTAAATACTTAACAAAAACAAAAAATAAATGATTTTTTTCTCCATGAAACAGAATTGAACCCATGCCTTTCAGACCCGTGTCTTAACCAAGGGACATGTGTCAACAGAGTAACGTCATTTGAATGTGCATGTGCTGTTGGCTTCATTGGAATAATATGCGAAACAAGTAAGAGATTAAAAGAAACATATCATTGTAGAAATGCCACCAAGAAATCCATTTGTTCGAATTGGGTTTTGAATATGATAAGCAAGCTTTCACCCATATATATAAAATATGGCTCACTCCCTTATCAATTCTTTGAGTGGAACGATAAACATGCTCATGGGGCAGGATTATTCTTGAAAGAAAAAAAAAAATCATTTCTCGATTGCTTAGGATGACAAGAGTTGATGTGTTTTCTTCATACCTTAAATGAACATCCAGGGGATAGCTCTGACAAGACAGGAACAATATCCCTGTCGAACCTTACATCAGAATATCCATGAAAAATATCTCTGACTTATCAAAATTCAACAGTAATTAGTATTCTCACCCATATTAATTTTTAACAAATTTTAGTACTCCCCAATTTAAAGACAATCACGTGAATGTGTGGAAAACAATTCTTTATTTATAAAGATTCACTTCTTTTCTCAAAGTTAACTAGTGCATTAAAATAAATTAAAAGTTCAAAAAGTCTAAATACAAACAATTGTATGTTCACTCATTCTTTGATCACATTTATTGATCATGAACTCCATGGGCTAAAAAGATTAATAGCAACGTCATGAAGAATACTGATTTCAAATCTTACCTCAACTGCTTCTTGGAGCACTAGATCTGCCACAGTACGAATAAATTGCAACAAGGCTTTACAAACATAAACAGTTGCTGAGAGTTTTCTGCATATGAATAGCCTCACTTCAAATATTACAGTTAGACTTCGAATATACTAAATGTTGAGTTAATATATATATATATGTGCTGTCATATTTTTAGTAACATGATATTATCGAATAGTAACATTCATTTCCTGGGATCAATTAAATGAAATCATAACTTTTTTGTGTCTAACCTCATCGACTCCAAATGAGGTCAATCTCATACTATTTCAGAACCGTAAATAGAGGGAAAACCATTAGTTGTGTCTAAGCATATTAGGGATAATTTTCTTTGTAGTTCACTCCAAATTACATTAGAATCCACTCCAACGTGGTGGTTGAATATTATACTCCTTTGAGAGTGGGTTCCGCCATACCCGCCCCCCCCCAGAGAGTTGGTTAGCACTCCAAGCAAAGCGAACCTTAATAAAACTTATACCCTGTATCACTAGAGAGTACTATATCGTGTGCCACTTGACAATTGCAAAATGTGAAGATGAACTTTACAATACCAGGGATGTAGCAAAAGTGTGTTCTATTTGTCTTGAATAGATATCAACGAGTGTGCAAGCATTCCATGTGCAAATGGGGGATCCTGCAGGGATGGCGTCAATCAGTATGTGTGCTCCTGCACTACTAATTTCCAGGGTCCTAGATGCCGAATAGGTGAGTGCACGTCGTTGTTTAACATTATCATTTGTATAAAGGGTTATGTGTCGACCAGCAAACTGAGTATATATTGTGCCTTGCCCCAAAGTACACCAATGACCATGCATTTAAAAACAATATCTTATGGTCTGTTTGCACAACCCTTTCAAGCTGCTTGGAAGAGGACAACATTTCTTTTTCTCTCTTTGTTTAATGTGCAAGTTGCTACAAAAACTCGTAGATGCTATGTTGAAAAGCGAGGTTATATAATAATAATAATCATCATCATAATAATAGTAATTGTGGCTTCTTATGTAGCGCACATTTCCGTCACATCGTGACGCTCCTGGCCATTCATGTTCCCATTTGGTATTTTACATCGGCAGTTAACAATGTGAAAGAGGTTTATAAATATGAAAATCGATATAATTTACTCGTTGAACAAACGATATGGTTCAGTGTTGAAGACATGTATCACATATTGGAGATAACGTAATAATGGCTATAACATGTATCATTCTTTACTGAAATCTGAACAAAAATAAAAACTTTTCAATTAATGTTTGTGAAATCTTAAAAACAAATTTGCTATCAATGTATCAACTTTTCGTAAAGTATTGATATAATAATCTGGAAAATATGAGTCATGTTCAGTTAACCTTTTTATTTTTATTTATGAAATACAAGTACTGGATTGTCTTTACTTTGCCTTGGGTTTAAAGGGATAATAAATTGAATTGAGTGGAAAAATGTATGCAGCCAGTAGGATAGACCAGTTGCAAGAAGAGTTGAGAACAGTTTTTCGGCAATACTAAACCGATCATACTGGTACTAGATCCTAGGGAGAAAAAAAGGGTATTCATACTCCATGTTTTTCATACAAATTTTTCTTCCGATTAAATTGACACAGGTAGAAACATACCCCTCACTACAACTCCAACAACCACTACACTAACTTTTGACTGGCCGGCACAGCCTGGAGTCACTCTATATGGGATATCTCTCCAAAGTATCGACGGAAGCTCCACGCCACCTGCCCAAACACTGCCAGGGTCTCAGACGTCTGCAACATTCACGGGACTTGAACCGGGGAAAACCTACAGAGTAACTCTGGAAACTACTGCAGATGGGGTTGACTACCCACTCAGTGAAGATTTTGGAACAACAATCCTTCGTAAGTGAATAAATCAAAACCACCAGGAACCCCCCCCCCTCCCAAAAAAAAAATAAAAAAAATGTACCGTTCTGATGTAGACTAGGTACTTGTAATTCCGGCGCATCTAAAGATAGTTTGAGCCATTTACGCTTTGAAATTGACAATTACCAAAACAGAGACCATGATGGTACAAAATAATAACAAGAAAATCGAGAAATTGTTTGGCCAATGAGAAAGCTAATGATTAAATGAAACTTCGAGAGAATTAGAGCATATTTGTCATTGGTAAGTCAAATCATTCTGGTGTACTTAGCCAGGCAATGACTAAGTCTGATTTTGCCAATTGAGTTATTTTTTCTTCTAAACAGGTTAGACGAGTGGATTTGAACCATAATCGTCTCTCTAGAAATGTACGTGTGATAATTTGTTATGAATACCTTAACTGTTTTGCACGTATTTCCCCTTTTCCCGTAGCTCCATGTAACATTTCACCTTGCTTCAATGGTGGAACATGTCAGGATCAACCTACAGCTGCTCGTGGTTTTATTTGCCAGTGTACAAGTGCATTCACAGGGGATTTCTGTGAACAGGGTAAGAGTTACCAAGTCAGTATGATACAATAATAATAATAATAATAATAATGATAGTAATAATAATAATTATAATACAAATGATAATAATTAAATTAATAAGAATAACAAGAACAGCAAAAAAACAAAACACTTATAATGATGATGTTAAGGTGTTGTGGTCTTAGTGGATAAGTCGTTGGATTGTGTATCACAGTGTTCGCAGTTCAAGTCCTTCTACAGCACTAATGTCGTTGGCAAGATATTAATTACATTTGCCACTCTCTACCCAGGTGTTAAATGAGTACCGGTCGGAAGGAATTTCTTGAATGCTGTGAGCGCACAAAATCGGCTGCCTAGCAGAGCCGGGGTGATAGTTGGAGCGCCTTGAGCACCATGCATGGTGGATATGTGCGCTTTATAAATATCCAATATTATTGTTTTTGTTATTATTATTGTTGTTATTAAAATTATTATTATCATTATTATTATTGTAATAATGATAATGATTACAGCAATAATGATTATAATACTACTACAACTTCTACAACTACTACTACTTCTATTAATACTAATATCGATAATAATATTAATAGCATCAGCAATTAGTTGGGCATAATTATCCGGGATAGCCTCATTATTATTAATACTATTTTCCCCAAGGTCCCTGTAAACGTAAAATTAATTTTCGTTTACCTTGATCAGGCTTTAGCTTGGCTACCATGACAAGGTGCACGTGCATTAAATGAATTTCTTCCTACCAGGTACAGGTACAAGACATTTGTGCTGGGGCAGGGATCATTTTTCTTATTTGTAATATAACCATTTCAACATTAATTTCTGTGGCCAAATGTAAACAAAACCAACCTGGAGATTGAGAGATTTCTGTATTTAAGTATACCACTAAGTTTCAATATTTGATTCTTTCTGAATATATTTAAAAACTCATTAACAAAATGAAATAGCAACAATAGATAACAATGTTTGAATATTAATATTAATAAAATTAATAATATTAATTCAACTGGAAGATAAGACTACATTGATGTTTATCGAAATATGTTACCGTATAATAAAAGTTCTGTTAGTGTATATGTCCAAACTAATTGCAAAGTGATTGCATATGGCTGCGATAAAAAAAAATCTCCCATAACCTCCCATTTTTTAGCTTGTATTGTGAAATAAAAAGATTGTCGTAAATCACATTTCATACTTTCTTTAAATTTCTGTTTTTCAAGATGTCAACGAGTGTAACCAAAACCCATGTGTGAACGGCCAATGCATCAATACATTTGGCTCTTACATCTGTATTTGTGAGTTGGGCTTCCAAGGCACAAACTGTGAAGAGAGTAAGTATTCTCCCTTTTTTGAAAATGCTGAAGATATCATGATTTATCAACAGGGACATGTATAGCTGGTGTTTTGCTTATTTTCGCTATCTCAGTAGTATAATCTTTATACTAGTTAATGTAGAACCAAGATAAATAGGAGAAAATGTCATAAAATAATTGATTAGAGGACTTAATTAAAGCCTTTGAAAACAAATTTGAGTAGGTGTTGGTCTCCTGTCAAACATTCTCATTACCCATGTTTACGTTATCATCTAGAGGTAGAATATCTTTGATTGACAATCTAGTGGGTTAAGAATATTGCATGGACTTCCTCATTGTAATTAATCATCTAATTAACAGATATCAACGAGTGTCTGAGCAACCCTTGTCGAAATGGAGGAACGTGTGAAGATCTGGCCAATCGATTTGTATGTGAATGTGCTCTTGGATTTACCGGTACCAACTGTGAAACCCGTGAGTAATTGGATAAATAGATAATTTTGTTAAAAGGAATGTAGAAATAATCTCTATAAAATACTATTTGCATACATGTGTGTAATTTATACGCATTTTCAAACTGATGTATTTTCGGAGTGAAATATGTCTTTGTAGACTTTAATAGATATAAGCTCTTTCTTATATCCCTTTATGACTTTATAACTCAATGTTTTAGTTTGCACATTTCTTTTTGCGACTAGAGTCAGCTATGCTCTCTTGGTAGAACATTCAAAGTCTGCTAGGAAGCTTTACTTTACACCACATAACATTTGCTAGTTCGTTCCTCTTCTCAATGAAAGACGTTCACATTTTGTTTTGTTATGACTAATATTTGATTTAGAGGTGGATGTTTGCGACAGTGGACCTTGCCTCAACGGTGCCACGTGTCTAAATGCAGTTACTATATTCATATGCCAATGTGCACCCGGATTCCAAGGCACGCGATGTGAAACAAGTAAGTTTTATACTCCATTGTTTTATATTCATATTTAGAGAGAATTAGCATAATAATCATGTGAACAGGAAATAATAATGTGAAGATAGCGTTGTGACACAAGACAATAAATATCAGCATACTTAAATAAGAAGTGGAAGATGATATAGATTAATCATTGTTTTGGATTAGATATTGAGCATTACTTTATGCATAGCTCTTTGTTCTGTGTTAATGATATGTGAAAATTCAATGTTTTAGAAAATTCTGAAGGTACCTATTTTGTTGTACTGTTCTGGTGTTTTTCCTTTTCAAATTCACATTTCATTTAATAAAGTAATAAATAAAGTATCATTGTAAAAAAAATACAAAGACAAATACATACATAGTTTTATACAAAGTTGCATCTTTCAAAATTGAATAAAAGAATGACACTAAAAGGAACACACACACACAATAGAAATAAAGAGTAGTCGTTTACAGCTTTGCTTATAGCATTTACATATGGCCGTCTACGATTTAACATCCATGCGATGTTCAAAGGTTGATATTGTCAACAATGAGTACAATTTTGCTTCTGTCTTTCAACTCCTCTACGTTCCAACACTTCAATATACTCTAGGCTACATGTCAATATGCAAAAACCCCTCGGCATGAATACATATCTAAAACATTGGAGTGTTAGAACGTAAGGTCGTCACTGATAATGCAAAGAAGATTATACTTGTATACCTCTGAATAAGATGAAAATGAGTCATAAGTGAAAGGTGTTTATTTTAGGAAGAGCTATGCTTTTTTTTCTTTTAAAGATATTAACGAATGCTCCAGTCAGCCATGCTTAAATGGAGGGACTTGTTTGGACGATACGAATAGATACACCTGCATGTGTCTACCAGGCTTTGAGGGAACCAGCTGTGAAAGAAGTAAGTTCCAAACAGAGCTGCATTTTTCCTCGATAGCATGTTTATTAAAGCTGTAATTTTAAACAATTTTCAAATCTTCTCTATGAAGAGTAACAAATCTAATGTGGGCATAGGGAATCAGTAGGCCTACATTCATTCAACGAACAAGAAAGTGTTCAGTATTGTTAACATCAAGCTGTGTTATCCCTTCTTTTTTTTACCAGGAACTGATACTTGCATTAGTAACCCTTGCCAGAATGGAGGAACATGTATCAATAGTGTTGGACTTTACATTTGTCAGTGTGTTCCAGGCTTCCAAGGCACCAACTGTGAAACACGTAAGTAAACGATGAAATACAGAAAGAAAATGATTTGCCCCTGAATGGTAGTAATGATACTGAGAGTCAATGGGTCGCAATACCTGGATTGTTAGTGATTACAGGGAAATATATCTGTAGAAGTTTATATATATATATACTTTTGGCTCCCTCACAGATATACATTTACAGCAGTAGAGAAGTGACCTAACACGAGTGCTATGTGCGGAAGTGTAACCATTAAGACAGAGAGAGAGAGAGAGAGAGAGAGGGAGAGTGTGTGATTGATACACGCCCATGCTTAAAATGTCTAGTAATCTGGATCCGACACCTTGTAAAATCATGATATCATTTCATCTGTCCATTATTCCTAGAAAACAACGAATGTGCTAGCAGTCCTTGCCTGAATGGAGGGGCCTGCACGGACGCAGTGAACAGATTCGTCTGCACATGTCCCAGTCAATACAACGGCTTGCGATGTGAAACAGGTACGTATAGAAACCCATATTATAGGACAGTCTGCATGGTTATGTGGCTTTAACATTGAATTTAATTATGTATAGTTTTATTTAAAATGTATTGAAATATCACATCCAAAATGATATTACAATGAAATATCGCTGACAATTTTGACCTCCATACAGAACTATGTGATTCTTTTTTAACATAAATTCAAACATCATCATACAGCAAAACCTGTAATGCGGCATTTCTAGGAAAGTGTCTCCATACACAGCTTGCTAGTACAGACTCGATAGGAATGCAAGTGTTTTTTTAATTTTATAGACAAGTGGTTCTTTAATTCAGGTGGTCACAAAAGCAAGTTTCACTGTAGTACAAGAAGAAAAGTAAGCCTATAGCATTAAAATGGCTAGGTAACAAATGTCGTTTTTTCTAATGAAAAGAAGGAATGTTTTTCATTACTATTGTTCTATGTATTGCTATATTATGAACTTATTCTTTCATTTCTTTCATACATGTATGTATGTACAGATATGATAGTTATCCTTTAATTCTCAACTGTATCCAACCCACAGAGGTCGATTCTTGCATATTAAGCAGTACAAGCTGTTTAAATGGAGCAACTTGTATCAATACTCAGGATGGATTCTTTTGCCTCTGTCTTCCCGGCTATACTGGAACTCAGTGTGAAAACAGTAAGTGAACTTAGTAACCGATCTAATGTACATAAAGGCTTTTCTCTGTGTAATATCATTGTCAAAATATGGAACTATTTGTCATCATTGTTCTTAAAGACGATACATTTCTTTTCACACTGTATAGCAGACTTTGTAAATAAATCTACTATAGTTTATTCTAGTAATGTTTTAAATCAAATAGTTGAAGTACTTTCAGTTGCTCCCTGACATTTCTGACAGCGGGGAAAAACCCGCTTCTACTGTGAGCATAACGGCAATGTCTATTATAGACAGTATGTAAATGTAGACACAAAATTCAAACGACTTATCTTTTCTTTTCATTGAATGATCGGGACAATATGATTTATTCTTGAGAGATAAAGTTTATATCTTCTCAGAACTTATTTAGCAATTTCCAAGACTTTTTAGATCGATCAAGGAATTTCTGCTGAGAAAATATAAACTTTATCTATGAAGAATAAATCATATTCTCACAATCACTTCTTGAGATAAATGTATACAAACCCTATTGGCAACTTTATATGTATGTTCCTGTTTCAGATATCAATGAGTGTGGTAGTAATCCCTGTCTGAACGGAGGCACTTGCTTCGATCAGGTCAATCAATTCCTGTGTCAATGCCAACCTGGATTTGCTGGAACAAGATGTCAAACCAGTAAGTTTCAATTGGCTTTCTTTAAATATGCCTGTACTCTACTAAGGCATGCATTCTACTAAAATGTTAATCCCGATGGTTCGTTTGAGGTTTTGTCTGAAGTAAGGTTTCATATGTGTGCTCTACAAATGTACCGTTTTAGGAAGTCATGATCTGTCAATACCGATGTAAATATTTTAAAGAAATCTGTTAAATTAGATATCAAGGAATGTTCATCAAATAGTTTTTATTTATGCATGGACGAGATTAAATTGTATTTGAATATTGACGAAATAACTGTTTACCGTTTCTTTTACCAGATATCAACGAATGTTCGTCAAATCCCTGTTTCAATAGTGGAGCATGCGTGGACGAAAATTCTGCTTACAGGTGTATTTGCAGCACAGGTTTTTCTGGGATTCGATGTGAACAAAGTGAGTAAAATTAAATGAGACACAATGATTAGATGAAAGGAGTTCTTCTGTTGCCAAAGCCACGGAATAAGTCGATAAAATATTTCTCATTTACTCCTATGTTCTTGTTGTGCAGGAGCCAGCGGACCGTAATCTCGCTATTATTCAATTCCTAATAATTTGTATTCTGATTAATTTGTGGAGATCTTAAATAATATTTGAATATTCTGTGCCTGTATTATCAATCATATATGCAATTCGAAAAACAAGTAATGCTCATGAGTATCTCTCTTTATACTGATTCTGCTCAACATTCTCTTCACTCCCTTCATTTACGTGTGCTATTGAAATTTAATGTATGTACAATACAATTTGTGGCACATATTATTATAGATATTTAATCCTTTGTGCAGTATCGTTTTTTTTCTTTCCTTTTTTCTTCTCCCTCTTTTTCCTTTTGATAGGTATTTTGTTATCTTGATTAAATAATGAACTCTGTATGTATGTCTGTATTGTTATATAATGACCCCATCAGTAGTCTTGATTTGTTACCAAATTTTGCCTCGTTCCTACATTTGAAATATTTATTTCATGTTATGTTCATTTTAGTTGTAAGAAAGGAAATAGATGTTTATTGAACTAAACGGAATGATAAAAACTAATGATATTTTTCTTACTTCAGATACCAATGAATGTCTCAGTGCACCATGTCAGAACAGTGGTACATGTATTGATAGTGTCAATACATATATGTGCATATGTCCCCAAGGCTTTGGTGGAGTAAATTGCGAAAACAGTGAGTAGTATTACATATCTACTAATCTAAGTAATACAATGAATGATATAGTTTTTTTAATATAATACATGTAAACTGATTGAGTTGCATTTAAAGATGACCAATTTGATGATGACAGTTTTCACAAATTAAAATAAACACTTATCTGGTTCTTGAGTTAGTTAATAATTTAAAATGGGACTTCACAAATTTCAACCAATACTATCATACTATACAAGACGTACAAAAGCTATTATCTGTAAGATACTTTTTGGCAAAATTTATTACAGCCAAGTAATGAGAGAAACAAAGTAAAGAAAACAACTACATCCAAAATAAGTGCTGCCATCTGTGGATTTCTGCCTATGTGGTTATTGAAATATAAGCAATAAAGTTTGTTAATATGTTTACTTTTCCCTAGTCCCCAAAAGCCATCTACATGTATATGCGCTATGTGTCTCTTTAGATTTTTTAGTGAAATGTATTATTATAGTTTTTAATATTACTATTATAATAATGACGATGATGATAATAATATTAATGATCATAATAAACAGTATCAATATTACTTTTATTTCTAATTTTACTACTTTCATTATTGTACAGTTCATGATAAGCATTCGGTGATATGGTAGTTGATCTCAAAAGTCAGTTCCATTACCTCAATAACCAGGACTTCGGATTAATGCGGATAAATCCTAAAATACCTAATGTACTGATATCACTTTATATACATACAGATTTAAATGAATGCCTCATCAATCCTTGTTTCAATGGAGGAACTTGTCAAGACCTTCTGGCTGGATACAACTGTCTCTGCCCCCCTGGATTCGAAGGAATAAACTGTCAACTAAGTATGAATATATTTTTAACATTACTTAATTGAAGAATTCGATCAGATAAATATTGTTTGTGGATAAACCACTGAATAAGACTTGGATTGAAATTTGTGATCTTTAGACATTAACAAATGGTGTTAATTAACATCTAGTAACTAATTCATTTTTGTGTCAAATGGTGTGTGTGATTGAACAAAGGAGGACAAAACATACAATTAATATTAATTTAATTTAATTCAATTCAATTTAAATTTATTTCAATTCAATCAATTTTTTCTTCAGTTCAAATTCACAAAATATGTTTACAAATCCACTTTATTAACTTCTTGTTCTTCCATTGTCTTTTCAATGTCTTTTATTCAGATACCTTTGAGTGTAACAGTAACCCTTGTCTTAATGGGGCTACATGTATAGATGGTGTCAATCGTTTTACGTGTAACTGCGCATCTGGATTCCAAGGTGCTACATGTGCAGAAAGTGAGTCATCTCCAGCCTGTAATGAATTGAATCATAATAGCAATTATTATATTGATGAAATGCTGTCAAGTCATCAATCCACTCGACTACGGCACTTCTACATCATTTATCTTGTAAACTTCCAGAGTCACTCATTCAAGATTTATACCTTTATCGTGTAGAGTCTTCCGACCAAGCCTTTAAAAGGTCATGAAAGGAGTGGTAATTTGATTTCAGCCTCTGAAACGTAGAACAATATAAGCAGAGTGTTCAGTTAACCAAAGCAAAAATAACTGCACTTCTTATTTCCTCTTTGCTGCATTAGAATATTATTTTTACCTTATTCTAACTCATGTATCATCTTTTAAAGGGGGAGCTCTGATGGAACTACACGCACAATTGATGATAATTATGATGGCTTCTTGTTTAGCAATTGTAGAATAGATAATTGTAACTGAATCAGCATAACCACTTAAACATCATAACATATTATGTTTCTTCCTCTGCTTCCAGCCATTGATTTCTGTGCGAATAGGCCATGTTCCGGAACGGCAACTTGTATCAATACCGAGGGAACATTTAGATGCCTGTGCCCTCTTGGCTTTTCTGGAGTCCTGTGTGGGACTAGTAAGTTGTCCTTGTCACTCCATCTGTGCTTTCTCATATGTTTGTTAAAGTCCACATCTTCATTCCATTGTGCACATAGGGTAACATTTTAACCGTATTTGGTTAAAAAAAGGGAAATGCGTCTGCGATAGGGAATAGCTTACCCAGTATAGAGTAAATTCAACCAAATTTTAGATATATTTAGCTCAATATTGGGTTGAATTTAACCCAACACACACGGATGTTTCCATTTTTAAACCCAAAGGGTAAAATATTACCCAACTCTTTTTTAGAGTGTATGAAGGTGGAACGTTTTCAATTAAACGATGTTTAAGTTAAGAATTTGCATTTTAATGTATATTCTGTAATTATTCATAAATAGTCATCCTTTAATGCTTGCGGATGTTGACTTGATGTTATTGCTGTGATTTGTATCCGTAGCTCTTAAACAAGATTTTTATACGATATTGATAACAAAGGTTGTGTCTATTGTGACGTGAAATCTATTTTCAATCGATTTTTCTGAAACAGGTACTCTTGTTTTTCCATTTTTTGATAATCCAGAAGTTGATTTGTTAATTATCGTGTGCTGATAAATTTGATTTCTTATATTTTTCTTATCAGACAACAACGAATGCAGTCCCAATCTTTGCGTGAATGGAGGAACTTGTGTAGATGGAATCAACTCGTTCATCTGCAACTGTCTTCCAGGATATAACGGACAGAATTGTCAAAATAGTATGTACTATTGCTTTATACATTCACGCTTAAATCAACAATGATGCTTATATATCCAAGTGTAATTTCTCTCACCCTGTCCCTCACTTTTCCTTTATGTCCTACCCTATCATACGCAGCTTTATTGAAAAGTAATGACTCCTTTAATAGCGATCTAACCATCACGCTGTGATGCTCATGGTACTTTGGCATTATTACCCCATTTAATAGCTGAGCTGCCATAGTAACTTGCGCTCAAGCATATCAAGTACCCATTTACCCTGGGATTTAGATTGGCAAATATAGAATCACGTCTTGCCAGAGGACATTAGTGTCTGGCCGGGAATTTGAACCCGGTACTTTGGATCTACATTTTTAAGACGTAACCACTAGACCAAAAATACCTGGATTAGAAAGCCAAAGAGGAGATGATAAGTTATGGTTTAGAAAATGAGGGTGAGGATAGGTTGCAGAAGTGGCCTTCATGTATATGTAATCCACGTGGATTTGTTGAAATCAATATTTTTTAAACATTTACTATTAACATAATGTATTTATATGAAGTATCATAATGGAACACAATAAATAAGAATCACATCTGGCGTAAATTACATATGTCGCTATTGTAATTTATTATTTCAAAATCTTAAAAGAGCTATTTGACGAGGTTTATTATAATTTTCATATGAAACATACTAAAGAATAAACCCATTTATTGAGATATTACCTGTGCATAAGAACTAGGGACGTTCTCTCCGAGTATCTAAACTAATGATATGAAACTATTATAATTTTCACTTTTTTATAGACATCAACGAGTGTGCCAGTATTCCTTGTCGGAATGGAGGTACCTGTACAGATTTAGTTAACGGATTTAGATGCCAGTGCACTGCTTTCTTCCAGGGCGTCGTGTGTTCAATACGTATGTATTACCGTTATCCAATATATATGTAAATAAATATATACCTCGTTATGATAACATGAATGTTATCAATTTTTGGTGATAATTTACATATTTAAATAGTTCATACACATAATGATGAATTTACAAAAATTGAACTGAACTTCATACCATTTGATTTACTGATATCAATTTTATTGTCAAGGTATTATATAATTGTCAGAAAATTAAAACAAGGTACTTCATACCAGGAATCGATCTAGATCAAACTGACTTTTGTTTATACATTAAGTGTGTTAGCATTGACTTAAAGATAAACTCCAGTACTGGTAAAAAAAACAAAACAATTCTCACAGAATCAAACGAAATTTACACTGAATGTTCAAGATTACAAATAAATGACATGTGCCAAACAATTTTGGAAGAAAATGTATACTGGCTGAGTAATGAGCATAGAAAGACAAGGAAATCAAGGTAGTACTAGCCCCGATGGATTTCCTGTTGTCCCATATATAGCTTTCTATGTGAGTGCTTGTTACTTTACCAAGACTCGGTCAAATTTATTATGATTTTGATGACTCCAGAACCTTGCAGTGCACACCAATACTTACATGCTACATGATCAACTGTTTCTGATCCTTTCACACGTTTTCTTTCACAATGCAATCGCATTACCAGTACTAAAGTTTATCTTTAACTCACCACTTTTCTGCAGTCAGAAGCCGGGAATTGAAACATGAAATATTATTCCAACCGTTTTTTATCTATTGATTGGTCATAACATTATTTCTTATTGATTGTTTGTACTCAATCGGATTCCCTTTACAAATGAACAGCATTGTTGACGCAGAAATCATAACATATTTTCTTAAAATTTTTTCTATATGATAAAGCTCATGCTAATGAGCAGCAATTTCGGTGGCCATAATACTCTTTGCCTAACTAATATTTCCTTATTAATTGCTTGTCTTCGAATCAAATCTCTAGCACGTGTGATCCAGATGTCGGAGACGAGTACCACGCCGAGGACGCTACGTGTCGAATTCGACCCCGTCGACAACGAACCTGCTGCTGTGTATGATGTCATCATCACAGCACCAGACGGGACCATCGTTGCCATGCGGTCTTTCACTGAGGCCGATGTGCAGAATGGACGGGTAAGGGCAGACATCGGGGGACTAGACCCAGACCTCACCTACACGATAGATTTACGAGTTACAACACCGGAAGGGACTTTCCCTCTTGATACGATGATGCGTAGTCCACCAGGTATGATTACACTGTTCATACTGTTTGTCAATCTAAGCTGTAAATCACTTCAAAGATTCATGGTACTATTGGGGGCAATTGTGGGCTATGCATAATGTTAGTAAGTGTTAGTTAGTTCACCTTTACAAGTTAAACCAGTTGAAGCTATCTGACCCAAATTACAATGCAGCAATTCTTTTCCGGAACGCAAACTGCATTATCATTGAAAAATTATTTATTAATAACACACAGGTCATTAGAATTTGGAGCTGCTAAATACATATACCATCTTGATGAGGCTTAATTTAGCTAGACTTTTATTATTTATGTCGAACAACCCTCATTTAACTAACACAAATTATTATGCAGTTTGGTTTCCGGATGGGTCTTTTCGTGGCACTAAATCTGACTATTAGAGCTATCTTAATATTTCTAAACTTTTCCATATTAATAGCAGTTATTTGTGATTGCTGCAATGACATCAAGCAGCGTGATTTGCGATGTGGGAATTATTGTTTTAATATATCATACTTGTATGTAGCCGGCATGGGTTTTCCATGTATTACTTTATAAGTACACATAAATATCGTGTATGTAAATCAAGTTGTTCAAAATACTTTTTTTAAACAATAATAATAGAGAAGGTAGCTATAAAATCTAATGAAATCAACTAGAACATTTTCAAGCCATTTTAGTTCATAATGATTGTTGTTCGAAAGTCATGCATTGTGCTGCTATAATTACTAATATGCAAGAACAAATTCGTCTCCCAAAATGCTGTATTTCACATTTGTCAACATTGGCGACCATTAATGGAATGATATCACTTTATCATGTTCTCATCCTTGACAGGTGTGTGCGATTCAGGACCATGTTTGAATGGGGGATCATGTTCAGAAGCACTCGGAACTGCTTTGGGATATACATGTATCTGTCCTGCAAATTTTCAACAACCAAATTGCGCGATTCGTGAGTAATTTATTATTTCATTGATAGATTATGCTTATTTTGCCTTAAATCTTTATTTTGTGCATGTATTGAACGTAGCAATTAATTTGTCTATATATTCAATCTTTCATCATATTACTGTCTAGGCTAACAAGACCAATGTGGAAGGCAATTTTGTAACTGAAAATGCTCCCTTGTCACATTAAAACTATGAATAAATAAGTTAATAATTGAATACTCAATGTGTAATATAAAATTGTTACAAGAAACAGATGATTTAAATGTATATAACATTCATCGTTTCCTATGATTATGCAAAATATTATTATCATTTTCTATGACAGAAGCAAACCCATGTAATAGCAACCCTTGTCAAAATGGAGGCACTTGCCTGAATGCTATAACATCATTTGTATGCCAGTGTGCGGTCAGTTGGCAAGGCAGAATATGTACATACCGTAAGTTGTTTAACCTCATTAATTTTACATCCTTTCTTTTACCTAATTAAGTTAGCTTCATATAATAGTGATAATGTTAAATATAACAATGATAATAATAATATGCTACTTTTATAAAGCGCTTAATACAAAATGTCTCTAAGCGCTTTACAGATATATCATTACCCGGTCATCGGATTCAGGCTTGCCCGCATAATGATAATGCTAAATGATTAATCATAACAACAATTATTAAAAGAAGTGATGATGATTTTAACTAAGAAACTCATCCATTAGTATCAGTATTAGCAGTTATTGTGGTATTTAGTACAAATGGCATTATAATTGTTTGAGTTTGTACATATCATACAAAATATAAAGCCTTTTGAGTAAATCACCTCGGTGTATATGTGAAGATTTCACTTGAATTTCGTTTCTCCTTACAATTCTTTAAATGGCCCAATTTAACATTATCTTTCATCAACATTATTGAATTCCTGCAATAAAAGGCAGTATTTTAATTTCATTCCGCTAATGATTTTCTTACGATTGGATTTTCCAACAGCTCGTTCAATCCCGATCACTGTCAACCCACAAAGTCCCACTACCTTGCTCGTTAACTACATCCAGCCCACTGGGACGTACACCTCATATGATGTGACGTTGCTAGATATTGTGGGACAGCCTGTCCAATCTGGTACCATAGGCCCGAACCAGGTCCAGCCAGACGGCACCTATCGTTACATATTTAATGGTGTCCAGCCCAACACCAACTACCAAGTGGTAGTGACTGGCCAGACTCCTGAGGGACCATTGGATCTAGGTCGTACCAACACTCAGACGCCAAGTGAGTGTCCCTTTAAAACGTTGTGAATACACAAGTATTTAAAACACATGTGCAAAGACTTTACAAATGCCTTTAAAAATATTTCCCAGAAAATGGTAGGAAAATGCAAACAACTACCAATAGCTTAACAAACGTTTGGCATTACAGAATCACTAGCTGTATTAGCAGATAAATAGTTAATTATCAATGATTTCCACGATATATGCTCCTCCAAAACTGCTCCGTAATCATTTCCTGCACTAACTGAACTCCTCAATTCAACCCTTAGGCTAATACTATATACCTAGCCCTAACTATTATCCTAAACCTACAGTAAAACCCAGTTGCAACCCTTACACTAAGTTTGTATTTTTGATGAATAAAGCCTGGAGAAATTGTCACAAGAGCAAAGGTCGGAGAACTGGATAAATGACGAAAGGGATATGCATTCTAAAAGCCTTCATTTACCCATCATGGACGAAATGTGACTAGACGAAATCCTACGCACCTTACCTTATATCGACCTGATAATAGCATTTGTTGTTTTCTCTTTATTTCTTCTGCCTAGATGTCTGTGACATTTCTCCCTGTCTCAATGGAGGATCGTGTCTGAACAACCCGAATTTAGCATCTGGTTACGTTTGTAGCTGCGTACCAGGCTACACCGGACAGAATTGTCAAACAGGTAGGAATGAATGGTTCGGCTAATTTACTTTCATTATTCTTTTCCCCTTCGAAATGTCTTGATGTTGTATTTTTCATATTTTCAGATGTTAATGTTATTGCTTGTCTAAAATGACAAATCGCCATGATATCAAATTTATCAATATCACTCTGTAGTGTCATATTCCACACATATACATATATGAACAATTATATTACATGTTTATGAATCAATGTATTTCATATGTAAAACAAATCATTTCATTTGTGAAACATTATGTAATTCTGTTTCCGTTAATTTGCTCGGTCATGATTTTCATATCTTTGAAAAATCTACATTTACCACATGGACACATTGTTATAATTCATATTTGTTGAAGAGAAAGTTATGCGAATCATAGGACTTACAATGTAAAAAAGGAAACAATGAATTACACTACCTGTAATGTTTCCTGTGTTGTGCATTGATTATGAAAATAGTAATGTGTTCTGTTTCAGACATTTATTTTATCTATTGCTTTTTTATAAAACGTGGAAATAAAACTTGAACTTGAAAACTTGTAGATACCAATGAATGCATCAGTGGCCCATGTGGCAATGGAGGGACATGCCAACAGCCTTTCATCAACATGTTCCGATGTGCCTGCACCCCACAATTCACTGGACTGACCTGTCAGATTCGTAAGTATTCTCCATCAAAATGTAAACAAATTTATGTAAATGAAATGTACTTTGATAGCAAACATGTGCTGAAAATGCCTTCTTACACATTTAAATGTTGTGTCTTTTAAAAGAGAAGGAGGATTATCATTCTGTCTACCATGAATATTGTTGTTCTAAGTATGAATTACCGAACTTTTCTTGTCCCTTTTTAAAGCAAATACAAATAAGAATAGGGTAGTCTTTCTACCCGAATGTCTTAATGAATTAGGGGATCTAATACCATTTATAGTATTGAAACATTTCCATTCTTAAATGTTTGTATTGTTTAGACTAGAAATATATGATTTTTGCCTGATTACCTAGCTTCATCAAACCTAATGCATGGAGAAAATTACAGCTAATGAATACAACCTGTTGTGTTATTTTGGGCAGGATTATGTATTTACTTGTATTCTTACAGCTGTAAATGTTGTCGTACGAACTGGCACTGTCACCCCGTCTTCGGCAACCATCATATTCAATGCCGTCCCGGGAGAGAATGTACAACAGTACACTCTGGAAGTCAATGATCAGCAGGGTAATCCCGTCCAGAATGTCCCGGTAAATCCTAACCAGGCTACCAACGGACAGTTCAATATACCGGTCAATAACCTACAGCCGGGCACCGGGTACATCGTATTTGTACAAGGCGCCATTGGTGGACAGACATTCCAACTTGGTTCCACAACGGTTAACACACCATGTGAGTTATTTATCAAAATGAAGCTCCACTTGAAACTTAGAAGTAAAAAACAGTTTGTAAGTCAAAGAAACTATATAAGTTTTAAACCAGATGTTATAAGCAGTATTTAAGAACTCTAGTACGAGAGGAGGGCATTATACTTAAAGTAGATATTCATTGATTTTAAAAACTAACTTTATTTTCATTATTGCAAAGATAAACCTTTGATTCGACAAGGTTATCAAAATTCAATGCTTGGAAACATTCGAAGTAATGATTATTATAAATTACAAAACACTTAAAAACAGCCCCGGCATAGCACCTGAAGAGCTCTCCGAACGCTGCTGAGATGTGTGAGATCCCAGTATGGACATGATTTGCACAAGCAGACGATGTCCCATGAAATCTCACACATTTTTAGTACCTGTGTTTTCATCTTCTCTTGAGTTCTTTCTCTTACTTCACTACCGTCAGGCTAAATGTATAATCTATTGCCTCATTCTAAACCCCGCGCATGGTTTTATTTTGATGACAAATGCAGCGATACAAAAATAAAGGAATTTTTCGCTTGTAAACAAAATAAGACGCCATTGTATATTCAGCTGCGCACACCGCGGTATGTTAGGCGTTTCAAGAGGGAACAAATGCCGTCCTTAATATCATTCCGGGCGGTTTTCAATTTGAAAGTCTGGTTTCTTTGATTGTTAATTAACCCCTATCCTGTGTATTTACAAGCAAAGGATTTTAGTTATCAGAATCGGGTCATATCCCCTTTTGAATGGTTTGACATGCCATTACATTTATATGCAATAAACTCATTATAATTTGACAAATAAAAGCTTTGCAATTATGTTCATTCTTTATGGGATGTCGTCTGCTTGGGCAGTATTGGTCCATATAGTGACGTCATTAAATCATCGTTATTTTTCCGGCGAATCTCTGGTATATCCCAGCTGCTATGGAGGTGGTTGTATTTGTATTTCTATAAATTACCTGATATGTAGTTACCTGAAATTTGTACGATGGCCATCTGTTAGCTTACCAGTTTCTAGTGATACATTAGTTGACACATTTTGTGATTTTCTTTGAATTTCACCTTTAAATGATACAGCGTATAATATTTCATTAAATGACAGGTAAACATCATCGGGTTCAATATTATCCCTTTTTATCGCTTTAACTATTATCGCCAGTTTTGATTTTACCTGGACAAATATCCATGTTTTATTTAGATGATCAATTCTTGCAATTTGTTTAGTCTATGCATTTTCTTCTTTACACTGCAGCTTTGTGTACCCCAACTACATGTTTGAATGGTGGAACGTGTACTGATGCTGGTACATCATTTTTCTGTATTTGCCTTCCCGGCTTTGATCGAAATACGAATTGCCAAGGTGAGATAAATATTACTGTCCAATAAAATACTGGCAAGTGTTATTCAAACATGTTGACAACTCGACTTTCAATCTATCTATACTTACTAAAGAGAAAAACATCACCAAGTAAATTTTCTTAAAATACGGAATTCAGGTGTAATCATATTTTTGGGGGATTAAAAGTGAGTTAAGCAGGTGGATTTAAAATACTTCTTGAATAATTTTTGCTTTATACTTATTGTAAATATTGTAGATTTTCCTTGTTCATGCCATCATCTTCTTCAGAATCATTTAGCTGTAAATAACATGAATTTCCCAATACAATACCTAAAGGAAAATGTCATAATCTTTCAATGGTGTAGATATATTACTCCGTTCACAGATTTGGAAACTGCCTATCATTTCGTTTATTAATCCGAAACAAAAAACACTCTCTGTCGAACTGTTTGATTCTAATGATATAGTGAAACCATCTCCCAACAGATATTAACGAATGTTTGAGCAATCCTTGCCAAGCCGGAGGAACATGTAACAACGGACCAAACCGATACGATTGTGCATGTCCTGTAGGTCGATCTGGAGTGAACTGTCAATTGAGTAAGTTGCATGAATTCTTTCTTCATATAATTTTATTCCATAGTTATTGCTATTTTGTATTCAAACTGAAAGATACTATGTCCCTTTTGCAGCCAACATCAAAGTATGTAGAACTTTGCTGGAACTATGATATGTCATGTATGTCCTATCTGTGAAATTCAAACGTTAGCCGTATCCTAGTATTCAAATTATGCAAGGAAACCCGTTTTCCATCTAGACTTTACTGTCAGACATTATTGAGTGACTGACTGATATCTTTCTTTCTTTGGTAATAACGTACATAACATGAGTTGCAACAGGTACATGACCATTTAATGAAATTCAGTAAAGAGAAGAGTTCTGAACGAAGTCAAAAACGGTAGAGAATGTGAAAAATATGCAAAATACCTTATTGACATGTTACACGAACATATTGTTTTCAGTATACTTACCATTCTGTTGTACCCCTACTGTTATACCATATCAAGGAATATTTAGAAAAAGTTAAAATATCTACTTCAGATTAGAGAATGTAAGAATAAAAGAAAGGGAGGGTATTTAAGAAGACAGAGAGAATAAGAAGAAGATGAAAAAGAAGAGGAAGAAGAAAGAGTATAAAAAGTATATTCATCATGATCATGTACTATATTGAATGTATACTAAAAACAGGGCCTTGAGACCAAATCAGAAACGAGTTTGAACAAAATTCAGACAAATATGAAGTATGTGTTTACAATTCACATATGTAGTACTTGAATGAGGGATCAAATGCGACCCGACTCTACTGTCCTTTGGTTAGACATTAATCCACATTTGACACTCTCCAGCCAGTAAATGGATACCTGTCAATTGCTGGGGTAATAACAGTTGTAGGGTCCACGGGAAGAGCAGCATTGGTATTGGTGTGGGTCCCCTGGGATAATAATGCCTAATTATTGTTATAATTATTATTGATTCATGTGTAAGGACTAAGTCCGGAACCTTTCTATCAGAGCCAAGAGCCTTCATCAATATAACCCCGTCCTCCCGTTTCATACACTAAAATATCGGGGCAGCAGCACCGGGAGTGTCAGAACGTGACGGACATGTGCGCTATATAAGAATCTACCATTATTATTATTATAATATCTTTCTTTCTCATTATGCAGCCCAATGCGACTTGTTCACCAATATATGCCAAAATGGAGGGACATGTGCACCAAGCACACAGCAGCCGGGTTTTAGATGCTTGTGTCGAAGTGGGTTCACTGGAGACTTTTGTGAAACTCGTAAGTTTTTGACAGAGTTTATCCCTCATAAACATTTTAAAAATCTGACTTAAAAACAAATGAAAGTATGTTGTCTATTGTAGAAGAAACCCTGTATTTCTGACACTTGTGCTATGTTAGATCTTGAAATTTATTAGTGGAAGGTCAACAAGTTATATATAAAATTAATTTACTTTTGGCACAGACATAATGGAATACTTTTTGATCAGTTACATATGTTTTGAAAATTACTTCAAACATGTGAGTGTTCCAGTTACACATAAAGTGGCATGAGCGATAGCTTTTACGGTGAATTTTAGACCTGGTACACGATGCACATTTAATGAAAGTGTACCGATGAAATGAAAATACCGTTTTGCTAGAAGAAACGATGCAATGTGTCCCCCAAACGCCACCAAAACATCCACAAAACTAAAATTTTCCTTTTTATATTGATTATTGTAATTTGTTGTCTCTGGTTCCATTGTCATCTCACCCTGAATCAATTTTGTTGCTTTCAGAAACACCAAGTTGCAGCCCTAGCCCTTGCCAGAACGGAGGTACCTGTATTGTCGGTAGTGTAACTGTGACCTGTAATTGTGTTCCAGGCTACGCTGGGGCTTTATGCCAGACAAGTAAGTTAAGCCTTGTATAACTCATAAATGATCACGAAAATGTAGTCAGATATGATCTCTATGAATTTAAGTAATCAAAGCGTTGTCAATGGCCTCGTGCATAACCTATTGAAATGCGCAAACATGATAATAAAATGTCGCGTAATGCGAACATGATTTCTAAAGGCAATTTGATAGGGTTATAAAATTGCTTTTAAAGTTAAATACTTTAAAGTAATTGGATAAATTTGTTTCATCTAGTTTATGTATTAAGGGACAAGCCATTAAAGGGTCTTTGGACTTTGTTTGTACTTCGTATTTGAAAATCATATTTTGTTGTTTTATTTGCTGCAATTGACTTTCTGATATATGTTATTGTTGGATATTAACTATAATTTAGTATTCATCAATCTTCTATCCTCATGCAGACATCAATGAATGTCAGAGCTTTCCATGCAGGAATGGAGGAAACTGTGTTGATCGCGTCAACAGTTACATTTGCAATTGTCCCTCTGGTTTTACGGGCATCGGCTGTGACACAAGTATGTTCTATCTCTGTATACAATTTATTGAGCTTTAAACAAAGCAATTTTGTGGCTTAAATGTGATTGAAACTTTGATTTACTCCCAGCGGCTACGATACATATATTGTTTATTCATGAACAGTAAAACATCTTGAGCACTAACTTTTAAAGGGATAGTTGAGTCCTGTTTTCAGACCGCAAATGCCTTCAAAGTGCATGGTTATTGCTATTATTCTTATCTATGACATTTATAGTGCCCTTTTAGAACCTAAACATGCTATGAAGATAATTTTAGACCCTAAAATGTGTGGAATTTAGCCAATACGATCATACCAATTCAGCTCCACTTAAAAAAAAAACACGGAGACTGTTAATTAATTATTTAACTAAAAATAACAATACATGAGCCGGCTAATTGTGGGTAATATGAGCTACACGAAATTACTCAATACTTCTTTTAATTGAATGGCATTTAAGTGGGATACTTGTAAGAATATATCCCAAGAGCCAATGAGCATATTTCACAAGTTGGCACGCCAAGTGCAATATTATCAAAGCAAGTGTGATATACTCATTCGTCCCCTTTGTATTATTCCTAATTGTATGAAATCTACAGTATTTCGATTTGTACAATTACATCCTAATGCTTTTCTATAAACTTGAACATTCAACACGCAGGGAAAACATCTATTTTGTTTTTTGCAAGGGTTGTGTGTATTCACCTTTTTACACATCGCTTACCATAAACCATTAAAATATTGACAATTTTTTGTACTGTCATCCGGGTACTTTTTCTCAAAGCACAATATATGCCTATTTTTCTGGTCTGTGCAAACCGTTAATACAAATAATAATGGGTAATACTTCACCCTATAAGAATTGCATGTTCTCTTTTTACCCAATGAGTGGAAATTTGTTACCCTACCGTTATTTTAGAATGTGGACGTATAGGAATGGGCAGTTAAACATTGCCAATGAAGACTGTCATGACAGAATTGTATTTGATTTTGACGAAATAGAAGCTTGAAACGTTGAAACAGTTCTATTATTGCTGATGTGAGCACGGTTTTGATTATATATATATATTTTAGTTAATACTTTCTTTTATTGTCTACTTAGATATAAACGAGTGCTTTAGCAGTCCTTGTCAGAATGGTGGTACCTGCTTGGATGGTGTCAACCGCTTTGATTGCATGTGTCTTCCAAATACAGAAGGAACTTTCTGCGATAGAGGTAAGTCAACCTATTTACATAATAAGTACACTTGAAAGAAAATTGAGAACAACCTTGCTATATAATGTTCAGTTGCTTGGCAACCATCAATCTCTCAATTCTCAACTATTCGGTTAATAGCATAATTATAAGGCACATTAACAAAATGTTTATTGAAATGCAGTTCATGAATACATTATTATTATCATTATATGTCATTATATACCTTGTTTTCTTGATTTTCTTGTTGCCCAACAATTCCCTGAGAGGGAAATCATTGATTTTATCTGTATATTTCATGTTTGTAGTATAATATGTGTAAAAGAAAGACTGTAAATAGATGAAAAATTTTAATTGAGGAAACAAGATTAGAGAGGTATAGGTGCAAGGGTGTCATGCTATAGTTGATACGTCACCGGGCTGCGGATCACATGGTTTACAGTTCGAGTCCCGCCACATCACTTAATGTCCTTTGGCAAGATAATCTACATTTTCCATTTCCACTCAGGTGAAGTAAATGGTTACCCGATGGGAAGCAGTTCATTAAATGCTCTAGGGCATTATCATGACAGCCAGGCTACAGCTAGGTTAACAATGGAATAATTTGTATTGAGCACAGCCTAGTATATTCGTAGTAGCTATGTACATGACATATTGCTAATATTATTACTATCATTAATTATTTGTTTGTGTAAAATGTTATTCCAAAGTTGATCAGCCAGCAATTGTGTATGATTTCCTTTTGACTTGTTGACTTATTGACTGTTATCTACTTGATATTACATACACAGAAAGCAGTATATTAACCAATGTCAGCTAGTTATAGAGCATGACATGTGTTGAAATAATTGAATAGGAGTTGTTACCATTGAAACAAAGTACATGAAACTTCCATCAAAGCATTTTCATTATATAGGGTAAGAATGAAGTCAATTTGTTCTCAATACATTGTGTTTGCAGTAACAACGGCATGCTCGTCACAACCGTGCCTGAATGGGGCCACGTGTCAGAACACGTTGAATGGTTATTTCTGCTTCTGTCTAACCGGCTTTATTGGTACCCGATGTGAAACCGGTAAGTCCACATCTGATTCAGTAAATATCAATTTTATATGATATCGCATATATCGCAATCGCATGATATCACAACCGTGCCTGAATGGGGCCAAGTGTAAGAACACGTTGAACGGTTATTTCTGCTTCTGTCTAACCGGCTTTATTGGTACCCGATGTGAAACCGGTAAGTCCACATCTGATTCAGTAAAAATCAATTTATTTGATATCGCATATTTCCCATTATCTGAGCTAGGCATCCAACCATCCTGAAAATCAGGGGAAAATATTCCAATGAGTTCCCTTTTTTCCGCTTGGGAAAGTCAGGTAACTGAGAAAAATCTCTGAAATCAAGTAATAATTTGGGAAATTCATTGCCCCGAGAAGAAAGTAGTCAAAGTCAAACATCTCATCTCATGTCTAAATTGCGTGTCCCTTTGATGATTGGCCATGACGGCCTCTGTTGTGTAAAATGCCCCCCCCCCTGTAATGATCATGGAATTTTGAAAATCTATCAGGGAAACATCAGGCAGAAGAACAATCAGGGGCTTCTATTTTCACAAAATAAAAAATAGAATGAAACATATGCAAGAGGTTGATAATAAACATGATTTTGCATTTTCTTCAAGAGTAATTGTTGCAAAAAGTGGGGAAAACTGATTTCCAAGTTAAATATATAATATAAAATCTGATAACCAAAAGTTTATAGATGTACCAAAAATGAAGAACACCGATTTCCTTCGTCAATTTCAACTAAAAATTATGCATTTGCCAAAAGATAATGCTTGATTTCGATGGTATGTTTTTCTTGTGTAATTCAGCGAACAGTCCTTGCAATCCATCACCGTGCCAGAACGGCGGAGCTTGCATAACTACAGGATCAAGCTTCTCCTGCCAGTGTCTTTCTACTTTCACCGGGACTCTCTGTCAACAAGGTATTTTCAGAAAAATTGTGTCCCTTTATTCCCACGTTACAAGTGGGAATAATATCTCCTTTCCATGTGTCTCCACATGATTATTCAAGTAAGAAATGCAAGACATGAAAGGAGTGTGTTTGATTTATTATCGTCATTGTATCTAAAGTAGCAAATTTTCAGTTTGATTTCGGTGAAATACTCCAAATTTTGATACTGTTTCCTTTGAATTATCACAAAACCGTTGAATTTGCGTGAAAAAACATCATCGCGAGAGAGTGGCTATTAGACACGTTTGTTAAGGCTTTCAACATATAAACCAAAGGCAAGTTCAGTAGCATTTTGACTTACCTTTTGAAATAAAAAACGGGAGAATGACATATAACATAATCATGACTTCTTAAGGTAATGCAAGAATGGCTTTTGCAGTACTACGGCACAAGGTTGGGTGAGTTTTATTTCTTTAGTATTATCACTACTACAACATTATATGAAACAACTGTAATGATTGCTAACCCAATTACCTAGAAATACCTACATTACGTCCTAAATTTGATATTTATTTTTGTGCAATATAAACCATATTTACCACTCATTGGGCTTAATCTCGACATAAAATGTTTATTAACTTCATTGTTATATATAATTCTAATGTAAATTGTCATAATGTAAATGTCATATTGCATTATTTTATATTTTGTCTTTTCTTTTTGTTTTCCCTAAGCTTATTTTCCCTATTTGTGTTGTTTTCGTTTTTTTACCATTTGTATAAAACTGCTTTTTTGTTTGTAACTACTCTTAATGTCAGTCTGTATTTGTATTTTCCATCCTTATGCAGGACCATTATGTAAAACAGCCTGCGAGCTGATTAATGTTATCCTGTTAAAAGATGTTTTAATAAATAAATAAATAAATAAATATTTCATACAAAGTTTTGATGAAACTTTCCCCCATATAAACATGTAAGATATTTAAAATGATAAACCAAAGGCAACTTCAGTAGCATTTTGACTTACCATTTGAAAAGTTGTAAACAGGAGAATGACATATAACATAATCTTAAGGTAATTGGCTCTTAAACTTCCCCTTGAATATATATTTAAAATTTTTGCAATCATGTTCTAGTGCAGATTTTTGATATCCATACCTCTTTTATCGTATCCAGCGGTCCAGCCAACATGTGGTTTGATCTGCGAGAACGGTGGCACCTGTCTCAGTATGCCGGGAATTCTGGTCTGTCTTTGCACCGATAATTGGATTGGAAATCTCTGCTCCATCCGTAAGTCTACAACCCCCTTTTCAATTTATCATTGTGTCATACAAGATCCAAAATGACAGGGCGAAATTTGTTTACCAGTAAATTAAATGATTGCATCGATTCTGTACGCTGAATGAAGAAGTTTTGAAGAGAAGAGAACATATTGTGATACACTTGTATTTGTTATATATTTCGATTGATTTAACTCGTCAAGACCTTAATTGGTACATCATACTACGTCTAAAGGTATTGATATGTCATTCACTAGGTTAGGGATCAAGCATATTCCCTTATTTCCTAATATCCATTTTTTACGAAACCGAAGATGTAATCATTCAATGTAAATGACATGGTTTATTTTAGTCGTAAAAAATGAAAATGAAATCACATATTCCGGAATCATGAGCAGAGAAGGTCAATAATTTTATATTTTTTTCCTACAGCAAGAGTAATTGCAGCTGGACCGGGTGAAGTAACCTCAAGTTCTATCCAGGTCATGTTCGACTCTTTAGGACCAAACACCGAAGCCATCTCCCATCGTCTTCTCCTACTCGATGGAACCAATGTCATCCAGTCGACCACCTTGCCGGTCTCCTCACCTCGTGGTACCTCGTTGAACTATGTCTTCACCAATGTTAATCCAGAAACGATGTACACCATCATCATCGCCGCAGACACGGCGCAGGACAGTTTTGAGTTGGTTCGTGTTCCTGTAACTACAGACGGTAAGAATGGACTACATGTATATGGTTTGGATAGTGTGCGCTTCATGCATAGCTGTACCTTCTATCCTTGAAGGAACTGAGTTGTCAACGACTTGTTTCGTCATTAAAACCATGAGGCAGAAATGAAAGGAGATAATTTAAACCGATTTCTTGTATTTTTAGAATAAAATTTATTGCACACTAACTTAAAAGTACTCTTTCATTTCTACTACACATAACGAGTGATTATTTGCTTTTCTCTACAATAGACCAAATGAAATTAGTTATTTTACAAGCTTAATCATTCATGTTATGCCATTCACTTTGTCTTGTTTTTACTTAGTAATTTAAAATATAATCAGGAAAATCGCAGAAACGCTTTCTTTGAAATTGTATTACAATTCAAATGAAATCCAAATTTCCTGTATACTTATATAATTCACTTACATTAATACATTATGTATTTGATTTCCTTTCTGATAGTTGCAAACGGGTGTAATAGGCAGCCATGCTTAAACCAGGGGACCTGCTCACCAAACTTGGCTTCAGCAGTTGGATATACGTGCTTTTGTGCACCTGGATTTACTGGAACTACATGTTCAACAAGTATGTACTTACAACTTCCAACTTAATACTGCAGAGTTAATGTAGTCCTTCCAAAATACCATTATGAAGCAAATATATATAGCATATATATTTCGGCCAATGCCTTGGATCGATTAATTATTTGATTGATGAGTTAATTCCTGTATTAAGCCTGTGTGAATAAGAGAATTCAGAAGTCAATGGGAAATATTCATCAAAAAATGTCATTGCGATGGTACACTTATTTTTGACTTAGCCTTGAAGGTGTTTTTTTGAATATTTAAAAAAATAATGACGAACGTTTCCATCCACCATTTATCCTGCTTACGGTTGACTAAACCAATATTTTTCCTGGGTCACAAAACAAATGAAAAACATTAACTGGTTACTTGTCTTTTATTGGAATGTGTGGAGGATATCACTTGGTCCTTGATCACAAATATGTTGTCCAAAATTGTAATGGACAAGTTCAATAAGATTACAAAAGACGCTACTTTATTTCAAGCGCGTTTCAAAACCTTCCCCATGTCGCACACAGTAATTTTTGTGGTAATGTTGCTTCGTTTCCTTGATAGATATCAATGAGTGTGCTTCCGGTCCATGTCTAAATGGCGCATCCTGCATAGATGCCGTCAACGGATTCTCATGTCTGTGTCTACCAGGATTTAATGGTGTTCGCTGTGCATCCGGTGAGTCTACTAATCTTTTCTCTGCCACCGATTTTTGTGTGTCAAGAATCTCAACAAAACATTATTTTCAAGGTCAATTCTTCAAAAAAGTGTTATCAAGTAGAAAGAGTTTACTCTAGGATCATTGTAATCTGGAGATCATTTCTATCTTTCATGTAATTTCAAACAAAGAACAACTTAAGAAGATCGACATTCCCCCTGAATTGTTATGCTTTCATTTTCTTTAAAATTTGGAATGTTTTTTTCGTTGGTAAAATAGTGATATCAATTAATCAAAACATGATTACAGCTTGACTGGGAAAAGTGCCAATACATAAAGCTTTGCCACACATGTGTGGTACTTATGAATGATAGTTTCCAATTATTTTGTTTACTTTCCTAACAGTTACCGACGTTTGTTCAAGTAACCCGTGCCTCAATGGCGGATTTTGCATAAACCAGGTCAATAGCTTCGCCTGTAATTGTCAACCAGGATATAGTGGTGTGCGTTGTAGCGTGTGTAAGTATTGAATTTCATGTATCATTTTGATTTTATTTGATAGGAGACACAAAATAATTGATTGACATGAATGTACTTGATATTAGAAAATTATGGATTATCAAAAATAAATCATCACTGGTCAAAATCACAAATGTTTATCATAATTATTTTCCACAACAATGATTTAATCAATACTATGTATACCTCTACCAATACGTCATATTTGAGTTTATTGCCATCGTACGTGCTATTACATGACATATCCTGAAATATCAAGAAATGAGTTAATTGCCAAAGAGAGCAGGTCCTGATTTGAAAATTGTTCTTGCCGACTACTGTAAAGTTGATCAAATTTGAGCCTTTTAGAATGAATTATAATTGCTGAGTTATTCAGATCCTTGAATGAATTATTGAAAATTACATTGAATTGATGATTTATATTTTGCAATTTTTGAATAAGAACATCATTGTATTTTACCTATTAGTAGTTATACAGTAAACCTGCAATAATACATTTGATTTTCATTTACTTTAAAGTTAATCCGCCATGTTCCGCGAACCCATGCCTAAATGGTGGAACGTGCAATAATAACCAGAACAATGACAACTACGTCTGCATTTGCCCGCAAAACTTCAACGGTGTCAACTGCCAGAACCCAGCTGATGGAGTGGAGTGCGCCAGTAACCCATGCAGGAATGGAGGCACCTGTAACGAAGGATTCCGCAGCTTTACATGTACCTGCCCCTCCACCTGGACGGGGACGCTTTGTTCTGTAGATGTCAATGAATGCCTGGTAAAGTGAGCTCTGTAGTGTAGAATTTCAAGCAGTTGTTTTTAAGATGCCATATCCGGAGGAGTAAACTCTGGAAAATTGCCCCCTATTCAACTACCCCGGGAAGACTACACACAGGACATTACCCCCCCCCCTCCGGACGAAGCAATATGTATTTTGTTATGGTATATTTAAGTATCCATAAGAAAAATAAGGCTAGATTAAGGATAGGTCACGTGAAATGTATTATGAATGGCCAGCGGTTTCAGATACCAGATGGTAGTGTTGGTTGTGGCATATAAAGTTCAAGAAATTTTTCGAGCGCTGCCCCCTATATCTTCCCTCAGAGCCTTCTCTCATGTGCTACAACAACCACTAGAATCGAAATGGATTTATAATTATGGATTGTGATGTAGTATGAGTAGGATTTTGAGAAAAAAATTATCTGAAAGCCTTGTTATTTGTGATATAAAAAATGTTTCTGACTGAACCTTAATTATCTTCATAAAACCTTTTCCAGACCCAATCATGTCTCAATGGTGGTACATGCACGAACCTCCAAGGATCATATCGCTGTAATTGTCCACTGGGATTCGGCGGAGTGCGATGCGAAGTAAATATCAATGATTGTGCCTCAAACCCTTGTCTCAGTGGAGGAACTTGCACCGATGGAATCAATTTCTACACCTGTGCATGCCTGCAAGGCTCCACGGTATGTTTAACCTTGTAGAATACTGAATTCATACATTCCCAGGGGCTTCAATACATGAATCACAATGTTCTTGTAAGAAATAGGTTAACATGTTTTGTTGTTTAATGTTTTGTTGTTTAATGTAATGTTTAAAGCTTCTACCAACCTTGAATTTTGTGGGCAAGCTTTCGTCCATGTTTTGTCGTTGTTCAGAAATAGAAAATGTACCATTTTCACATGTGTAGTATAAATGTTGCATTATGTAGACATAGAGAATCTTCTGAGTCTACTGCTCAGTACCGAACAAAAGTTGTAATTTTATATTTGTCACTGTTCTTCCAAATTTGGATGCACTTTCTTTACAATGCATACTAGATATTATTAGCTATTGGAAGTGTTACACCCAATTACTTTCCATTAGTTTAACAAAAGAAGAAAAGAAAAACAGAGAAAATAATGACAAACTTTGAGAAACGTTTACTCATTTTTAATATTTTGTTAATTTTTTTTTTAGGGACAACGCTGTGAGAATACTGTGAATCCTTGTTCCAGTGCACCTTGCTTTAATGGAGGCACATGCACCAACAATAATGGCTTCTTTATCTGTAATTGTGTATCTGGCTTCAGTGGTGTCCGGTGTCAGACGAACACCGACAACTGTCTGCTGAACCCTTGTCAGAATGGTGGCACATGCGTCGATGGGTTAAACACATTCACATGTCAGTGTCGTACAGGCTTTTCTGGAAATCTTTGCCAGAATTCCAATTTCTGTGCCAACAACCCATGCTTCAACGGCGCAACCTGCCAAACGTTACCAACAACATACCAGTGTCTATGCAGAGCTGGATTTACGGGACTACAGTGTCAAACTAATATCCAGGTAGTCGACACTTCCTTAAATTTTGGGTTAAAACCTTTTAGAAATATTGTTCGTAATGAGTTTTGATTCCATGATGTACTTTAATAGTTGTGTTTTTCACCAGTCAATTGATAAAGTTGTAGCCGAAATACACATGAAGTTGATAGTTTAGTATGTCCATACATTAGACCCGTTCTGAAACTACATGTACATGATATTATTTATGTTGGTATCATCATTTGTTTTCATTAGGAGAAAAAAAAAATCACTTTTATAGGAAAATATCTAAGATAACCTTTTATGAGAAGTACAGTTGTTAACCCTAAATGATTACCATTCCTGGTGACGGGCAAACACCTCAGTGTTTCAGATATTACTACAACAAATTTAAAAGGAAACAAACAATTTCAAATGTCTTCCAACTAGACATGTGCAGTAACTTAATTTTCTTATTACCATATACTTATTGATATGTTCACACTTATATCATAAAACTGCAAACATTGTTATTTCAAATTATTTGCTGTTTTGTTAAAGACTTTAATGTTTATTTACATTTTTAGTATTATGAATTGTGTTATCGTGTTACATTCTCATTTGGTTATGTGTGCATGGCCCTAAAGGACAACAGTGTAAAATTCACTGTGTTGGCCACCCCGGGTAAAAAAGACAAATTAATGAATAAATACATGAAATAAAAACATGACCAAGTAGTCATCTACATGGCAACCGAAGGGTAAATGTAATGCAATCATTATGTTATCTCAATTCAATGCAGGAATGTTCGAGTGGTCCATGCCAAAACCAAGGAACGTGTATAGATGGGATGAATTCCTTCACCTGTAACTGTCCTCCCGGTTTCACGGGGACGTTCTGCCAGGTTTCTTCATCCGCATGTCAGAGCAATCCTTGCCAGAATGGCTTTTGCAGTACTCTAGCACAAGGGTGGGTATTATTTACTTCAAACAAAGTTTGATGAAACTTTCTACATAAACATGTCTGAGTGGTAGTAGTGTACCGAATACTTTTCGAAACATTACTGTGAACCATTTTTATTATATTCTTGGTTAAAAATGAAGTTCTTGTAGCATGTGCAAGTGATGTATGTGACATGTTCATTTGGATGTTACGAATCATTAATCTCTTTTTATAATACTACATATTTCGAACAGGTTCTCTTGCCAGTGCCAACAAGGCTTTACCGGGACTTTCTGCCAGACCAACATCAATGAATGCCAGAGCTCGCCATGTTTGAATGGAGGTGCATGTCTGGACGGTTTGGCACGGTATACATGTCAATGTCCCTTGGGTTTCACAGGAACACGCTGTGAAGTCAATGGTAATGAATGCGTTTCGCAGCCTTGCTTGAATGGTGGTACCTGTAGGGACGGCGTGAATTCATATACCTGCATTTGTCCTCAAGGTAAGCTATTTATAACAGGAAGAGGTTTTAGATCTTAACCACAGTTACACCAAAGGGACACACACCAGACTGCTAACAGACCAAACAAACACTATATTAGCACAAATGGCGAAAAAGTTGTTTGTTTTCAGTGTCTTTGGAGACGTGACTGAGGGATTACTTTGGCTGTTTTATCGTCCAACAAATTCAAAATCTTAATTCGTCTGACATTTTATAAATGAATGCTCAAAATTAGGGAAACAGTGTACTTTCCTTTAACTTGTTCAAGTTATAACTTGAGTGTAAAGACCTAGATAAGTCCTATAACTTTCACATGTTGTTTTATATCACCCCATTCAGAAGAATGTCCAATTTTGTTCATGTTGACTCCTGATCATCATCTAATATATTATTCTGAAATCAAAGAACAACTTTCATTGGATTTATTAAATTGCTTCACATCAGTCAATATTTATACCCCAACTCCATGCATAATGATGTAGACCTCTACAAACACATGCATTTTACAAATTGTATCACAGCACTCTAATCAGAAACGCCTTTACTCATTGTATTCCTGCTATTTTTTGTTAATATAACTAGAATATTTGTATGATGTCACACAACAGGTTTCACTGGAGACAATTGCTTCATAAGTACCAATCTTTGCTCACCATCACCTTGCGTGAATGGAGACTGCATCGGTGGAGTGGGTACATTCACATGTCGCTGTTTTGCGGGGTATTCAGGAACCCGCTGTGAGATCAACAACAATGAGTGTTTAGTCAACCCGTGCCAGAATGGAGGGACATGCTTTGACGGTATAAACAGCTTCACCTGCAACTGTCTGCCAGGATTCAGTGGAGCTATGTGTCAGACTATTCAAGGTAATTGCATTAGATGATCTAAGGTATACCATTCGTATAAAGAGGGAAAAAGCCAAGGAATTTAGTCCTTTGGCGTCTCTTACTTTACCAAGTATTATGGAGATTTGTACATAAATTGACATGAAATCTGTCACTCTAGTTTTGTTTGATTTACATGTAAACTCCATTATGGCAAGAAAAATGATCAGATACTAATATTTCTAATGACTGATTTGGTAAATAACGTTTAGAACAAAGTTACCTCAATTTGCGCAAGATTAAATGATTTCATATACATGTACCACGTTTAAGATTGGGTAGGTTTTGAACGTTTTGTGAGGATGTATGCAAAGTTAGAGGTTAGGTATTGCTTTCGGCTTAATATGTGATTACATCACATTGCCATTTCATCATCTCGATTCTTGAAAAATAATGATATTTCCATTTATATAGTGCTGCTAGTATACCAATAAACTCTACTGTGCTTAAAGGTAAAGACCAGATTTGGAAACCTCCCTCTCTCAAAAAATGAAATGGAAGCTCTCATTACCAATCATGTGAAAGAATATGTTATGACGTGATGATACAAATTTTGCCGGGAAACCGCCTACTAATTGATATATTTGGTAAATTGTTATATCTATCCGGACTGGATAGATATAGGGTAGTCCTATATACAACTTTCTGTGTACAGTGTTTGTAACTTTACCAAGACTGGGCCGAATTTCTTATCATTTTGATGATTCCAGAACCTTGCAGTACACCTCAATACTTACATGCTAGATGATCAACCTTTTCTGATCAATTCCACAACGTTTCTTTCACAATGCAATCGCATGACCAGAACTGGTCTATACCTTTAATACAAAGTATCATATTATTACCCGGCTGTAGCTGAGGTGACATATTGGATGCTAAAGCATTCATAGAATTTCCTTCTACCATGTTCGTAGGCGAAGAATGGTACAGTCAAACCTGTCTATAGCGACCGCCCAAGGGAAACACAAAAAGTGGCCTTTGTAGATAGGCGGGCTTTGTAGACAGATTCCTTTAGTACATGATTCAATGAGAAACCATTTCCAAGGGAAACAACAAATGTGTCCTTTGTAGACAGGTGGTCTTTGTAGACAAGTGGTCAATAAAGCAGGTTTGACTGTATTATGTAGATTAATGTCTTGTCAAAAGACATTAGTGCTGCTGTATTGTTATGGTAAATGCATTTGAGTTTTAATCATTTGATTTAATAATTTTGTTGGGTTCAGATACTGATCAGTGCCTTTCAAATCCGTGTCTGAATGCTGGATTCTGCATTGATGGAACCAACAGATACACCTGTATGTGCCAACAAGGATATTCAGGGACCCGCTGTGAAGTCAATACTAGTAAGTGTTTTGATTTTATCAAAAATGTATCAGAGGAAGAAAAAAGAAGAAAAAAAATAGGAAAATTCTACAAATGTACATATCATACTTTTCTATAAGCCAACCCAGTTTCATTCACATGCTATCCTGATAGTTCGTCATTGAATAAGAAAAGAATGTTTGTTGATTGACTGACAGACCTCAACGCACATACACACACACACACACACAAACTTTCTCTCTCTCTCTCAATCAATCAATCAATCCAAACATTTCATGATTTGTTCGAAATGTATTTATGTTTTTTTTTTATCTTACCCTTCACAAAACACAGATGAATGCTTCAGTAACCCATGTTTGAACCAAGGACAGTGTCTCGACCAAGTCAACGCTTTTATATGCAATTGTCCTGCAACCTTCGTCGGAACTCGATGTGAAACTCCACTTGGTAAGAAATAACACAGCTATAAAATGTAAAATCACTTTTTCAAAATCTCTTGAGTCCCTTTATCGTTTTAATGGCTTCACTTGTTTAAAAGTAGGAGGATTTCACCAGAAGTACTTAGATGAACTTTGAATATCCCGTGCAGAGCTAGAAAAAAAGCAGCATTATACTGTTGTTAGAAGACTAGCCTTGTACTTTATTTCACTATACGATCAATACAAACTCTGCAAGTTATTGTGTATTTTGTTACAGTGCCAGATGCATGTAGCTCCAACCCATGCCAGAATGCGGGAACTTGCACGAGTAATAATGGTGGATTCCTTTGCATCTGCCAACCGGGATTCCAGGGCACTACGTGTCAAACGAACCTCAGTAAGTTTACCATTTCCTCTTCTAATAACACATTTAAACGATTTTACTATTCATGTTCCACTGAAAATAATGACCTAGTGTCACATTTTTTTCTTAATCGTAAGTTTTGACAATGGATTCTCCTTATTTTATACTTTCCGGAATAAAGCTACTATACAAACATGAAATTATTAAGGGGTTGCCATATAGCCAATTTAAACAGAAAGTGGGTCCTGTTAATCTTGGTTTAACTATTATACTACTTTAAAAGTTGTATGAAAAAGGACACTGTATTTCTACAGAGATACTATTATCTATATTTTTTTCAAATTAATTGATTGGTTGCTTTTATTCATATTCCATGGTTAAAAATGACAACGCATAATATTTTGTACACAAAATTGATATTTCTTAAGATTATTCATTTGTTGAAGTAAATGAATCATAGTAATTAATAACATGTAAGAATGTTCTGTAAATCATGAAATATGGAAATGAAAAGTAAACCTACTTAAAAGTTAGTCAAAACAACAAGTTGTACACATACACTTGACTGAGACAAAAAGGAAAAATTAAATATTACGGGTAGAGAAATAGAGGGGACAAAAATGGATGGATAGATGGATAAATAGGTAGGTAGATGGATATAGAGATAGAGAGAAAGAGAGAGAGAGAGAGAGAGAGAGGGGAGGGGGAGACAGAGAGATCAAGCGAGAAGTAAAGCAAGGAGAGAGATATGAGAAGTATAGAGTAAGATGGGTATGGTAAATTCTCTAGACTTGCTAGGCGTGGGTGAGAGATTTTAACTTTGTGTATTAATATACCATTGCCATTTTATAGTATCAGATTCACAAAGTTTATGAATGTAATTTCAATGTTTGCAACGGCTCAAATAGAAAAATTCTAACGTGTATAAATAAATATAATCAAACAAATTCCCGTTTTTTCTTAACGCCATTTGTGACATTCATGTGATTGTGCCATTCGGCAATTATAATGTAAAAATCTTACAAATCTTCATTTAAACATTATACTGGTGTGAAAATAACAGAAGTTTTAAAACATTATGTAATATCCTTGTACCACTCAAGTTGAATGTGCTTCGAACCCATGCCGGAATGGAGGCACCTGTATCGATGGAGTAAATAGATTCACGTGCAGGTGTACCCAATTATTCACTGGACAGACATGCACATTTGCTATTGGTGAGTGGCCCTTCTTTATTATATACTCGTTGTTGTTGTAGTTGTTTTTATTTCCGAAATCAGTTAAACATATTATACATGGTAAAATATACAAAATGAAATATTAGTAGATGTACATAGACAAAAATCGGAGGAAAACCTAATTCAGCAATGTTCCTTGGGGTCCTTAGGGGTCTTACTGACATTACTAGGCTTCAACACTTGCCCACTGCAAGATTACTAGACATTTCAGGTGTCGCTGGACTAATCTATTTTCATTTTATTTATAATGATGTATACGGCTTTGTGCATTATTGGAGTATGTTTCATACCGTCTCTCCTTAGTGTTTCCATGGAGGGCCGAATATAAGCTCACACAAAATTTGATCGTCCATTAGGGTGATTTTACTAACTTCGAATAGACATTCATTATCCCTCACATTTCAGAAAATGTTATAATCAAGTTAGAGTGTAAAACAATCTAACAAATACCTTTGATGCATGTTATAAGAAGATGATTATGAGAAGCTGATGGGGATTGTCCTACTCTTTAAATCGATGGACAAAAAACAAGCATAAGTCTGGTAATATTAGTACAAAATACCGTACAAATATTTATAAATAATATTTGCATTTATAGAAAGCAAATTTTTCTATGTGTGTTTGTGTTGGGTCGTAACAAAGGTGTCTACTATTGGTTTAATTAACAGCCAATCCCTGCACATCTAATCCGTGTTTGAATGGAGGCACATGTGGTATCGATCCGACAAATTCCAACGCTTTCCTGTGTTCGTGCCTGTTTGGATTTAACGGAATTCGATGTGAATTTGGTAAGTTGTTTATAGACAACTTTTCCCTCTACTTGAATATTCAAAACGATCTTGAAAAACAATGTGTATTGGCCTTGATTATTAAAAATGCAATTTTTACATGTTTACATTTTAAAAGGTGAGACACACGGTTTATGAAAATGGCTTTAATATGTTGCTAATTGGAAGTATATGTGATTTTGTTTTAATGAGTTACTCTGGAATATAAAACTTGCAATACAAAGCAAGAATATTCAAATCGATCTTGAAAAAACAATGTGTCTTGGCCTTGATTATTAAAAATGCAATTGTTACATGTTTACATTTTAAAAGGTGAGACACACGGCTTATGAAAATGGCTTTAATAGGTTGCTAATTTGTAGTATAAGTGATTTTGTTTTAATGAGTTACTCTAGAATATAAAACTTGCAATACAAAGCACGAATTTTAGAAATTAAAGACTCCATGTACCCACTGCTGTAATAGTTGCATTCTATATAGCGCCTTTTCCACTAGACACAAGCGCTTTTAGATGACATCCTTAAGCCAGTGTTTGAGTTAAAATATATAAAGTTACTGAGCAAGGAGAGAGTGAGTTCAATGAATGAATATGGTTCCAGAATACGTGTGTATTCAAAATTCAAGCTGAAATTGTTATAGTGTTGATGATGAACTGTAGGATGAATTTTGTCCAATAATTATTATGAACTTCAACCTTTTCTCTTTATCAGATTCCAACCAGTGTTTGTCAAACCCGTGTGTCAATGGTGGTGAATGTATTGATGGACAAAATCGATTTGCCTGCAATTGTGCTTCCGGGTTTAGTGGTGCTACTTGCCAAATCAACAACAGTGAGTATTCTCCATGATAATTACATAGTTAAATTTATACACTTAATTTGTCAGAAATATTTATTATCATATCTATCTACACTATGCAGTTGTGGTAAGAATATTCTTTCTGTAGGTGGATAGGCACAGAGAAGGGAAGGAGTGTCGTCTGAATACCTCTATATTCGCTCTATTTTGAATCTGCTTTAACCCATAGCTCATTGAGAGAGACAGTTATGTCAGTGGAAGTTGTTCCTTGGTCATTCACTTTGTGGACACGAAGCCTCAAATAGTTTCCTCTCACAGAGATTGTATGGGGGAGAGAACAATTTGGAGCTCCATGATTTAGCCTTTGACCAAGCTTGGGTACGCGTGTCACAACTACATGTATTTCTCCAGATACGCTTTGTCTTGACCAATGTTTGAAATGCACCGGTTAGCATGGCCGAAGGACAAAGACTTCATTTTCACATATAAATAGTTCATATGAATCATATCCAAGTATGCAGTGTGAGAGGAATACAATTTTTTTGCAAGTGGACGACCGGACAAGGCAAAAGGCGTTGTGTAAGTTCTTCGAGTTCGATCGGTTTCAAATATGTTTTGATCTGTTTGAAATGCGTGGTAAGGAAGGGCACAAGGACAACTAGTCCATAAAGACTGATCGATAATGAAATAACATTTCTTATAAAGAACTCCTAATACAAGCTAAAACGTCACCGTCTACAGTGATGTCGTTATTATTATTATTACCCTGGTCAATGGAGCACCGTACAGTACATACTTTGCTCTCCACTTAAAAAATATTCCAGCCATGATGAGTCACGAGTCATTTATTTGTTTTACCTAAATTTTCTTTAATATGTTATATATATATATATATATATATATATATATATATATATAAATGATGCCTTTTTATTTTTAACAGATGAATGTGCAAGCAACCCTTGTCTTAATGGAGCTGTATGTAACGATTTAGCCAATCGCTTTTCGTGTACTTGTCAACCCAACTACAATGGCGTACGATGTGAAAATCTTATACAAGGTTAGCATATATATCAATATAAATGTATCATTGTACCAGGGCCCTGTTTCATAAAACTTTGTTATCAATCACAAGTGCTAAAATTCAATGACAAATTTGGTCCCAGCCAATCAAATGCCATGATTTTAGTAGCTTATAACAGTTATTGTATTAAGCGTGTTACTGGTAAAACAAGATTGATGAAACAGGGCCCAGAACTATTGACTCAAATATAATTCTATTCTCATTATTTCAGTTTTAACCTGAGGGCTTAATAATTGTACTCCACTGTGGCATGTCAGGACTTTGTATTTGTAAACAAAAAGGCCAATTTCTATGTGCGACGTAAAATGGGACTTGTCTTTTCAGTAGGCTTGTAACAAATCCTTGCCAACAACCCAAAACGAATTTATGAGCATCTGACGGATTTTTTTTTACAAAAAAAATGATTGTTACGAATTGTAACGATCACGTAATTGATGGAATCATTGAAATAAAGGATGGAGGGCCTCTTTGTTTCTTCTATTTTGCCCATACACTCTATACCATTCACAAGTATTTCATATACTACATTATAATTCTATATTATATGCTCCAAGACAATTTGGCGCTTATCATTCAAATCCGTCAGGGGCCAATGGCATTAAATGTTTTGCTTAAATGCGGCTTAAAATTGTAAACCTTAATCCCAAGTATGTGACGTTTATTGGTTGAAAATCAAGTTGCATTTAAATTATGAGTCGTCTGTATATGTTACTTTTAATGCAAGGGAGCCCAGATCTGTAGCATTTGTATTTGATACAACATTTAACTTGCAATGTAATGCTTAACAACCTGACGATAATATTAAGTTTTATTATTGGCCGCATGATTTTAAATAAATATAAGACATTGAATGAGCGAATTATCAGTTTATGTCCGAGAAGGCCTACTGCACAGAATCCGTATTCCATTCTAAATCATATTTGTGATTTTCATGGCTTTATAATAATGTTCTTGATGCCTCTTCGCCGCACTTCGATATCTTGGTTAAGACTCTTGGCTCTCATATGAGAGGCCCTGGGTTTGATCGTTTTTCAGAATGCTGACATTTTTTGATAAGGTGTTTTGCCCACATTTGTGCGTCTGACCCAGGTTTATTACATGGGCACCTGGCAATGCTGGGGGTAAAAATGATTGCAGGGCAAGCAAGAAAAGCAGTTTTGAATATTGTAGATGTGTCGTGGTCAAGTGGATACGTCACCGGACTGTCGATCTGAAGGTTCGAGTCCCGCCGCGGCACTGACCTTTGGCAAGACATTGATCTACATTTGCCTCACCCAACCCATGTGATGTTCACGGGTACCTGGCAGGAATTAATTCCTTAACATGCTAGAGTGCCATAATGGCAGCACAGCTAAAGCTACGGTAATAATTTCCAAATTTGTTAAGGCGCCTTGAGCATCGATTGAGGTTGATATGTGCGCATCATAAATGTTGTGATTATTGTTTATTAATAATGTTGCTTCAGTAAATAAGAGCCAGTTATCATTGAATAACTATTATTGTTATTATATCCACCTTTTGATTGTTTTAAATTCTGTTTCTTTTCTTCAATGTCGACAGTACCGAATCCATGTGTGTCATTGCCTTGTCAGAATGGAGGAACGTGTGTCAGGACTGGTGACTCTAGCTATGTGTGTAGTTGTCTCGCTGAATTTACTGGTACACAATGCATCTTTTCAATGGATCCAACAAGTAAGACTGGAGATCAAATTGTTCATAACAAATTCTTGCAACACCACATATATAATGCATGAGCCTGTTGAATATTGATTGAAGCATGTTGAATATCGTTCAGTGTCTGGCACGTTGAAAGTTATTATTCCATGATTTAAAGATCACGATCCCTATTAAACAGAACATTGTTTTTCACTCTTCAATTTTCTTCAATTCGTTTTTTGATATTCCTGGAATCATTAATCTTTATCACAATGTCACGAAGTAGAAAATTGCACCAGGCTTCGTCAAACTAGGTATGGCAAAACATGTCATTGTATGTGTAATACTTTCTCGCCATTCACAGAGCCTGCCATCATTTTCTGTTGAGACATATTCCGTGGTTGAATCACGTTTTTGTTGGGTGATGCCTTCTTGAAGCCTCCATTCCTGTCAAATTTTTCTTGATATACTATTGTTTTCCTTTATTTTCTCTGATTTGTTTCTTCAGCTTGTGCCAACTTGCCTTGTACAAACGGAGGTACTTGTGTTCCAACCCAGAATGGAAGGAGCTACTTTTGTAGCTGCTTTGCTGGAACATCAGGAACAAATTGTGAAATTGGACAGAGTAAGCATGTCTCAAATGCCTTTCAAATTCTTATCTTTCTTGGTAAATTTAGATGTGTTTCAATATGATAATGATAAGATCCTTCGGAAACTACTACCAATTAATGTATACGTGAACTGAACAGAATTTAGAATCGTCCGGGTAAGACGTTTTTCATCATGGTTTTTAAAAACATTTCTTTCATAGACGTTATATTCTGCTTGTTCTTTACAATAATATTATCTCTCTTTGAAAATCTTAAGTAATTTAGTTATTCATTCGGAACGATACAAATTATTCCTTTGTTGTAAATAAAGTCATTCGATTTCAACCAGCGGATCCAGGTGATGTGTAGTACAATCGAATACAAAATTCTGATCACCTGTTGCAAGGCTCACAGATGTCACGGCATTGAATGTTCTCATTTTGAGTGCCTTTGGAATGTTATGAAGTCACAAACTACTTCTTACTCTTTCCATTGTTTATCTTTCACAGCGGCATGCCACCCTCAACCGTGTCAAAATGGTGGCACCTGTGTGTCAATGACCAGTGCGCCAAATGGCTTCTTGTGTATCTGCCCACCAGGTTTAGGATTGACTGGACTTACATGTGTTGGTGGGGGTGGTATGTACATTTTTTTTAAAGTTTGTTTTGCATTCATTTTATTTTTGTATTTTTTTCTGTCTTAATTTTTGTCACTTTCTACGCTCTTCAAGAACCTTGAAATGTTATCGTATCTGAAATTTGATTCATCATGATTGTCATCCAAGCTACAGATAGCTTAAGAAGCTCATGAATTGTCCGACAAACTGTGATTACACATTTTAAAGAAAAAAAAGAAGAAGTTTGTAACACAAACAAATAAGGGAACAAATCAGGTAAGAAGTGACTGTAGATACTTTAACCTGCCGTACAATGATATGACAATAATATGTTTACTTAATGAACTTGAGAGATTATAAACATTTATTTGGTAGTATATCTGTAACATATTTTTTTCTTTCCCCTTTAATGTTCATAGTAGATGTAAACTTAATGCTGTCTTCATTTCACTTTATAACTTTTCTATAACCTATTGATCAAGAGGACAATCAGTTTCTTACATATATTTTTTGGACTATAAAATCATTTCAAACATTGTTTTATGCATTGTGTTTTCTTCTCCAGCAAACCCATGTACATCTAACCCATGTTTAAACGGAGGTACATGCGTGACAGTGTTTACTACATCAGGTACCATCAGTGGCTATAACTGCAATTGTGGAACAGGATATACTGGACTACGGTGTCAAACATTGACTACCACTCCAGGTAAGGTCATGGGAATAGTTTAACATCGTCTATCCACTTTTGATGTTTAGGCAATTTCAGTGTAACGGTCATGGCATTCAGAACACCTGTTCTGTCATTCAAGACAGCTGTTAGAATCTAAACAGACATGTTACAAAAAGACTGGGTAGATTTCATACAATTATAATGATTCCAAATCCCCAAAGCCTATACACTGATTTTTGTTTTTCTTCTACTTTTGATCTTCAAAGAAATAATGCAGCCTATCACGAAGATCCGTATGAAGATTTTCAGTTTTATATGCAGACACACTGAACACCAAGTTTACAACATAATCTTTGTGTGAAGTGTAGCGTATTATAAACGTGCATATGGTTTGACTCTCCTACGCATGGGGCCTCCACAGAGCGTTTCCTGAAACCGAGCCTGCATCGGGAAAAGAGGGAAGGGGCACGTTTGCACACAGCTGCGTCAATCATTTAAACTTTTTTTGTCTGTCCGGTGCAGGACTCAATCCCAGGCGCATGACGAAAATAAAGAGGGTTAGACATCGATCAGATTGTACTACACCTCCTTTATACTACTTAATCGACTTTTCTAAATTGCTTCAAGAGAGTTTCTTTCCCAATTTTATTGCATAAATAATACGCAACTTAACACCTTTAATGAAAAATTAAAAAAAACCTTCTTTTAATATTCTTCTTCAGTGTCACCATGTGCTAATAACCCATGTCAGAATGGAGGAACGTGTATCAACTCAGGAACATCTTTCTTCTGTTCTTGCCAGATTGGATTTACCGGCACAACATGCCTAACATGTAAGTCAGCTTTCTGCTCACTATTTCATTTCTAGTGCAATTCATCTGTATCTCAAAACCTGGAACATTTACTTTGAAACAATGATTATTAACTTGCGAATTAATAGTCTGATTCCACCTGTTATAGTGAGATATACAGTAAAATATGTTCTTAAATATATGAAGCACCATTTTTTATCAGAATGCTCAAAGTCATATTAGTAAAAACGCTTCAATAAAAATATATAGTTAATGTAGCAGAAACACAGAGGTGTATGTTATGACAAGAATGACCCGTGTTCAATCCCTTCATCTTGTTTTCATCCTTTCAGCTGTTCCCTGCAACTCCAACCCTTGTCTAAATGGGGGCTCTTGCCAGCCTTTCACCAACGTCTTTGTTTGTAACTGTGTACCTGGATATTCCGGAACAAGATGCGAGATTACATGTAAGAATGAAACCCCCTTTTGCATTTTGCATTATGATTTTCAAATATATCCTAAGTTGAACCTTTTCTTCACTGAATAAAGATGAATCAGTTTCTTGATGTTTATTTAGATGCAATCATGAAATAATGGACGAATTGATGACGTTGAGTACCGTCCATCATGTTCATACCAAACATAGGTATGGAGCTATCATTAGTTTCTTTAGAGACATCGGTGTATTTTATTGAATCTGCTTTGTAACCCATTTCAGTTTTCCCTGTCAATCTCCCCTCTGCCTATTAAAACAGATGGACGATATATACAGCTATAGTGAAACTTAAATGAATCAATTTCAGTTTCACCCTGCCAATTGTTACAGATGGCTTCCTCCAACCGTCTTCCCAGGTTCTAAATTAACTAAAACAGATGACACAGTCACACAAAGTAGTTAAGATTCAGGAACCATTGTTAAATCTTCGTTTAGAGCTCCATTGTAAAACCAAAACTAACTCAAATTGTCCTCATGACGAGTATGTATATACAAAGGTCTATACATCCATCACACAATCTTAACCCCTGCCTTTTAAAACAGATGGCCGTTAAATAAATAGCTATAGTAAAATTTAAATGAATCTGCTATATTCTCCATTTCAGCTTTACCATGTCAATCTAACCCCTGCCAAAACGGAGGGACATGCAATGTTGAAGGTAACATCTTCAGATGTAACTGCATAGATGGCTTTACCGGACTGCTATGTCAGACAGCGCGTAAGTACCAATTTATTTTGATCCCATCATTTGTTTGTATATCCGCTACTGTGTCGTTTAAATGTTTTATTTATATTTGTTTTTCTTACTACTGATGATCGTTTTATTCCCCTTACTATGTAATAATTGTAATATTTGAAATGGAGTTTGATTAAAAATGTGCTCTATGGACTATTTTTAAATGAAAATGTGTAATATACTTTAAACTTTGAATTATAATATATATATTATTCATTTTGCTATACCATACATAGGCCAATCGAGGAAAATAAAACACTATTAAAGGATCGGCATGGGCAGGTTCAATGTGCTAGTACTTGTATTTCGTAATACCATGTTACTTCATATTTGGTCTGATTTACATGTAAGGTCATTTAGGGTCGTTACTGAATACATTTATCACACATACTTAAATTTGAGAAGTGTTATCGCCTTGCAGCCTCTGAGAAGGTGCCCCGATAATTCTATTATTAGTATAATTATCATTATTGTTGTTTTTGTTGTTGTTATTATCATTGTCATGATTATTAATTGTATTAATCTCATTGTTATTATTATTATCATTGTTATCATTATTGTTGTTAGTTTTGCCCCATGTGTTAATACAAATAATATGTCGAAAAAGGCATGTAGATGAACCTAAAAAACATATTATAAAATGTATATGCATTGGATTGGTGGATAGTACAGAAACATATTGCTCAAGTTAAACAACTTTTCACTTTCAGTTGCATTATTGTTGCTACTAAAATAACACACCGTGTGTAACATGATTTCCTTGATTTCTTCCCATCTTGACCCTGCAGCATCATCTTGTTTCTCCAATCCGTGTCTGTTTGGTGGAAGCTGTTCCAACACTGGCAGCGCATTCTTCTGTGCGTGTGTAGCTGGTTACACGGGCAATAGATGTCAGGTTCCACGTAAGTATCACTGTACCTGAATTTATTTTGTTTCATATTTAACAAAAATGGGGGTTGCAAGATCAAAATCTAATTCCAACTTCATAGGGTTACTATGCTCAAGCACATTTATAGTTACAACGTGATGATCTTTTTGTGTGGAATTTAACGTAAAATGAATTTATTGACATTTTTAGTTTTAGATCAAAATATATTCAAATCGTCATTGAAATGAATAAAACTCGAATTTTTCTGTAAAGTATACTTTGTTTAAAACGACTCGACAAACTTCATGAACTCAAAACTAATAAAGGTGATCAAATTTTGGAATGCTCGTATATTTTCCATTTTGATGAATTTTAAAAACGATATACATAATTTCTTTTTTAAATGAACCAGGATTAAATTTTTAATAATTTATAGTATATTACATATTCATGGCATTACCTATTTTATGGTTCGGCCTTGACAGGATACAATAATTATAAGGTTCCAAGTACAGACGAAGTAAAACGCTCATCCTAGGTATGTTCAAAATTCAGTACCAATAAGACTAAACAACCTTCGGAATCTGCTTACACAACCTTTTCCAACACTGTATTTCAGCATCTTCATGTTCATCTAATCCATGTGTAAATGGTGGAGTGTGCAGCCAGTCAGGCGGGACTTTCGCTTGCTCATGCCCGGCACTATTTACTGGTAGTAGATGTGAGATTTTTGGTAAGTAGGCCATGGTGTGTGGTGAAGCATGAAGCCCACCGTACACTATACGAAAGAATCCTTGTCTACAACCCCATTCTTAAAGATAAAGTTGAGTTCTGGTAACAAAAAAAAGAAAAATGAATTCTCACATAATCGAACGAAACTTACACTGAATGTTCAAGATTACAAATAAATGTCCTTGCCAAACAATTTCGGTAGAAGATGTATACTGGCTGAGTAATGAGCATAGAAAAATAAAGAAATTAAGGTTGGTAGCCCCGTCACCATTTGTGTAGTCCCATATACATCTTTCTGTGTACAGTGCTTGGTACATTGCCAAGACTGGGTCAAATTTATTATGATTTTGATGACTCCAGAACCTTGCAGTACACACCAATACTTACATGCTACATGATCAACTTTTCTGATCCATTCCACACCTTTTTTTTCACAATGCAATCGCATGACCAGAACTCAACTTTATCTTTAAACAGGGGTTAATGTATTATGAAAGCATAATTTAGAGTGTTGTATCCATGTTTCCATGATTCCATATTAATTAAAGGACCAACGCCTTGTCTGTCCAATCCATGATTGAATGAAGGCACATGTGTTGAAGGAGCATACTTGATGTGTATGTATCTTTTAAACATAATTGAAGATCATGTATCTAAGAAGCGTAATTAAATTGGAACGTTCTTTTATTTAGCCACGAATGCAAACCCGTGCCAGTCGAATCCATGCTTGAACGGAGGTACTTGTTTCCAACAAGCCAACAACGTCTACCAATGTGTCTGCGCTCCCGGCTTCGGAGGTGTCAGATGCACCACAGTGGGTAAGCAACTTTAGCTGCATACATTTGTGAAATATTACAAGGCTCCCTCTTAAAGGAGGTCCATGAGGCCCTGACCCGGAGAACGTTATTTAAACAAAAATAGAAAACTTAGATATATAAATGAATTAATGAATAATATAATAAATGATCGATCGATTATATTATTATATTTATTCATTAATTCATTGAATAAATAAACAAGTGAACAGAAACTTCTCATTTAAAAAGTTAGGTGCCAGTGAAAGATAAGAAGACTGCGATAGATACAGAGAAAGAGAAAAAGATGTGAATAGAAAAATACATGTAGGTAACACATAGAAATACACTGTCGCTCATAAAGGTGGAATATACCTTTGTATCCATATTTATGGAATTATTTTAAAAATAATTTAAAAATAATAGATCTAGATAAAAGTATACATTCTCAGATTTAATTGAATAATTATTTGCCAATGTGTGTTTTGCGTGACTGCTAAAGCATGTGTATGCTACTATGCTTATCAACTAGGGGACCTATGCCCTTAAGTCATAAATGACAGTAATGATGATTAATGCCCCACAAAAGGGCACTAATATAGCACATCGACATGGTTTTGATCCTGGGGCCTTACAGTTACGAGGCCATTGTTTTGTCACTGAACCATGCCTGTATGCAGCAGGGGCTAGGGTAGGGGACAGTTTCCATAAATAAAAATAAAAAACAGAAAATGCAATAAATTTTCAAAAATGTATTGCATTTTACCCCGGTTCCCAACATAAAAAAATCTTCTGTGTGCCCATGCCTTGAGCCATAATGCATGGCCGTCCAGTGGATTTTTTTATGTTGGGGAACGGGGTAAAATACAATAAATTATTGAAAATTTATCGCATTTTCTGTGTTTTTTTTAATTTATGGAAACTGCCCCCTACCCTAGCCCCCGCTGCGTACAGTCATGGTTCAGTGACAAAACAATGGCCTCGTAACTGTGAGGCCCCAGGATCAAAACGGTGTCGATGTGATATATTAGTGCCCTTTTGTGGGACATTAATCCTCATTACTGTCATTTATGACTTGAGGGCGTAGGTCCCCTACTTAATAAGCATAGTAGCATACACATGCTTTAGCAGTCACGCAAAACACACATTTGGAAATTATTGTTCAATACATTCTGAGGATGTATTCTATTATCTGGATCTATTATTTTTAAATATTTTTTTTTAATAATTCCATAAATTGGGATAAAACTAAAATATTCCACCTTTATGAGCGACAGTGTAGAAGAAAAAAGAAGACCTACTATAACAATGATAATACGTGTAGTAAACTCAGTTTAAATAATTAAGGGAATTACAATTTCATATTTGTTTGTAAATGTGCTCTGGGAATGCCGTAATGTGATATATACTATAAAAATGCATTCTATTTATTTATTATCCCAATTAACTAGCCCATACGTACATGAATGCAAATTACCAGTAAAACGGTTTTGTTTCTAGGTACATCTCGAGAATTTATTATCCCTCCTAACTAGCCTATACAATGCATTTTACAAGTACATATATTTTAATTCTAGGTACATGTCCTCCTGCCTTGATGGCGTATACCTAAACAAAGGCATACCATCCATTATTTTGGTGGGGATATTAGGTACTTGTAACGAGCACTTTACCCTGCCTACTGTAACTAGCTTATGCAAATAATTTTTCGATTTTCAGTTTTAACTCCGTGTCAACCTACAAACCCCTGTCTCAATGGAGGATCTTGCACTAGCATCGGCACCTTGTTTTCTTGCACCTGTCTGCCTGGATACACCGGGTCTACTTGCCAGTCCCAGAGTAAGCTTTACACCTTTCCTATTGAACCTTTGTATATATTTATCATGTATTTCATCTTTTGCACCTTGAGCATTTGATTGTCAAGTGGATATGGCGCCATACAAATCTTATGTATCATTATTATTATTATTACAAATTTATTTATGGAAAAAAATCCTTGTTAGACCATATTTTGGATGATAGCACAAACCCAGAGTCAGGTTAACATTTTAGTAGGATAAGGGCTTCTGTTCCTCATCAAATATTGTTTGATGTTAATTGTGATCACACAAAAGTGGAACTTTGCATGGAAATTTGGAATAGTAAGTGAATACTTGTGTAACATTAATTTCCCCTTTTTTGATTTTTTTTCTTCTCCAGCTGCAACAGGATGTCCTTTCGCCTGTGCAAATGGAGGAGTGTGTGTTTTGGACGCTCTTCATCGTGTCAACGTATGCCAATGCCCGCAGGAATACAATGGAAATCAATGCCTCTCAAGTAAGTTTCCCTCTTGGTCGAACTTAAATTATAAGAAGATAAGAAGCCATGTGTATTAGATATATTCCTATTTGTAGCTTCATCTGTGGATCCAATTATTAGATATCTAGGAGCACATCAAGATGTAGGATTTGTTATAAAATAATTTGAATTTAGTCTGAAATATTCCAATCATGTACGAATTCAAATAACGCCTTATCCTTGCAGCTACATGTACAAACATTTAAACCACATCGCTTCTCATGTTTGGTGACTTAAACAATAATTATATCACTTAAAAAAGACCACTTGAGCCAACTCAATCCATTGTTCTAAAGCAAAATTACTTTGACGTCAGAAGCTTCTTTGCACTTATCTACAGATGAGGCTGTCTTCGCAAGAGCTGACTCCATAACTTTGCAGCAACATAAGGGAAAGAGAGAAAGAGAGAATGTTTGTACAATGTTCGTCCATAACGACTTTATTTTCACTTCAATTTGCATTAAACTGTTAAATTGTGATTACCAATCACACATACCGGTAACAAGTACATCAGTGTTTCTTTTGTTCAACGTTATTCTCTCGTTCTCCCTTTCTCATGCATCATTCATATTTTTCATATTCTATTTGACAGGAACAACATGTTCCAGGAACTACACTATAGGTCAAGGACAGCAGGTGGCGATCACCAGCCCTAATTACCCCAGCTCTTATCCTAACTCCGTTCGCTGTGAGATCTACTTTCAGGCTTCAGACCCAAACAGACGCTTACGTGTGACCGTCAGTGAGTTTGATACTGAATGTGAGCATGACTACGTCACGGTGAGTGGTCCTTGTTATTAAAATCAATGGCAAGACGTTATTCTAAATTTGCCACTCTCCACCCAGGTGTAAATGGGTACCTGATATGCTTGAGCGCTAGTTACTTTGGCAGCTCGGCTACGACCAGGGTAATACGTGTAAAGCGCCATGAGCGTCAAAACCTGACGGATACCGGCGCTATATAAATAACCATATTATTATTATTATAATTAGTTTGAATGGCCATCTTTGTTCTCACAAGGTGAGTAATAACTGCCCTGTGTAAGTTGAGGAAAATGACAACAGTTTTAAATGTACGCCTTCAATTTGCATGTAGCTTTTAAGTAATTAGTAGATTTTCAATTTATTTTGATGGTTTGTTTGAATTCTTCAAAATAGATGGCGCTACAAATAAAGAAGCCCTTTGCCTCGCAAATATTTAAGATGTTTCTTTGCTCTCTTTGGGCATAAAAACTAAACAACAATATTATATCAAGAAATGTTTTACAAAGAAACAAGTTTAGAAGAGGTCAGTTGACACGACAGCTGGCCTATCAGCAGTGTGCGGCCACGATAAGCCCCGCCTAGTTCTATGATTTATGTACGAAAAGATGTTCAGACTTGAGCTTCTTCCTAAATGATGCTTAAACATCCTTCAGTTTTCTTATTCTATGTTTCTATATACAAAGTTCAGACTAGAAGATTTTAATGATTTATTGTATAGTTATACAATGAAATTTGGTAGTCTGAACGCAGGCTAAGAAATTAGTACAGTCAACCCTGCTTTAGTGACCACCTGTCTACAAAAACCACCTGTCTGCAACAAGCACATTTTTTCCCTTTAAAAATAGCTTCTCTTGAAACATGTACTTAAGGAACCTGTCTACAACAAATACATTTTTTGTTTCCCTTGGGCGGTCGCTGTAGACAGATTTGACTGTATTACGATGTGACATTTTATTTTCACACACATTAATGTTCAATGTAGGCTGGATCTGGTACAGACCTGAACGTCCAGAGTTCCACCATAATGCGACTGTCTGGCGATGAGCAGGTACCACCTTTCGTCATAGATAGTAACCAGGGTTGGCTCCTCTTTGAAAGTGATCTCTGGATTACCAATCCAGGATTCGCACTCACAGTCCAAGATGTGGATGCTGCAGGTATTTTCGATTTTTGTATCTACATTCCAATCACCCTGCCTGACATCTTACTTCCCCTTGTGTACATCGGTCTCTCTGTTTGCGTCTTTAGCTGTTCTTTCTCATCCTCTCTTCTGTTTTCCCTCTCTCTCATCTCATCCTCTCCGTCCTCTCTTTATCGTTCTCGCCCTCCTCTTTTTCTTTCTCTTTCCATCCGTCTCATCTATTTCTGTATTTCTCTCTCCCCATCTCTGTTCCCCACCTTTTCTACTCTCTCTCTCTCTCTCTCCCTCTCTCCCCTCTCTCCTCTCTCTCCTCTCTCTCTCCTCTTTCCTCCTCTTTGTCAAGTAGTTTATGGTGGTGACCTGATTGTGTTGAATTATTTTGTCTATATTAATCACAATCGGGACACAAACTGCGTTTTACCTTTAAACTCTTCCCCCTGAGAGTAATATCGTATTTCGTTGGGTTATAAGGAAGCAATCCACCACATATATACAACAAATTGCCTGATTCTATATTATTTTAGTACAGCATGTCTTCATGTACCATGGTCTTTATTATGTCTTTATATATAGAGTTCATGGCTAATTGTCCGGCCAACTTCTGCCAGAATGGAGGTACATGTGTAGTAGAGGTGGAACAACCTCAGGTCCTTGGGTGCCTCTGTTTGGAAGGTTACAGTGGTGACAACTGCATGGATGGTAAGCAGGAGCTCTTGTCATTTCCCCCTGAATATGATTGATATAGTTCCTTTCATTGTGGTTTTCTAAGCAATATGAATTTAGTTGTGTCCATAAATGTGGAAATCAATATATTCGAAACAAATTGAGTGTAGGACATCTAAGATAGCGTAAATATTTATCTGCGACTTCGTTAGATAGAAATGAAACTGAGTGTAAATGAAATGGATGATCCTACAACTTCATGGACATAATTGACCCTAATTTTAATCTTGGGACAGAAAACATTCCTAAGACCATCATGGCACCGACCGAAACCCGATGACGATGATGAAATGAAAAAGCCAAGGCTTTCTCTGGAAGACCCCTCCAATTCTGGGGTGATAAATATTGGTATAATTTATGTTTTGTATCATGTTGTACACATTATAAGTAAGCCAACCTATGTGTAATCTCCCTATAAAAAGCACTTCTAGTTGTACAAACTGTTCTTAAATCGTATATCTTTTAGATGTGAATGAGTGTTTGAGCAACCCATGTGAGAATGGAGCAACTTGCAACAATCTCTTCAACTCCTATTCATGTGCATGCTCTCCGGGCACATCCGGGACACGGTGTCAAATAAGTAAGAATTCATTTTAATTATTTGCCAGAACATGAAAGGTAGTTTCACTAATTTGTAATCGCACACCATTGCCGATGGAACTTTTAATCAAGGTCAACTCCAGGATAAGTTACACCTGTGTAAAATACAATGATTAAAGTAATTTTAGGAATGAGGTCTTTTAACTTTGCAATTACGTTGTATACATGTCTTCCTCGTTGTATCTGTTGTGTAAGCAAATGTGAAAGGCCATTTCCTGGATTGAATTCGAGAATGTCTCGCGTTTCAAACCTGTGCAAGGATAAAGTTCTCCCAAACACTAATGGTTAATCTAATCATTGCTTTTCATGGTTTATAGGGTTAGAATACATGATTGAATTAGATGATTGCTTTATTTGATACTGTGAGATGTATAGTTTCCATTGAAAACTGAAGTGTGAATGAACATTGTATGAGGTGAAAATTAAATATACTTGATTTTTTTTCCAGGGGCGATATTCTGAGAAATTTTGTTATTCTGTTAATTTGTATGTTAACTTTTAAGTCCCATAATTAATATATTCTTTCCATACCTCTAAATCGGTATTCTGAAACTATATTAAGGGAGTGTAATATTTTTTAGGTTACGCGCTGACACGCCCATTTCCATTTTTCAGTAATTGTTTGATGAGAATTACTGTTAAAATTTACTCTCAGCCAATCTTGGTTTATGTTTGAGCGTACTTACAGCTCCGCTACCTAAAGTGCATATTTTACTGAATATCATTCCTTTGTTTGAGCCTTTGTCACATAGCTATCTGTTAAATAGTTGTTTCGGACGTAAGGTAGATTACAGATTATGTTAGCTAACATATTTTTTTCACGAGAACATAGTTTTCAGTTTGAACACCAAAATTGATGTAACATTATATTTTAATTTTGTTTGTTTGCCCTATAGCATCCACTCAGTGTACTACCCTCCAGTGCTTGAACGGTGGAACCTGTGTGACGTCACAGTTTGGCCTGGCAAGCTGCAACTGTGTCGCAGGCTATACTGGAAACCTTTGTCAAGAAAGTGAGTATTCGATGCTGGTTCATAGCAGTTCTTGTATCGGAGTGTTGGCTCAGTCAGTAGAGCGTCCGCCTCACAACCGGGAGGTCGTGGGTTCGAACCCCGGCCGCGTCATACCAAAAGACGTTAAAAAATGGGAGTTGTTGCTACCTTGTTTGGCGTCCAACAATAAAGGATAGAGCAACGTCGATCTGGCGCTGCTCAGTGGCTGCCGGGCTCACGATCAATTGGGCAAAAATAATTTCCGTTTCGGTTTAATAAAATTTGGAGTGGACTATTAGGCTATCATCATTATTATTTTACAAAATCTGATGTTCAGCATGGAATATATTACCCTACGAATTTATATTCAGCACTTGTGAAACCTGAACGGGAATTGTTCCTTAATGTAGCGGATTACTATGGTTAATGAAATGAACACCATGCTTGGGTTTGGCGAAGTACACCAATAAATAAATAATTTGGCTCTTTCTAAAATATTTGTTGTATCATGTCAAAAGATATGTGAAATGAAGCCTGTTTACCACAAGATGTGATTTCTTTTCTTGCAGTATACAAATTGGAATTTCTTGAGAAGAAAACAATTATGTCTCAGACTAAGGCCGTTTGATGTCAAACACGCAACCTTATTTGCAAGAAGTTGTTTAATTATCGTCTTTATTAACATGATTTTTGTGAGAAATCCTGGCATGAATTATTTATATTTCTTTACAATAAAAGGGGGGCAATTACTTTTATAATGCCGTTAAAGTAATAAAATCCTAATTACATGCGTCTTAAAGATTCACAGATTTGTTTTAATTAAGAAAAACATAGAACAGTTCAAAGTAACATTTATGTTCTTTCTTTTCTTTTTATTTTCATTTATACATTGTTTTTTTGCAGACATAAATGAGTGTGGAAGCAACCCTTGTCTCAACAATGGCGTGTGCACAGACCAAGTCAATTCATTCTTCTGTAGCTGTCGCGATCCATACATTGGTGTTCTCTGCGATACAAACAGTAAGTATATGAAGCAGATCTGTATATGGGGAAATTTTGCTTTTATTATTGTAATAAATTTGAGATTCTTTCCATAGATTATGAAGTTATCCAATCATAGATAAAAGTAATTTTTTTAGTATCAATGTAAATAATAGAACGAAAATTTAAGCCAGAAAGAACACAATTCTTAAGACAGAAGTGGATTAAAAAAGATTGACTTGCATGCGAGAATATAAATTTGATATTAAGTAGAAATTCGTAATTTCAAAAGAAGCCTCATCCTTTGTAAATATGTTCATAAATAAGAATGATTTTGGCAGTGATAGACCAACATACAAATCGTCGCTGTTTTCACGAAGTGACGGTAGTGAAACAAAATTGCATTCACTTTGCGTTACGATTTTCCTCACTACCGTCACTTCGTGAAAACAAGGACGAAATATGTCATTCCTCATTTGTCAGCTTTATTCTGGAAAATGCAAAATATCCTTTTCAAAATAAGTTGAATGTGACCGCATAAACCTTTTAATAAATCAATATTAGGCAATTTCAAGATCCCTGTCCGTCACCTTTTGAACTGCTGGGCCATGTTATATTTTATGAAAAAATATCAAATTCTTTTCAAGATTTCAACATTTCCATTGATTTCCATTCTTTTACCCAGGTGCCAATGTTGCTCGCTCGTCGGCCCGAGACGGCAACAATCTGAGCTTACCCGAACTGGCAGCAGTAACAAACCTATCAGCATCATGGATAGCCGTCATCATTGTCCTCTTCGTCATCATCATCGTCATGGGAATGTACATCGGTTATAGATACTACGCAGGAAGGAGGTATGTCAGATTTGATCGTTGAAATGAAGCTTATTGCTATGACATATATTTAAATGATACAGAGGCAATATAGAACGGTTTTCGTACCAGAGCTCAACTGCAGGTACAACTACAAATCTTAAACTGAAAGATCAATGGACCAAAGTAGCTGAAAAATATATTATTCAAGTGGGAAAATTTTAATGAAAGAATATGCTAACATCACTTTTCACTAGGTCTACATAATGGTGTTACCCAAAGCTGTGAATAAAGAATAACATTCTTGGAGAACTTTGATACAGTTTCCAACAGGCAGCGACGTCACCCGGATAAGGGTTTCAATACCAAGTTTATCACAGCCTGATTACAATGGCTCTCGTATTGTAGTTCTCTGCCAGCAACAGATCATCATGTATTTTTGAAATATACATGTATTGACATAAAAGTTATTTCAAGTCCGTTTTATACAATACGAACGGGTTATAAGCAAAAGCTAAAAGAGGCGAATTAATTAAGAAATTGGGTGTATTTTATAGCACAGAGAACCATATCTCTAATGCATTGTCTTTCTCCGAAAAGGCAACGACTCGAAGATGGTGAGCATCTTCTGGAGGAGTACTCGAACAGAGCCCTGGATCCAGTCCCTGCCAGTGAGATGGGAGCTTACGAGCTTGTGCACTTACCAGGAGGCGCAAGGTAATAGTTTGTTCCAATTGGATTCTTTATGGTTGACTGTTTTAGATGGGAAAGTAAAAGGTACCAAACCAAGAGGGAAACCATGAACTAACCGGGAGGGGAACATTAAGACATGGAGTGGAATGACCCTTGGATGGCAGTAAACGGAGATGCGTGGGAACATATTGCAATGGGAGAATACACCTTGATAGGTAGATAGATAGCTGACCTTAGCTGTAATGTATTTGTTTAGCGTGTCTAACCGCCATTGTGTCCCGATGTATACATTATACTGTGCATAACAATAACTTTATAATCACACTATTAAACGAGACCGATCCTAGACCAACAACAGCCTGAACGAATCATGACATTAACCCTATGGCAAAGACTTAGTCGGTTTTTAGAGTCGGTATGGAGTTGGTTTGATGAGACCCATGATCACTAGTATTATAAGTACATTTAGTTGCAACAGTTGTAGTAGTATTATCATTTGTAGAAGTAGTGGTATTAGTAATTGTAGTAGTAGTAGTAGTAGTAGTAGTAGTAGTAGTAGTAGGCACGGATCCAGGATTTCTTAGGGGGGCCCATTTTTTCTTTTTTTTTGCTCCATAAAATTTGAAAATCGCGCCGGCCGAAAATTCGCTCAGTGGGGAGGGAGGGGGAGGGGGCGGGGGGGGGGGGGGGGGGGGGGTAGTGAGCACATTTTTGTTTTGGCCCTCGGAAATTTGAGAAATCGCACCCCCCCCCCCCCCCCCCACCTTGAGCGCCAGGGGGGGGGGCATCTCCAAAAAAAAGGTAAAATTAACGTATTTTTACATAGTTTTTTCCAGGGGGGCACCGAGTAGTAGTAGTAGTAGTAGTAGGATTAAGAGAAGTAGTAATTGTAGTAGTAGTAGTAGTAGTAGTAGTATCATTACCAGTAGAAGTAGAAGTAGTAGTAGCAGTAGATGTAGTAGTAAAATGGAGCAGACATAGATACTGAACATGGAGTTGGTATGGCTGTGTGACTGAGGTAATAGTCAATTTTTATAATTTGCATCGTATGTGCATTTAAAGAACATGGTTCGTGTTGGGGAGGGGTGAAATGGGGTAACCTGGTGGAAATATTCTGTTGTGGATAGTTCCTCATGCAGAATTCAATCAATTTCCAGGACTTTGCAAATAACAAACTTAAACCATGCAATTTCGAACACGAACAAAAATTGATTCAAATTACTTTATGTAAAGAAAATGTATACAAAATATGGAAGATTGTTTCAGACATATATTATAAACAAATCTGGAATGATAGTTTAATGTTAGTTTTAAGTAACACCATTTTCAAGATTCAACAGAGATATATAGATACAGAGATTTGAAAACTTGGTTTCAGTTGGTCATTACATGGCATTTATTCTTTTGTTTTTTGCCCAACTCGAACTGTGTTACCAAAATTCCCCTGATCATTGGCACCAAGATTCAAGTACTAAAAGGGCGCCATCTATGTTTTGAATGTGCCTAAATGTAAATATGTATTGGTCATTCCTGCGAAATCCCTTGTTACTGTATCATTCCTGATATGTTATTCTGTTAGGAATAAAACATTCCATTCCTAAATCGTTGAATGTAATTAATTAGGGATTATATCGTTTCATTTTTAATTCTCTAATAATCTAAAAGCCATAACATATTTGATATTACAACTTTGTCATGCCAATAAATGAAATGAAAAAGACGCCATGCTTATTCAAGATGGTGACAATCCATGTTTGATGACGATTCAATGTTTCATGACCATCGTTTCATGCACTTTTTTTCTTGGTTTAAAGTTCAGCTATACAAATCGGTAAATAGTGTAAAATGTTTACTAAATATATTATTATGTTTCCGTTTTGTGTTTGATGCAGGTCTGGGAGTGTGTCGGCGATGAATGCGAACCAATCGCCATGGCCACAGAGCGCAGCCAACATATAATCATTGACTAGCATATAATCATTGACTCACATCATCAACTGAATAATCTGTACCACAATGAACTATTTTGTTCAAAAATAAGTTATAATATTCAAAGTTATGATATATTTTGATATGGGCTGATATATGTAAATGATTATGGATAATGTTATTATACTCAGTTGATGCTTCTATTCATTAAATTACCATTATTGTCTGTTATGTTCTAATGTCAGTACCGGTAGTAAGAATTATAGTCCTATTAATCGAGAATCAAGTATTTACCTATTTGGGGAAAGTGACTTAGCGATAGGTGATTCCTGTTTGTTGCCATTCAGTTTTTCATATACTATATATTCTTTCGTAAAACATTCTGTAATAGAAGATAGAACAACATATATTCAACTGAAGACGTTTAATTTATCATGATTTTCCATTAGATTAGCATATATAGAAAATCGTGATTACATTTTCTTGTAAAAAAACTATAATATCACAGCAGTTGACTTATCGTAATATATAAAAAATAGGAGACAAATATTTGAATATTATTCTGTAGATAAAGCATTACAGAGAATAATGTTCTCAGAGAGTAGCGGTAAAATGTTTGTAATATTTATCTCCTCCCATGTGCAATATATAGCCATTTCTGAATATTTTTAAGTAAGAAGACTTTTATAATAATGAAAAATATAATAACCTTATATATCTTATATGTCTTAACCAGTTAAAATTAGCATTAACCTGAATAATATTCAAGGTTGTATTGAAATAGGAACTACAAATATGCGATGCGTCTGCCTTTCAAAGATATATGAAACTTAAAAGTCCATCCAGTGTTAGGAGCGGCTAATTAGTTAATGTAGACTTGTAAATAATATGATTTCATTTGTGGGATTTTCGCAGCCAGAAGTAAGGGGTTGGTTCACTTTATTTTCACTTATCCAATTCATACATGTATGATGTGAACCGTATATGAAAATAATGTTACCAAAAATACATCCATAAGATAATTAGAATGATAGAAATAAGCTGATGTTAACGTATTTAAGGAACAAAGGCAGATGTGGAGTGGGTATTAAGTTATAGAAACAATTATTTGTCGTGGACTACCCCAAAAAGAGAAATATATATAAACAAAACCTAACAATTCAGACAGTCCAGCTGTGTACGGGAATTACCTTTTGGTAATTTGACTGGGCACCATTTCTTTAAACTTTATATGCCGGTTTTACTCAGTTACTACATATACTTTACGGCTTTTTGCCAATTTAAAGGAATGAACAACTTACTTTCAATTCCCAATTAATATAATATGAAATGCATTAAGAGCAGGCTCTATTTTGCACGTTTAAATCGCAAATGTAGCGATTCAGCATATTCTAAAAGGCTATTTCATATTTTTGTAATACATTTAAACACTGACCTTTAGCAGTCATCAATTTCAGTCTGTATGCTCCACAAGTGTCTGGAGATGTCAGAGAATCTAAACAAATGGACCATTTATTGACGAAAGGCAGGTTGTATGTTTATTGTTGTTTGTCAGTTTTATGAATTCAAAGTACTATTATAATGTTATGATGTCAGCAATAACTTATATTTTAGGAATAGTGGTGGGTTACTACTTTATTAAAAATACAAAGGCATGCCAATTTTATCTTCAATATGTCATTATTATCAGTGTTGACTGAAGGTATACGATTCTACAAAAGCTGAGAGCACATGAATGTTTTTAAAGTCTCAATAATGTACAAGGCAATTGAAGAGAGTGTCCGAGAGAGGGATGAATGTATCGAGATGAGGAGGTGATCAGCCAAAAGTGCTTGATATGATTTTAAAGAGTTAGATTAAAAAACAACTTCACATACAAATTGATATGATGCGTTTTGAAAGGCTGATGTGACTATAATTTGCAGCAGAGTATAAATGAAGAAAGCTCAATCTATGAAGAACCTCAGTGATAAACAGACCTGTGATAAAGAAGAAGAAAAACAGCGATAAAACACAAACGTGTTTGGAGGGGGAGAGGATGATTAATAATTGGTAGGACGAGGAATACCGACTGACATAGATGGAAAGCGTGGGAGATTTTTGGGAGATTTTTGGAGGAAAGGTGGAGAAAAAATTGACAGAAAAACAAAAGTGGGGGAAGGGTAGAGAGAACGATTAGGAATACATATGTGTAATATAAGTCATACATTTCCATATCCTTCAATGTAATGACAAGAGCAGGTGGCCATTCTATTGGTGCCCTTACGCTTAGGCCTATTTATCTAACTCCCTTTTTGCCGGTGAGTAATTGTGTATGGATGAGTGAAGAATTGACAAAGGCCCCTTCACAATAGAAAATGCAAATGCGCCTTTTCACGATGCCCACTCGGGCATTGCGAACAATCTCCACCCTACAACAATACGAGCGGGATGCACACCCAAGCAGGTTACGTGAATAGCGATGTTCAAATAAGCTTTCTACCATTCCTGTTTTATAAAGCAACCAGTGAAATACATCGTACGTGCGTAAGGGAATCGCTACTTGAATAACAGTGGCGTCAACACCAAATCCGGTGTTATCTTATTATCTAATAAACAGGCGGACATAGTTTTGATTTTGGCCTCCTGATCTTTGAGATTAAGGACTGGTTGGAGGTTTACGTTTGCATATGGAAGATTAATCGGAAGAGAAAGTATTACGAAGATGGATTCGTATTTCTGTGCTCTTCTGGGTCTCTTACTCCTCTGCATTTCAGGAACTATTGCTTTGAATGGTAAGCACCAATGAATTCCTTTTCTGTTTATGTTTAAACACACTTGATGTTTCCGCAATTTTTTAGAATTGTGATACCTGAAAAATACATTTCAATGTAGAAAATCTCGCATATATCTATGTGACACATACTAACTATCAATTTCCTTTGATGTGTTTTTTCAGACTTAAATGATGTTTATTTTATGATAGCAAATATGTGATGTATCTAGTGTTGTTGTAGATGACCGCTTGTGAATCCTAAGTGGACATGGACAATAAATAGCCTTAAACTAAGGACTAGGTGATAATGTAAAGTATGATATTCAACATCAGATTTTCCATTAACACCCGTAATAAGGGTCTGTTTAAGGATCATTTCTGAATGATTCGTATATTCTTGTTATCTAGTGTTGTTGTAGATGACCGCTTGTGAATCCTAAGTGGACATGGACAATAAATAGCCTTAAACTAAGGACTAGGTGATAATGTAAAGTATGATATTCAACATCAGATTTTCCATTAACACCCGTAATAAGGGTCTGTTTAAGGATCATTTCTGAATGATTCGTATATTCTTGTTATAAAGCATATATTCACACCGTGTTAACACCTTTATACACAAATTCCGACCATTTACGATGAAATCAAATTGGATTGATGTTACATTGGATCATGTTAATAAAAGAAATAAGTACATCATTTTTGTGCGCAAAGAAGTAGATACTCCTGTGACAGATCTCCATCGAATTGTTATTAATTGCAGCATAACGATTTATCAAAGGATTGTAATTTCTTCATTATTTAACAACACAATGCAATCGTTATTTTTGAAGCTATTGTGTTAACATTTTCTCCTTGTTCTATTGTGTGAAATGTATTCGAATGGATTACACTGCGATTCCTCACAATTCACCTGATAATATCTTGTATCGCAGTTTGACAAATCATAAGTTTGCTTGAATTGCTTCCCACCGTCAGTTCCCTTTGAATTATAGTTCAATCCACAAAAGCATGTTATATTTCATGTACATTTCCTAGCGGGATCTGACGACACAGAGTATTCGCCTGATTTATAATATTTCCACCATGCTTAATGACAAATGAAAAATCCCCATACTGTATGCATTGATAAGATGAGGGGTATCTTATGCAATTTGTGTAATTAGAATGGTCAGACTGTGGTTGTTTTAGATTTGTAAATATGATCTATGTAAGGGCAGCAAAAGTATACAATTATGATATGAACGAAACAAATAGATCTGTTTTTATATTATGATTACGTATATATTTGATTCATGGTATCATAACTACTACTTATTACAAGTGGAAGACATGCACCTTCTTCTCAGACAGAAGTTGAAAAAATAAAAAGATTTGGGGAGAAAATGATAATACTGTATTGGCCAACTCTTAAGTGATATCAGAATTCGCGAGTAGTCAATATCTGTAATATTTTGATAAGATGTCCACTTTCCGACAAAAAACAGAAAGAGGGGACCCAAATCACTATTTGATGGAGAATTCCTTTAAAGTTGGTTGATGATCCTATTTTGTTCAGAAGAAGAAGAAGAAGGAAGAATAATAATAAGAAAAAAGATGAGGAGGAGGAGGAGGAGGAGGAGGAGGAGGAGGAGGAGAAAGAGAAGAAAACGGGACAATACGCTGAAACTTTGTTCTCTGTCCATTCGCAGTTCGAAAATACCTATATCTTTGTTTATCTTCGATTCTTCATGAAATTTTCAAACACAAATGTACAATATTAAGCGATCATTTTAGATAAATACTTGTGCAACAGGTACATTGGTTCTGTAGCGACATTACAAACATATGAAAGACACACCAACAAAAGTCATATCGTAATCTCAGCTTGATCTATTTCGTAATTATGTAAGAATGAGACATGCCCATGAAAACCCACGCAATAAATATATATATATAAAAACATACAATAAATAATGATGCTCCGTACACGACGAAATATATATATATATATATATATATATATATATATATATATATATATAATTGATGTGATTCAGTTGTATGTTTGACATGGCAATGCTTTACATCTGTCGGGTATCAGCCTATGCCTCCTCTGAAGAAAACAAAATTGTTCATAATGTAATATTTATTGTCTATAAAAAGTGTTCATGCTTTCGTTATCGAAGTTGAAGGAAATGATGTAATTTCAGATATATTGATTGGAAGAGGTTCACATGCCTTAGGTTTAATGAAAAACGAAAACAAAACAAACGAAACAAAACAAACAAAACAAAAATGCTCCGACGCCATCACTACTTTCATGATTTTGATTGTTTTATCACCTCCTGTATGTCAGAAGCGTCACTGCGGCAGGCACATTAATGGTGGCTTTTAATAAAAACAACCAATCACTAAAATTATTATAAATTCAAAATCATAATAGTCCCCTGCAAATATATAAAGAAAGACGAAAATAAGGATGCATTGACATTTCTCAATTATTAATTTTGGGGGACAAAAAGATATTAGTTGACACCAGTTCCTTTATCACTCTGTCACCCGAGAAGAATTCGACCACACCCGTTCACTGGCTTTTCATTAAACCGCGAATCAAGGATACAAAGCGAAGCCCTTCTAACAATTCTATTCATACGACAGTCACGTGGTATTGATTAATTGATCTTTCCAAACAAACAGAAGAAAGAAAATCTTGATGAAATTGGATTTGCATCTGTCAAAGCTGTAAGCGTCACCAAGACATTTGACATTGGGATATGTTAAACAATAAAGGCACCAGGCAAAAGAAGGGAACTAAATTGTAGCAGAGAAGTGTGTACATTTGCTCTTAAACGGATTTAGACTATCCTTTCTATTGGCTTCTAAAATAAATCTCTTGAAGAATTCAACTATTGAATGCGACATTACGTAACAGTCTGATTGTTAACAGATCTAAAAAAAAACGCAGCATTTGAATAAAAACAGAATTTGTTTTGGAGCTGGACACTCCCTCTTAACATACGTTATCAATCGAATCGAAGCAACAGGTCATGCAGAAGACCATCAAAACGTAATGTCTAATATTATTACTACAACAACAACAGTACTACTATTAATGCCACCACTTCTACTACTTCTACTACTAATAGTAAAATAATAGCATTAATATAAGTTTAGTGACAATAATAATGATGATACACCTGTAGATATTTTTAGCGCTTCTCTCTAAACGCAAGATGCTTATGGTGCTCTTATGTACCGTCCTTATCAGTGTATACGAATACATACAATCTATTTTTTGTGTATGATGATTTTATATTTCCCCAATTCACAAATAAAAACAAATAACCTGGGCACTGTAAAAGAAAAAAAGAGTTACTATTAATTGCATCTCCCCAAATTAAAAGTGTCTCTATTATTATCAATCTTAACTTCGCATTAGACAACGATGTTTCGGGTAGATACGATGCATGGTAAGATACAATTTAATGCAGGAAGATTGGCGGTATAATAGATGATTAAAATTAAATATAAGGCAATGTTTGTATTATAGGGCCCTGACCTACAGAGTACGTTTCACAGCATTCCGTACATACAGTTGAGCACGTAACAATAGATTCTGAGATACAAAAATATGAGAAAAGGTAGATGAGAAAAGGACTTGTAAATAAAGTAAGCCCCCCCCCCACAACCATATCCTTGACCGCGCCCCGAGATCCAAGTGTTCCCCATCAATGGCTAGACCTGCACTAAACACTAACCAACTAAGTCTGTCTGATATTTGGCGTGAGTGATTTTTTAACGGATTTGAAGGGCACACGACGTCGTCTGTCTCAAGACATGACACGTCCACCAGAGCGGGGCAACTTCAATATTTATCTATCCTTGCAAGGCGATTTTATACAATGATCCGAACCAAAAGGATATTTTCTCTTTTCACAAGTAAAATTCAAAATATTTGTCATATTGAAAATGATACACTATTGCTTTCATTATCAAATTCTGTATTGTATCGCGCTATTTCGACATACATGTAGGCGCACCCTTTGAATCCACTTATCTGCATGAGACAAAACGTAGAATGGTAGTAAAATCTGAAATAATTAGAAGTAGACATTATGCAGTGCATCATTGCAAAGACTCCCTCAGTAAGTTGTTTCATACAAAGCATAACAGCATCGCGAAGTAGGAAAATAAAAACCATTCTCAATACGCGATTAAGGGCTTTATTTAAAAGTTAACGTGTCGTGGGGCTCAACATGTCACAGTCAGTAGGCAATCAACGTTAAAGTGACACATTTTCAACGTTTTCTCACTGACGACGAATGCTAGTTTCTTACACGAGGTTAAAAAAACGACCAGGTAAAACTAAGAATGATACAAATGTCATATTTGAACATAAGATCATTTTACTTACACTGCACAACGGTTGCAATGAATGTGCAAATCATTTAAAAGACAAGACTCTGATAAAGGAAGTATATTCAAATATACGCGAATGAAAACAAATGAGAAGATAAATAATTAAGTTGTAAAAGAGAAACATGTAAGAATATAGTACAGCACTTTGCTATTAGAAATGGTTGAATACAAATAAAATCTATATGTGTACAAATTATAAATTAAATTAGGCCTGAAGTACTGCTCCGTTGAGAGCATTATTAAATGACAATGACACATTGAGCGATTGTAGTATATATTTAAGTATAACAATAAACCTTGTCTAATGGTGCCTACGGTCATGCTTAATTTGTATATCACAATGTGAATGCTGCCGGGGGTACCATACACTTTGCTATTATAAATGGTTGAATACAAATAAAATCTATATGTGTACAAATCATAAATTAAATTAGGCCTGAAGTACTGCTCCGTTGAGAGCATTATTAAATGACAATGACACATTGAGCGATTGTAGTATATATTTAAGTATAACAATAAACCTTGTCTAATGGTGCCTACGGTCATGCTTAATTTGTATATCACAATGTGAATGCTGCCGGGGGTACCATACAGTGTATTATACAGCGCTCTATGTATCCGTGTATTTACAAGGCAAATCGATTGGGAGAATTAATAGCGTTTTCCATTGCCACGACGACCAGAGGCAATGGCGCGCATCGTAATCGTCTGTATTGCCTGAACTAGTGTATTAGTCGCACCGTACACAGTGAACATAATTTATCGTTCGACTTAATCTAGATAATTAGCAGACGGGATTTTGTATAAACGAATATCAATTTGCGGAAGAACTACAATGTGTGTACCAGACAAAATATATATGACTCGATTTATTGATACGTACTACTGACTCCGGATTTGAAAATAGTTTCAAGCCAATCAATTATTCAAATGACTAATTATGATTTATTTTTTGGAATAATAATACATTACTGATAGAGTCCCATATTAGCTGTCTATTATCATTTTAGAGCAATTTTGATCTATTTGAGGTGAAATTAATTTAAAATAACGAGAACTACGGGATACCCCGTTGATAAAATAATATTTCCCATTATATTTCATCCATACGTTAGAAGGGTCTGATTTCGCATCTACTCGTAATGAGATTGACAAATGAGAACTGACTTTCGTTCCCACAAGCCCATTGTCATTGCATAGCTTCTTTCTCCAAAATAATCAAACACTCTAATTAAGATATTTTTATCACAATAGAGCAATTATACCGACGATCAATGCATAATTGATGGTTCTTGTTTCATTTTTTCTATCATTCACTCGCAGTAGCAGTGCTGCCTTTATTTGTGGATGCCCATGTACATTGAACAGCATTACAATGTATGGCATTTTCCCCTTTTATTAAAATCGGAGTTTCGACTTGGCTAATTAGACTATACCATGCGATGCGATAGAATGCTAGTCAAATAAGCCTGTCAATAGGCCCCTTTTCGTGATGAATTCGGATGTAAAACACCATGACTTCTCTTCAAAAAGTAATATATGCAATTCGCATCATGGATATTGAAATACAATTATTTGTAAAAGGTGAGTACAATTATTTGTAACGAGACACTCAACAATGATTGGCATTACATTTGATTACATTACGAAAATTGCATATTCACTTGCAATAAATAATAACATTTATATAGATGGAATCCAATATGCTAACATAGAGTTATTACTATGTCTGACAAGCCTCTCGCAAGCTTTTGAGTTTTCAATGGACACCTTTCTTCAAGAAGTATACATAAACTGATCTATTGGTATGCTTTCCCGAAAATTTCCTATTTTCTAACATATCGTGAATGCACGGGTTTTCGGACTAATCCCAATTATTCATTCGTGCTTTAATTTACAAACAGTGCTTCATCAACTACTTTCCCTTATTAACTACTTTCCTTTATTTTCTATTTCATTTGACCACCTCCAGAGTGTGACAGTTCGCCATGTCAGAATGGAGCAGAATGTCGAGATGGACTGGAAGGCTACTACACATGTCTCTGTGCGCAGGGGTATCATGGAACCAACTGTGAAATTAGAATGGGTAAGAATTACCGTCCTAGAGATCATTATTTTGAAGACCATAACTTGTGTTATATAACGCAGTGGTAGTAGTGTTGGTTGTGGTGGTGGTGGTGATAGTAGTATAGAGTAGTAGTAGTAGTAGTAGTAGTAGTAGTAGTAGTAGAATGAGTGGTGGTAGGAGTAGTAGTGGTAGCAGCAGGAACAGTACTACTACTACTACATGTACTATTAGTAGTATCAGTAGTAGTAGGCCTAGGAGTAGTAGTAGTAGTTGGAAGAGTAAAAGTAGTAGCAGTAGTAGAAATTGTAGGAATAGTAGAGTAGTAGTGGTGGTTGTAGTAATAGAAGACGTGGTTTTAGTAATAGAAGACGTTGTTGCATGACTCGAGAGTAACAGTATTCTGCACTGACAGTACAGGTAGGAGATACGAGCAATATGTCTTACTGACTCTCTTAAAAACCTTTACAATATCACCCCGTTACATCAAGAGCTAACCATCCTAAATACTGAATACATACACCTCGGACACAGCATATTCTTACTGCATAAATGAATGGCGGGCACCCTTATATCCTTTATTAACTTATACAAAATCTATTATTATCGTATATTATCGTATTAAGGTCATTTGGAAGTAACTGTACAACCCAGTGAGTCGAATATTGGATACATGCTCTGAATGTAATGTAACCAGTAATCATTTATGTATGAACGGTACATCGTACATGTATGATACAGTTTTAATCATTCTTTTCAAAAGAGGAGAAACAAAATGTATTCATGAAGCGTCTGCACCACATTGACATGGATTATTCTAAAATGCACTAGCTGGAGCGTGTCCATGTTATTCATGGATTCAGGGTCCTTTGTATGATGTGCCACACACGAAACTCAACTGGTCCATCGATCATCATGTATAGTCGTCAGTTGAGCTGTACCTTCGTGAATAGAACAGACCGCTACAATAATGTATTTCAATTTGTGCAAATTTCTCTCCCCAACCAATGGCTATCAATGATTTTATTCATTAGTTATGAATATTGGAATCTCTATGGACAAATTTCAATTTGCATACATTAGTTGTTGCTCTGTCCGGCAATCACATGACAAGATTTTTAGGCACCAAGAGAAACTTCTGCTTTAATACAAAAAGTGTTCATAAAATTAGTTAAAAGTTCTATTACAGACGTACTGTAAGCATTCAGTTATTAATAATAATAATAATAAATTATATTTCTATAGCGCATTATACAAGGTATGTCTCTATGCGCTTTACATTGTATTACAAGCTTAATTTATTACATACATCTACTATTGAACTATCCTCAAACAAAAATTCTGACAAGATCTTAACTAAAATAGTATAACAGTAACTAGATAGATAAACATTATAATTCATTCTTAAATAATGATACAACAATTATGGTTCAAGATTTTATTTATATATTACAAGTTGTAGGCATATACAATTTCAATTCAAATTATAGATTAATAATTAATTCTTAAAAAGGTAGGTTCTTAAACAAGGTATTATGTGATCTCGTTGTGTACTTTTAGACCAGGACTGCGGGACCAACCTCTACGACCAGGTAGGGTCTTTCCAGAGTTCCTCTTACCCGTCGAATTACGGATCGCGTGAGGAATGCTTCTATCTGATCCGGAGCCACGGCGCTCACGTCATCAACTTCACAATCGAGGACTTCAACACAGAACTCAACAAGGACGTGCTCGAATACGGCTACGGAGATACAGTCGACATCAATAACGTGGAGGGTCTCTACCAGGGCAATATCATCACGCCAGTGGAAATCTCAGTACCGGGGTCGTCTGCCTGGTTCTTCTTCTCTACAGACCGTAACGTCCAATTGAAAGGATTTCGCATTTCTGTCAGTGCTGGTGGGTGCCACTTTATACCAATTACCTGAAAAATGAATCATATTCCGAAAAGAAAAGGATACACAAATTAAATATCCTCTGCTGGAGGGTTAGCATTAAAGGTGCCACAGTGACTAATCATCGGCTTCGTTTACATTCATCCGGATATATTCTTTACAAACCCTTAAGTCGTAAGATTAGAAGTGATATTCGAGCAAGAAGACATCTTGCGGTTGAGTCTTGGCCCGGAATACTGGAAATATTTCTGATGAGTGAGTTAGATACTAGAAGACAATGTCCAAAGGGCATTCCTCTCTCAATCACAACATAACGCAGCAGCTTCTATTAATAGCATGAAATCACTTTCACCATTTTTTAAAAGTAAGTTTTGTATTGTATGCTAAATCAATGATGCATCTTTTGTCCATGATTTGACCATAATTCTTTTTCCTAATCTAGATGGAAATGATTGTCTTAGCGCCCCGTGTATCAACGGAGGGACGTGTATAGATGGAATACGAAGCTATACTTGTGAATGCGCGCCTGGCTTTACGGGATTCAACTGTGAGACAGGTTGGTCAAGCAGCGCAGTTACATCATTGGACATTTTTTTAAAATTATTATAAAACATTAAACAGGGAGACAGATGGTAGCGGTTCTAGATGGTGGCTCGGGGCCCAATCCCCCTTAAATCCTTCAAGTCCATAATTTGTTATCTTCATTATAACTGAATTTAAGCAAGGCACACGTAGAAAATGAAAGCAAGAACCCCCACCCCAAAGCCCATTCCTCCAAATTATTTGTTTCTTCTGATTTCTATGATAATTGACTTAATACAACGATATGTTTTCAGCACTAACAATACATTGCAGTTTGACCATCTTCCTATTCGTTTTTACTCTGAAAAAATATAAAAGTTGTTTTAAGTATTCTAATGGTATCCTACTCCGCTTTTATTTGCGTGAACACATGAACATGGTCAGGAGTGAAATGAATAAATGACATCCAATTACAGTATCACAACAACTTGGACATGTGCAGAATGTCAGTTTGTCCTTAAAAAAAAAATCGGCATACACATAACGGAGAATGGCATTTGTTTTCATTTATTGCATTTTTTTCTTCTTCATTTCAGATATTGACGAATGTGAAAGCAACCCTTGTCGGAACAGCGGATTATGTGTAGATGGCGTCAACAGCTATACATGTAACTGCGCCTCCGGTTGGACCGGACCTACTTGCCTGATCAGTAAGAAATAATCGAATTTATGTCCCCTCGAGCCAGGGCCCCGGGCACTAACCACAAAACCACTTGGTGTCCCATACTTTGCCAAATGTTATGGTAGTATGATATGATAATAATTGAATATTGAGAACGATAGGTTTGGTTATAATTATAATAATAATAAGAAGAATAATGATGATTATAAATAATATAATAATGATGACAATACTAATAATTATAATACTTATAATACTGATGATAATGATAATAATAATGGTTAAAATAACTAGAATTTACTACGCTTGTAATACACAGTTCAACTGTGGCACGGCGTATTATGACACCCAGTTATACGTTGGTATTTCGCCTAGATGGCGTAATTTTGAGTAGGGCTTGCAAATAAACCCAATCATCAGATATACTACTGTCTCAGATTTGGTCGGTAACATAACAACAGTAATAATAATTTTATTTATATTTTATGTACCTAAAAATAATTCTTCTTGTGAAATTCCAAGATATTTTGTCATTTAGTGTCTAGTACGTTACCGAGTATACGAGATTTACTGATGAACATAACTTTACTGTACTTCATATTTGGTCTAATCAAATACTGTATTAGTACTATCAGCTTGGTACAAATCATCTGACAATCAAACTAAATATTAGATGTGGTCGCTAACGTATGGGACAAAATTTCAGGGACCTACACTTTTTTCTTTCAATTTAGATGTTGACGAATGTGCTAGTAATCCATGTCAAAATGGCGTATGCACTGACGGGATCAACCGGTATGATTGCATCTGTAATTCAGGCTGGGCCGGTACAAACTGTGACATTGGTAAGTAGAATACATCATTCATCAAAGCAAGTGTAAATTTTGAAATTCAATAATTATATATAATAATTATGTATTATTATGTATTATTTCTTTGTATAGAAGGTTATCGTGATGTACCTTTGCGAATCAAACTCGACAATATTACTCAATGTTCGTCGATGGTTATATATTCCTACCTTAGACATTGATGTTTACAATCTTTACAACACTTTCAGGTCTAAAATCAAATTGAAAGTTTTGCTACGTCTACATTCACTTAGGAGATGAATTATGGTAATTGGGTCTTACATTGAAGAATCATGAGAACGATAAAATACTGTTCAAAATCACCCAACGCTATTCACCATGCGTTACATTTTGTATATTAATCCCCCGTTTTATTTCCGATATGCTTGGTACCTTTGAAAATTGATTCGAGCATTTAATAGGCGTTATACGATATACACTCTACATATCTAGAAGAACGAGATATGAGAGGTTTGGCCTCACCCAAGCAGATACTGGATACAGGAAGCCTTGGAGAAGGGCCACAAGGGATATGAAAAGTCCAACCCCACGGCTTGGTAAAAAAATGGACGCTAAACGATAATGTAGAACATTTTATGCTCAATTATTAATGGATTCGATTGATGATTCTCTTCCTCCTATTATAGATATTGACGAGTGTGCCAGCAATCCCTGCCTAAACGTGGGTACATGTAATGATAGAGTAGATGGTTACATCTGCGCATGTGCATCGGGATGGGAAGGAGATATCTGTGAAATCAGTAAGAATAATAATTTTGTTCTTCTTCCTCATGAATGTTATAGGGCAAGTCAAATGTATTTGGTCATTTAAAGTTCCAAACGTTACAGGGTATTGTGTATTTCCACACATGAATTGATACGAAACGAATCCTTTCATTGCATATTGGTTTTATCGAAGCTCTTAAAATGTGTTAAATTTAATACAATGATCCTATATACTAAAATCGTAGAAGTGATCGGTAATTTTTTGGACAAATAGCTTAAACGTCCCTTTTAGTCATTTAAACGGGTATTCTTATTTATGCTGTATCGAATATATAAACACTTTTTTCAATTTCCTCACAATATCGAGTTTCTAATTTTAAGAACAATATACTAAGCTGTGAGCTCATTGTCTCTCAAAATTCACAATGATTAGAAGGTTTAGTGTTTACGACCCCATTGTGCTTGGAAACGCGTGTGGTGTCCTTTTCATGAAAATTGATGAAAATTGATCGATTCATAGAAGTAAATGAAAAAAAAAACATGGCTACACTTATACCGTGATTTTTTTTAATTCATTAAAACTTCAATCTCTTTATTCATGAATTTTTCTTCACAGATACTGATGAATGTGCCAGTTTCCCATGCCAGAATGAGGGAAACTGTATTGATCTAATCAATGGCTTCTTCTGCGCATGCTCCCCAGGATGGACTGGAGTTAACTGCGAAATAAGTAAGTTTGCTAGCAATCATTTATAGTCATCTCCATATTCGTTTCAAGTTCGATGATAATTCCCTAAAGAACGCATGCATATTTATAAATTCCTATAATTCTTTCACGATCTGTGTTGCATATTTTCTAACATAGTTCATAGTTTCTTATGCTTAAATAGCCAGCTATATATCTTATACTTTATCCCTCACTTCAAACGGTATCACAAAACCCTTATCTTCAATCCTCACTCTCTCTCACGTGGTGCACCCGCAAGCCTACTGTATATCTACATCACCATGCAAGCCGATACTTACAAGCAGCATCTAAAACCATTATCATCTAAATTTTTCTTTAGCAAGTTCTATAACTTCAAAATCTACTTTCACGATTGGTATTCAGCAACTTTACAGCAGGTTTATATCACTTAAGCTTTCAAAGTTTATATTAATGGGCGTGTATAATCTTGCGGATACTCTGTTTGGCCGGTATTCTACTAAATGTTTAAACCCGACACTGGTTTTAAGCCTTTGTTCAAAATTTGGTTTAACAAAGGAACTTAATCTGAGTTCGATTTCCTTTGTTATACGTGATTTTACATCTAAGTTCAGGTTTATCTGAATAGACCAGATTTACTAACATATTCAAATTTTATGCATAATTTATAAACAAAGGTTGTCCTTGACAAGCATTGTCTGAGGCTTGCCCGACATAAATAATGATATATGCAGACTCTTTTCCAAGTATTGTAGTTCATTCATTAATAACAGGTTAATGGAGTACCTCGTTACTAGGACTACAGCAAAGGAACATCCATAGATTTGAATATATTAGTAAACCGGGCTTTAAGTAGAATACAGACCTTTGTGGTTAAACAAAAAAGGGACTACACTTTGTGGCTCTTTGTTGTCATATCCGCATCATTTGTTTGCCTCCCACCATTAGATGTAGACGAATGCACATCATTTCCTTGTCGGAATGGTGGCCAGTGTGTTGATCTGGTCAATTCTTATAGGTGTGTTTGTGCCTCTGGATGGACCGGTGTCACGTGTCTCATTGGTGAGTGGCGTCAAACATTCTAATTGGCTGGTTCATGACGCGGCCGCCGCAAAAAATAAAAACACCGCCTTTTTCAACGTGCTCTGTGTTATGATATGAGGAAATGTGAGGCGTATTTGTACACTTTACGTCGTCATAAAAAGAAAAACTCGCAAGTGACGGTATTGCCTCGTCCTTTATGAGCGAATTTAACGGGGTATTGTTATCAAATGCGATCGGGTAATGTCGTAGATGTTTAAAGATGTTTAGAATCAAAGGAGGGGTGGGGTGTATTTGATCAGTGCGCATGAAACAAGTCCGTCCGACTAAAGTAGAATTATGTAAAAGCCAATTCATTCACCCACCAAACATTTAAGCTTTATATAGATTATCATTTTATAAAAAACAGTTTTATTATGGTCGTGTATGTATTCAATGTATTCAAATGAGAATGTCTTGCTGTAGAGCACACCCGCTATGCAAGTTTGGTTGCATTCAGATTCAACTTGATTTGTATCAGAAGTATCTTGAGTAATTTGGGAATATCTTGGGGGTATGTGATGCAATGTTTACATAACATACACGTTATATTTACTCTATATTCCAGATATCGACGAGTGCACCAGCATGCCATGCCAAAATGGCGGTATATGTACCAATGGAGTCGATGGTTATATATGCGCATGCGCAGCAGGATATGAAGGAGATAACTGCGAATTAGGTAAACGCATGGGCAGACTAGTGATGAAGATGTTTACCATGCTGTGCTGTTTACCCCCTTTTCTATCAATAAAAGAATACTTCATGATAGATGCATGATCTCTACATATATATACCATATTTACCCACCGATATTATCAGTCCTATATTGAACATACTAATAATCTTTTTCTTTATCTTATATCATTATCCTATATTAATTCAGCATTTATCTTCTTATACTCCATAAAAGGAAGCCATTTTTTTTGCTGTCAATCATCCTTTGAAGTCTTGATACGATGCCCATATTGCCAATATTTAAGATTTCTTTATACATTTGCAGTTTTGTGTTGTCGACTTGCATAACTTTGTGAGATAACCATCTAACTTTTACTACGAACTCTAAAACAAGTACCCAAAGAATGTTATAACGACATTAACTAATTGCAGCCTAAACATGCACCTTTGGGGGTGAAATATTTGTCGAATTGATACTACCTACTAAAAAAATGTACTTCAAAGAATGTCATTATGACAAAAAAAATATTGCAGCGTATAATTGCATTTATAAACAATTTTTTCGTTTCAGATACGAATGAATGCCGTAGCAACCCTTGCGTAAATGGTGGTTTTTGTACGGACATTTTAGACGGTTATGTTTGTGCTTGCCAACCTGGATTTACCGGTACCAGATGTCAATCAGGTAATTGGAAAGAAAGAAATTCCAACGTACGGTATTTTTTTTAGCATACAATTTTGAAGAGAGGATGATTAGAATCGTAAGAAGAGAGATAAAGAAAGAGAGAGAGAGAGAGAGAGAGAGAGAGAGATACCGAGAGAAGGAGATATAGAGAGTGATTGAAGCGAAAGGGAAAAGGAACGGAAAAAATGGGAGAGTGTATAAGAAAGAAATAATGATGTAGGAAGAATAACAGGAAGCGGAGACAGATAGAGAAAAGGATGTTATGCTTAATGGAGAGCGAAATAGAAAGTGATGCGGGTAAAAATGGAGACAAAAAGATTAAAAGAAAATATAGAAGTGCTAAGAAATATTAATAGATAATCTCAATTTTACACACTGACCAAGAATTTTGAATTTGTGAGACACTGTAGAGCAAGATCCATGAGCTCCCAGCAGAGGCAGACACTGCTATTCAAGAAGACGTTGATCATCATCATCATTATCATCATCAAGAGTGAGAGAGGAAAGGGAACATGTAATCGGGAAAGAGAGGAGAATGGGGACGTCATGATAACGCTTACACGTGATACAAGTTGAATACTTCGTGTTGAAATTCATTTTGCCGAAAAACATTTCATCTTTCTAATTTCCTATGTTTCTTTTCAGAGATCAACGAGTGTGCCAGCAACCCATGTGTAAACGGGGATTGTGTCGATATACTGAACGCCTACCAATGCACCTGTCGGGCTGGCTGGTCAGGACCGCGATGTGACATCAGTGAGTAGATTCACTTTATAATTAATCAGATGAGTGGTTGGTATATTTTTTAAAATTAATACCGCGTTCGTTAAATTGTGATGAACTCAGCTTAGTTTGTAAGGTTAAAGGTCCGTTTATGCTTAGTCTCAAATTCATTAAAAATCGTAACAATTGCTCTTGGCAGACATTCAATTCAGGGACTACAAATTATCGATGGTTAAAAATCTTCCCCCAAAGGTGTTCACAGCTTTCCACAAACATAATCAGCCACACCATTAAATGCGGTGTAAATCAAGAATGTATAGTGCAAAGCAAAACCTACCCAATATTTCAGAGCAAAAAGACTAAGAAGAACAATGAATAGTGACTATTAAATGAATGTGAAATTTATTATGTCCATGTGCTAAACGCTTTCTATTTCCTCACCAATGCATTTTGTTCTGAAGTGCTAATTTATATCAAGGACTAAGTGCATTGAAATAAAACATATTAAGCTCAATTCATCGAATTTATTTACTCTAAAAGTTTAAATTTTGCTTTATTCCAGATATTGACGAATGTGCCAGTAACCCTTGCCAGAACGGAGGGATGTGTAATGACTTGGTCAACAGGTATACTTGTGATTGCGTACCAGGATATACCGGGGTACTCTGTCAAATAGGTAAGCCGTTTAGATCACAAAGGTGATCATTATGTGAATGTAAGGATTAAGCAAATCAATATTATAGTGAGATGTCTATATAGTAACTATAATTCATTTAATTGTTATGCACAGATGTTTATGAATAAATTACTTACATCAGAAATAGTGACAAATGCTAATGAATGTTATTTTATGCGAGCATTCATCTCGTTCTTAGATTAGATCAAATTCTAGACATACTACCCCGACGTGTTTTTTAAAAGATGATATCAAACTTCCACATTTTTGTCGCCAACCTTAGCTGATTATACTTACCGGCATCCATTATCAGATGCCTATTTCTTATTGAGTTCTTGTTTGGTCACAAACCCGTAATGATCGTTCAAAATTATTATGTTTTTCCAGAAATCAACGAGTGTGCTTCTGCTCCGTGTATAAATGGTCTGTGCAGTGATGTCATCAATGCCTACACGTGCACATGTCAACCTGGATGGGCTGGCACAAACTGTGACATCAGTAAGTAAAAAGAGAAGAGACTTCATTTTCTCAGTGTTTTTATTTCGTTTTTTCCTGTTTTCTTTGAATTTGCTTTACACAAAATGATGATAAAGGGTCCTCTAATACCATGAAGTAGTAGTAAAAAACGGGCCCTTTCTGTTCATGGAATGGAGACAGTTGGGCTATCACTATGATATACGTACGAAGTTAAATGATCAGATTTACTTGATATACATGAGTAAAACATATTTCATAGCATGGACGGCTCATGCTAATATCAAAGCATGTACATAACTTCAGGGGCAGATCCAGGATTCTACAAAGGGGATAATGTACACTTTATTTAAAAAATCTCAGACAAGCAACAACAACAAAACAGGCTTTATTTCATTGGGGGGGGGGGGGGGGGGGTAGATCATGAATCTGAAAGGGAATAGGTACAAGGACAAAAAAGGGCATATGTATTAATTGAGATATGCCAGTTTGGGTTTAAAAGAGATGTTAGTCTGTCATAAATATGCAACTTCATGAGATTTATGCATTTGAAAAAGCTATTAAGAATTAGGAGTGGTGATTTCATTACTTTAAATGATATCATTATTATGAAATCATATCACATTAATGTTTGTTTTTTCACAAATAAATTACAGATATCAACGAATGTGCTAGCGGACCCTGTAGAAATGGAGCGACATGTAATGACTTCGTCAACTTCTACACATGCGATTGTGCGCCAGGGTGGACTGGAACACACTGTGAAAACGGTATGCAAAATTAACTTTATGTCCATAATACTTATAAACTATTATTACTTAGTTTGACTGAAAATTATAAACTGAACATAGCAACCAGCACTACACGTTGAAGAATGACATGAAGCAGACACATAGTACATGGAATAGCCGCTTAGTCTTTCAAATTCTTGAGCTTTTCTAAATAAATCACACCCATTTCCAATACTTGTATTATTATGTTTATGTACTATTAAAGGCATTTTTTCACAATTTTTGTGGCGGATCCTAAATATCATCATAACCTAAATTAATCGAATTACAATCCATTCTTTAATGATTCAGTTTAAGGCGAAAGCCTTCTAACAATCAAATGTCATATTTTTCAGGCCTTCCAACTTTCGAATTTGTCAATAGTCCGCGATTAACACTCATATTAAGCCAAAAATGAAACCGTTTCAATTGCAGATATAAAAATCATTTATACATTTATTATGCATGAATACAAATCACAAGTTGTATGATGATACTCCTGTTATTTCCACAGATGTCGACGAGTGCGCCAGCTTCCCGTGCCTGAATGGCGCAATATGCAGTAACCAAGAGAACCAGTTCGTGTGCACCTGCGTGCTCGGCTGGACTGGAATCAACTGCCAGATTGATATCGACGAGTGCGCCAGTGATCCCTGTCAAAATGGAGCTTTGTGTTCGGATCTTATCAATAGATACGAGTGCCAGTGCCTGCCTGGTTGGACGGGCGTCAATTGTAACATTGGTAAGCTTAAGCCTAAACTTGGAGGTTTTCGATTTTTTTTAAGGTATTATAATTACTGTTCAAATCAAGCTGGAATTGAATTAAGTTCGTATATTTGAATATTATCTTGGAAATCCTTTCCATCTATCTTTTGTACTGACAGTGAATCATTATCCCTTGTCTTCCTCCTTTTAATATAGTTTTGTATAGTACCTGAAGTACTTCCCGCAACAAATCATTTAATCATTGCTACTTTATTTTCCGTTTCTCCTTCTCCAGATATTACAAACGAGTTTAATCAAATGTGTATCTTATAATATGCAGTATTTCGTGATGTGAATTCTAACTGATATTGTATTCGAGTTAACCGTGCTAACTGGAGAGCATTCATTGTCATCAATACTAAGTTGTATGAAGAGTATAAGCATGTACAATTCAGGCTATGACTGCCATTTATGTCTTTAATGAACCTTGATTGAATCGAATTGAATTGAAGAGTAGAATAATTGTTTTATCCGCAGAAATTGACGAATGTTCAAGTGGACCCTGTCAGAACGGGGCAGTGTGTAACGATCAACTCAATTCATTCACTTGTGTCTGTGCACCCGGATACACGGGAACATTTTGTACAGAAGGTAAGATAATTCTACGCTTTTTAATAATTCAGTGGTCTTTAATTCTTTTTGTCTTCTCGGACCCACCCTTCTCCCCAAAGGCAGTTCTTTGTCAGTTCCTTTAAGGACAGATTAAAATTTAATTAGACGATTTGATTGTAAATTGTTTATTATTCATATTTGTTAAATTTGATTCATTACTGACCCATGCATAACCCCAGACCCTCATTAATAATGAACAAGTCACGTTTCACACGGGGAAGCATGACCCCCTATTAGAAATCGTGGTTTTATGGCAATTTACCTAAGTATTTCAATTACTATCAATTTTCTTTAGAAGATAAAAGAAGATAATAAAATCATATGTTTTGGTTTCTTGTCGGATATTGTTAGGTTAATGATGACATAAGAGAATTATGAATTTATCATCCCTTTCACCCCAGACATAAATGAATGCAGTTCCAACCCCTGTCAGAATGGTGGATTATGCAACGATCTCCTCAACAGATACACTTGCGTCTGTATACCAGGATACACAGGAGTTAATTGTCAAATAGGTAATAAAACTGATGATATCAAGAAAGTGTCTAGACAAGGAATGAGAGGTGCAACACAAATGGCAGGTGATAGAGTTGCATGGTGTGCTCTCGTGAAGACCACAGCAGCGCTTTACAGCGCCACCTGAAGTTGATAATGATGATTTGAAGGAATTCATACTCTTAGTGGCGTTCCCTCTGTATCGTTTAAGGCAGAAGAAAGTTTGAGGGCTCATGATAACAAATTTAATCTTTTCTGTATGAGTCCAGGGGTTCAAAGAAATTATGTTCATGGGCCAAAAGCAATCTTCTATTCATAATAAATGTTGATTTGTTTTCTTCAGTGTTCAGTTTATGTTTGTTGCAAAGAAGTACGGACTAAACAGACGGTAGTAAATGTAGTAATATAAACGTTTTCTGTATTACGTGTTTATTTTCTCAGTTTACTTATAATTAACATGATCGTGCTTATATTCAATTAAATTATTCAGTCTATAATTTATATGAAATAGGCTCTAGGTAGCTGAAAAATTTCATCAGGATGGTTTGGATTATAAGAAAAAATATTATTTATCTGATTGACAGTGTCGGTTTCTGAGTCCAGACATCTTCCCTAGACGTAAACTTGCAGACTACAGCAGATTGAAAACCAAACTGCATCCATGGGAAAACTGGCAGCTAGCTTTATGCTACGGTCACAAAGGTTCGTACGAAGGATTATTTCGTACGAATCTCCCTGTTTTTCCATTGTCTTCCAGAATTTCCATTGTCTGAAAATCGTTCGTACGGCGTTCGTAGCAGTTCGTAATGGCATTTGTGACCGAGGCTTAAGTCTGTCAGTACACGTCTGAGAGAGATATTTGAACTTAGACACCAATACTGTCATATAGGTAAAGGATATTTAGATGTGTCATATGATCTTTCGATAGCCTCAAGGTATCTTTAAAATCATAAATTTTGAGTCTAAATGTATATCTCATAAATTTGCTGACATTAAAACAAAACTTTGTCGTTTTTCTTTGAAAGATATTGATGAATGTGCAAGCAGACCCTGTCAGAATCAAGGTCAATGCCTTGATTTGATCGATGCCTATGTCTGCTCCTGTGTCAGTGGATGGGCAGGAATTCACTGTGAAACAAGTAAGTTCAACAACGCAAAATAAACTAGCTATACACAAATTTACATCATGTAGCATTAGCATTACCTCGTGGAGGTGTCGCAGTATAGTGTACTTGACTTTCAATCTTTTAGACGGCTGATGGTTCGAATTCCTGTTCTAACATTCTATGACAAGACATTAATCCACTTATACCACACTCCTCCAATGTGTAAATGTGTACCTAGCCATTGTAGGGGTAAAAATAACTGCATGGGCCTAACATCATAGATGCTGATGAGGCTTTCGTGAGTAACACAATAAATTATTATCACTATTACTGCTGTATATCCTTTTGTATCGGCGTACATATTCGGCCGAATTGAGAAAGCTAAAGAAGGTTTCACGAAAGCAGGTGCCCTGTTTAGGCATCTGTAATTATTTTTTACGGTATGACATGAAATAATTGCTAGTTTTATACATTCCATCAAGTCAAGGTATGAAATCGAAATACTGGATGGATTTTAGTATTTTAATGCCTGTTTTAGGATAGGATGATTGGCCTACAGAAGTTTCATGCATACATTTCAAAATGTGAATTATGGCAAGTAGGATTCATTACTGCTATGATCATCTAAGCGCTCATTAATTAAACAACATGCATATCTATAAGTCATGTGCCTTCATGTATTATAGCCGAACCTAACCTTACATAATCTTTTCACGACAAGGTTTTACATTTTGATTCTCGCTTAGGTTCACGAGTCTTTTCAGAGTTAAATTCTCATTCGATACGCCTTATCATATTCACATTTTTATCGGAGCATTGTATGATATTCAAATGATTAATAAAGGCTCGTAGCTCTATATTATGAGGGTTTCAGGGTTCGATACTTCTCGTTGCTTCCTTTTTTGATAAAGCGTTTTACCCACATCAATTCATATTGACCCAGGTGTAGAAACTGAGCACCTATAAATGCCGGGGGTTAATATAATTTCAGAGCCATTCAGAGAGAACGGTAGTACCTCTTACTTTGGGTAAATAAAACCATATTTATACAACTCTATGATATATATATTTCTGTTCGTATAGACATTGATGAATGCGCAAGTGCCCCTTGTCGCAATGGAGGCAGTTGCGAGGACATGGTTAACGGGTATACATGTACTTGCGCACCAGGCTGGACTGGAATTCACTGCAGTGTTGATATCAACGAGTGTACGAGCAACCCATGTCTTAATGGGATCTGCAGTAATGCTAACAACAAGTACTTCTGTACTTGTAACCCTGGGTGGACTGGCGTTAACTGCGAAACAGGTATGTGTTCTAGCCAGACTTGCACCTGTCTTGATGTATATATATATACATATCTATATTTATATTCATATTTCATTGCTTGGACAAACTTGTATTTAACATTTTGTTAAGTCCGGTAGTATTTTTGAGTTATTGAAAGTGTAGAATATAGAATTCTTCCCATTTCTGATGACTGTTCTTAAAAGGAAATTGAATCGTAACTTTGAAAAAACGTAAACATATACATATATTCTTAATTTTGTTTGCCATTTAAAATCAGGTGTAACGCTTTTATGCTTCCGTCACACAGCTTTTCGGTGCTCGTTCTGAAACTGAAGCGACAAAGGATAAATCACTCTTTTAATCCATTATAGATGAAGATACTGAAGGTTCACAAAAGCATTAAGCGGTTCGTCACCTGATCTATTTCATCTTTTATAATGAACTATTTCTTAACAGATATCGACGAGTGTGCTAGTTTTCCATGTGGAAACGGTGGCATATGTGACGACGGAATTAATGGCTACATATGTACCTGCGGACCGGGATGGACAGGGACCAACTGCTTCGTTGGTAAGCTCAACTTTATTTTGCTGCATGCTTTTTGATAACCAATCCTTTCGATATTTTAAAAGTATGTACATGTAGGTCTTGTGTGTTTCTGTTATTCATGAAGATCACTAAATAGATAGCAATTTGCAATGTTTTTCCGATATTACATGAAGACAATGGGAAATTCCTAAATTCTTGATTATATTATCCTTTTCAGCGACCGTTTTATTGCCACACATGAAGTCTTTCTTTTTCACAACAAATACAGATTGTTGTCTTTATAGTTTTACTATTTTTGGTGGGTTTCTGCTATAATAAAAACCATGTTTGAATTGAAATGAAATGAATTGAATGAAAAGGGGTCAGTTTTAACTAGCCTTTTCATACTTTTATGATCCCGGCGGCACTTTATTTACGACTATAATTTTCATCGATTTTTTTTTACAATGAAAATAAATTCTTTAATTTGATTTGATCTAATTAGAATAATACATATTGTAGGAGGTATATCAAACATGTCTTTTCTTTTATTGTATATAATATGAGTGAAAATGGAGGCCTAAATTATTGCTTCATTTTATTATTTTCATCCACCCTCTAATATAGATATTGATGAATGCGTGTCCAACCCTTGTTTGAATGGAGCAACTTGTAACAACCTACAGAACAGATACACATGTTCTTGTGCCGGCGGCTTCACGGGAAACAGCTGCGAAACAAGTAAGTACAGTACACTCATTGTGGGTTTATACATTCATCACCAATTTCTACTTCTTATCAATGGCGTTAGTGTATGAATTTTACACTCGATAAACTAATTTTCTCTCTTACAAAATATGCGGAATGAAATATATTTTTAAAGGGACGCGTACCTTCTTGAAACACTCTCACTTTATGTGACCGATAATTCATGTAAATGATAGACCATTTCCTGCTAGCTATCTGTCCTCTTTTTGTGTTATTCTTTTCTTCTAATTCTATATTTATCTACATCAGATATGAAGCATTTGTTTTTAGAAATAAGCTACTTGCACTGTATCACACTTCCATAGATAATTGTGGAAGTATAAAAAGCCTGTCTTTTAGTTGTTCTTTTGAAAATAATAATACATATTCACAAAAAATTTAACGATAACAATATGATATGGAGTAAAGCTGCTACATTCTACGTGTACCTAGAATTTAAATTAGCACTGCTATAGTAATTCATGTTGTACCTGCAAGTTGTGTAAATGTCATCTAAATATTTTCCTCTAGATATCAACGAATGTACATCTGCTCCCTGTTTGAATGGCGGGGTATGTTTGGATGGTATCAATCAATACACCTGTGACTGCGATGCAGGCTGGAATGGAATTAACTGCGAAATAGGTAAGATAACAACACAAGCGGTGAAATTTCATCTGTGAAACTTTTCTTGAGAGCCGGATAATGTTTGTTTGAGTAACATGGAGATCTAAAACTTGACTCATAATAACAAGGAATGAATAAATAAATTTGAAATTATTAAAGGAAGTTATTAATTGAATGTATTAATGACGTAGATAGTGAAAGTGACCATGGAGGATTTACGTTAAACCTTACCTTCTATCTAGCCATGTCAGCAAACTCAAATTTTATGTAAAAAAATCACCCTATAAAACACGGTTAAATATGAAATTAGGAATTGGGGATTCGAATTTATAAATGATTGTGTAATCATAACATGTATTAAAATCGGCAAACCATGATTATACGATGCCTTTTTTTATCATCATCTACTGTTTTCTTATCAATACCATTCTCCACAAACCTATATTTTCTAAATTTTTAGTTCTTCCTTCTTTGTCGATGCAATTTATCAATGCCTTATCATATCGAATCTTTTATCTGCAGAAATCAACGAGTGTTCCAGTCGTCCTTGCCAGAATGGAGGGACCTGTGTTGATGGGACAAACAGCTTCACCTGTGATTGTGCCTCAGGCTGGACGGGTACCCTCTGCGAATTAGGTAAAATCTATTTTATCATTAAACACTATAACTATTAGTAAACACTACCATTACAAGTAGACACTGCCATTATTAGTTTATACTATCACTTCTTGTATATACTTTCACTACGTTTTAACACTATCATAGTGTATTTTTTTTCTTTGCCTCATCGGAGGATTTATTGATTATATATACATGGTTACATTCAAAGATGCAATACTACAAATCAAATTTACATAATCGCAAAAACATTATTATTGTCATAACAAAGAATTGAAATTAAGTTTTGCTTTGCAAAGCAATTGAATCTTAATTAACATACAAATTATACTGATAGTTTTGATTCCCTTTCTTTTGTTTTTCTGTTTTTTGTTTTTGTTTTTTGTTTTTTGTTTTTTTCTTTTCTTTTCTTAAATAACATAGTATATTTGTAGTATAATGAATAAGACCAAGAGAAATGATGGTCAATGGAGCAAAGTCAGATGAATTTCAACTTTTGATCAATATCAGATGAATCGATTTTAGTAATACCACGGGCTGATGCTCGATCGAGACACAAGATGTGGAGGAAGGGAATGTCATCAGGGCACGAAAGTCGGTAATCCCTCGTAAGGGGGAAATGCTGACTTTAATAAATGATGATGATGATGGTGATGATGATGATAAAAAGCTTACTATCCTCCAGGTCTATACTTTTGATAGTAACACACGTAGGTTTTGTTATTAATACTTACAAATCAGCCCATGACATAAATATTTAATTAATTGTTATGGATAAAGAACATGGGACTCAGTTTTGCTGGTATTTCTAGCCAATTGACTTATGTATTTCAAAATTGTCCAATAGTGACAAAGTAACCCAAATGACCTTGTATACATTTTGGATCTGCCAGCAAGGTTGATACATCAAATTAGTTCGATATGTATCTTTATTAACATACAATTTATGTTTTCGAAATAGATATTGATGAATGTGGCAGCGGTCCCTGTCAGAACGGTGGAGTATGCACCCAAGGCATTGATTACTATGTTTGTACATGCCAGCCTGGATGGAATGGATACAACTGTGAAACTGGTAAGACCAACCTTTACGCATCAATTCATTCAAGACTTCTAAAGCTCTATCCTAAATAGAGTAGTGCTTTTGAATACAAAAAGATGATTCTTTCTTTTTGGTTCTCTAGATTGTCAGAAATCGCGCTGTTGTATTTATTGTATTTTTGCAAAGCTTTTAACATTCTCAGCGCTTAATGCAAAGGGGAAAATATTATCTTTAAATTCTAATTACAATAAGCTGAAGCGTTTTTATGAATTTGAGCGGGTTCTTTCTTGTAAACATAAGTTTGTTTTATAAATAAATAAGTGGACACATGTACAACTGCTGTAAACATGTTTGCTTCTAGTGATGTGTCACAACAAGCAAGCATTTGTTCATATTTCCCGGTGAAATTGAGTAACACCTTCGCTTAGTGATCCGTTTTCATGTTTTCTTTTTTAAAGACCGACAAGAGTGCAACAGTGATCCTTGCCAAAACGGTGGGACGTGCTTCGATGGTGTGGATGGCTACTCCTGCCAGTGTGTGACCGGATTTACCGGGACCCATTGTGAGACAGGTCTGTATCATATAGGGCTGTAACGAAATCTCGTGAAATCGAATTATGCATCTGTAAACTATAAACTATAAAGTAAAAATTTTCACCAAGGTTTACCACTTTGTTTAATATAGAAATGCAACTGTTGAATCGAATTGAATTAATTTTTGTTATTATTAAAATTCCATCTTAGCTAACGACCGATCTTTTGCGAGGTAAAATATATAATATATATATATACAATCATGCATTGTCTATATTATATTGCGAGATTTTCTGTTAATGCTGTCACCAACAGGCAAAATCACCAATACAAAAATTTCTTTTCCCGTTTTGTTAAACATTATGAATAATCAAGCATAATTAAAATGTGACCGTTAAGTTGATTAATGGATTATATTACCCATGACATAGATATCAACGAGTGCGCAAGTAACCCGTGTATGAATGGAGCGACGTGCCTCAACGAGGTCAACCAATACAGCTGTCGGTGTGCACCAGGTTACGAAGGAAATAACTGCCAGTTTGGTAAGTACACCATATGATTTGCAGTGTTATGTCATGAATGAGGGATATGCCATCGTTCATATCAAACTAATACCAGTTTACCTGTTTATGAAATTAACAATCCCCCTGTTTGACGTAAATATTAATAGTTTAGTCATTTGCAAACGTGTCGACTCTAAAATAATTAACTCAACAGTGAAATATTTGTTTGTTTTCAAAGAAATTGATAAGACACATACCGACATACACAATGTTCATCAAGCTTTTTTCAACAGAGATCCTTCTTCTGTATTTTGAAAATCGGTAATAGCCATTATTTGTCAACAATTGATAATTCATTATGCATCAAGTTGTACTAATGATTGAAGTAAAAAATAAAATGAGGTTTCTTAACCCTTTCCACTTCAGATACCAACGAATGTGCGAGTAATCCTTGTCTTAATGGAGCTACATGCAATGATCGGGTTAATCTCTTCACGTGTACATGTCAACCTGGATACACCGGCGTCCGTTGTGAACAAGGTTAAAACTTATATTCATATTTTTCAATACGAAAAAAAAAGGCTTACTCTTTCTAAATCGTTAAACAAAGATAAAATGAATTCCTGATGCGAATGAGCTGAAATAAACTCTTTGCAAATTTCTTCACGACTTTAATTCCTTAGCCTTCCATATAAAGAGTCACGGCCTTCACTAGGGTTGTGCAAGATCGTAATTTCGAGGAACAACCCTACACACAGGCCTATAAAATATTTCCTTTTTTATTTTCCAGCACCTCTGATTTTTCAGGCTAGGAGGATCGATATAATGTCTGAATGAGGGGGTGTGTCTGCTGACTCTTACTAAATCTAATCTAATCTTACTAAGGCTTACTCTTTCTAAATCGTTAAACAAAGATAAAATGAATTCCTGATGCGAATGAGCTGAAATAAACTCTTTGCAAATTTCTTCACGACTTTAATTCCTTAGCCTTCCATATAAAGAGTCACGGCCTTCACTAGGGTTGTGCAAGATCGTAATTTCGAGGAACAACCCTACACACAGGCCTATAAAATATTTCCTTTTTTATTTTCCAGCACCTCTGATTTTTCAGGCTAGGAGGATCGATATAATGTCTGAATGAGGGGGTGTGTCTGCTGACTTTTCATACAAGCAACAAAAAACAAAAAAATAATAAGAAAGATAGCAAGAAAGAATAAGAATAAGAAAGGGTCATCTGGATTTCCCGACGTATCAGGACAATTACCCCCCGGATAACCACCCCATGGCCAATTTCAAAGGGACAATTACCCCCCTGGAAAATTGTTCTCTGGGGTGTTCCTTTGGTAATTGGCCGACAGCCTAGAAAATATTGATGAGGGGGGTGTATCACATCCCTACCCTTTAGCGATGCTCCTGCTTCTTTCACTCATTCGTATTCTTAGTGCCAGGAGTGGCATAGAAGGTTTTATATTCCCTTTTTGGGGGTGAGGGCTTGAATGTTTTGTTCTATACGTGCCGTGAAATATGGAGGTTGGTACAGTTGTGATTCAATGCATGAATGATTGTTGATTCCCTACAGACATCCCTGAATGTAACAGCGGACCTTGCCAGAACGGGGCAAACTGCGTGGACCTCGTCAATGATTTCACTTGTGTCTGTGTAGCTGGCTTCACTGGCCTGCGCTGTGAATTCGGTAAGATTAGCATATATAGTTATTAGCTTACATGTCAAAGGAAAACAAATCCATGTAATATGACCTACACTAAAGCCGTCGGATTATATCTTTTTTTTCAATTTAGAAGAAAATCCAATAACATATATTGTATGTCGTTGCAAATCTTGTCAGAACATGATCCATAGTTAAAAGCCTAAATATCTTAAAAATTGAATACTTTAACAGATTTTACGAGGCTTCTTCATTTCATATATGTTATATCGGAATGATGCGTGTGAATTAAGTTGAACCAAACAAATCCAAGCATGCTGTGAAATGAATATTTTGGAGCGGTGTGATATGCAAGCAAATACGAAAAGACTCCCTTTTGTTTTGATTCCATTTGAAAACACAAACACTTTGTTCTTTTCTCTAAAGCATTTTACTTCGATCAGATAATGTTATATTTATTAATCTGTAATATGTATTATCTTTCACGTTTTGCTTGTCCATCGCATAGCGCATACTATTTGTTTATTATGGCCCATTTAAATATTGTATCAATATTATCATACGGCAATTTCCAAAACAGTAGGTCTATTATTTTGGTTATTTCCTGTTTGCAGAGATCGACGAATGTGCCAGCTCACCTTGTTTGAACGGAGGAGCTTGCAACAACGGTATCAACCAATACACGTGTGACTGTCGCTCTGGATTTGAAGGAACCAATTGTGAAACAGGTACAATCATTCAACGTTTAAATTTAACCCCATGCTAGGTTGAATCTTTTGTTCGATATCTGGTTTAAAGAAGGTAGCGTTTAATGTAGGCTCTCCTTTGTTAAACGTAATCTTAGACCGTGGTTGGACTTAAATGAATGAAAAAGCATTACATAGAATACATGTCGCTGTGTCTACTATATCATGTACCCAGGTGTAGGTTTTATAATCTGATTTTTAAATCTTTTTGCATATAAATATGAACATTTTATAAACCTTTTGCAGTCTAATGGATTCCCTCATTGAAGTGTAAGTTGGGCATGACCGAAATGAATTGTAATTGTGTCATGTGTGTGGAGATGTCGTTGGATAGTGGTTTATTACTTTGACCCTCATTCCTAGGGTTAAGGATTCGAATCTCAACTCGGCACTGATGTCCTTTGGCAAGACATTATTATTCATATGCCACTGTCCACTCCAGTGTACATTGTGCAAATGGGAACCTGTCGATTACAGGGGTGGGGTAATAATAACTGCAAGGCCCTCGAGAAGAACAGCACTGATGCTTATATAGCTTCCTTGGGTAAACAAAATTACTATCATTATTATTCACCGAGGTAACAGTTTCGATTAATGACTATCAATTACAACTTTTACAGCTTTGTAGGCACAAACAAAGTACCACATTGAAGGAATGTTACGGTTATAATGAAACTTTGCTACTATTTTCATCCTTTCAGATATCGACGAATGCGCAAGCGGTCCTTGTCTAAACGGGGGAATTTGTACAGATCAGATTGACCTGTATACCTGTGAATGTGCTAGCGGCTGGACCGGAATCAACTGCCAATTAGGTAAATGATATAAATTGTTCAAACGAAACAGAAATGATTCATCATAACAGAAAGATTTCGTTATTGCATAATAATTCAATTCATTACTATTGTAAGAAAAAACACGAATGTTTCTTTATGGGGAGTTACATGCACATAAATAAATCGCCGTATCACAGCTCAAAACCATAGACTATAGTTTCAAAAGTGTTTATCATGGGATTTGACTGGAAGGATAGTAAAGTTTGGATTGTCAAATTACACCGCCCCTGACAATTTAATGATGCATTAAAACTGAGTTTTCTTCAATGTTGTGATATATTTTTCACTTTCCAGATATCGACGAATGTGCAAGCAACCCTTGTTTGAACGGAGCCCAATGTGTGGATAATGTCGATAATTTTGACTGTGTATGTACTTCTGGATGGGAAGGGACCTTCTGCGAGCTGGGTATGTACCGTTCTTCTTCTTCAAATATTATTAATTTCCAGTTCAATGTAAAGATAATAACATTTGAATATATCCCATTTTCAGGCATATGTATTCATTGATCGTATTGAATATACACGCCCGATCCTTCATAAGGGGAAGAAGAGAATACTGATTTCGGCAGTCAATATTGCTATAGGTCACCAATTAACTTAAATTTGTTACATGGCAAATGCCTAAACCAGGCATTAAATTTAAAATGGAAATGAATCATCTTGTGAATCACAGTGATTTGAAAAATAAAGTTTTGTAGTACGTTTGATACTGGTAATTATACAAAGACAAGAACCTCGATAAAATATCAAACGTCATACAGTATTTGCTGCTGAATGACATTTAATCCTTGTTAATGTTCAACAAAATCTTCTTCCAGGAACAAACGAATGTGGAAGCAATCCTTGCGCCAACGGAGGTCGATGCTTCGATCTGTTTGATTCTTTCACCTGCCAATGTGTGCCCGGATACACGGGAGTCACCTGCGAGACAGACATCAACGAGTGTGGCAGTAACCCGTGTCAAAATGGAGGAATCTGCTCGCAATCTGTTGACTATTACTCATGCGTGTGTCCTGCGGGCTACATGGGGGTAAACTGTGAAACAGGTAGGCTTATTTATTAACAATATCTTAAACATAAGGGGATCAAAGATGTTGTCTTTATGCATTTTACCTATAATATAGTTGTCCAGAAAATACGTCAACATATTAAAACATTTGTAAACATAAAAACACAAAACATGGTTTCATTAGTAGAGCAGCTCTACGAAATGTTTTAAATGGTAATGAGCTAAGTGGCGGATATTAAGGAGCACGAATGGTCAATATCTTTTCGATGTTGCTGCTTGTCAGCTATTTCTTTGGGGTAAATATTACTATTTCCCATTATTTCTCATTTGGTGGGACAACTAGCCCTTCCCCGTAAAGCTAGTGCCCCTTGTAAGTGATGCGTCATTTGCCTGACGTAAGGCTGCGTCAACGACTGGCGCGGCCTTTGATGCGTCATGTTCAAATAATATCACTTATGGAATACAAAATGAACAGTGTAAAAACCTTCTTGGAATCACTGATACATGCACCAATTGTCTTCACGGCTTGATTAGTGCAGGTATAAATAACGCAATTGACATGACTCATGGCATGCAACGGGCGTAGTTCTGATGTAACGGTGCATGGATTTGAATAATTTGTTTGATGGTGAAAAAAGACATTTGCTTGCACATTTGGGATTAATGAAACTCATTCCTACTTTTTTTCTTCTTTTTGTAATCCTTCACTTCCAGATATCAACGAATGCGCCAGCAACCCATGCCGAAACGGTGGAAACTGTGCAGATCTTGTAAATGGGTACGAGTGTACCTGCCAAGTCGGGTGGCTCGGAACTAATTGTGATATAGGTAAGGTCAAAGCATTATACGCCACGTATTTAAATTCATACCTATAGAGTGATGATGCAAAATTAAGATGAATTGCTATCCATTAAATCACACAATAATAATTGATGATAACATAAGGGTAGTAAAAGTTTAGGTACCTCATGCTTAAAGCCCTTAGACAAGGCATTTGCTGTTAATATAAAGTCGTAAACTCTCTTTTTACTAGGGGTTGGTGAAATTATACTCATGTGAAAGGGAATCATCTAATACTATTTTCAGAGTAACAGTTGCTAAGGTAAAGGCAATAATGAAGAGTCATGAATGCTGTACAAGAATACCATAGTTACTGACATTATTAGTACATTACTATTCAGTAATTGCTACTAAACTATATATTTTTTTATCAAGCCTATTGTTAGACAGACACGTAATTTTGTTAATCATAGCTACATCTCAACAGTTGTTAGGTTTGGCTGGTCTCATTCACACGCGATGTATTTAATTTTCACCCCAACAGGTGCAGATGATTGTGCGTTGAGCCCCTGTGTGAATGGTGCCATTTGTCTGGACGGTGACAATGACTTCACTTGCGCATGCCTCGCTGGATTCGAAGGCGATTTGTGTGAAATTGGCAAGTTGCACTTTCTACTTCAATCAATTCAATAATGCTCACCTCTGGTTTTATTTCTCAACGATCACTGGGAAATATTATTTTCAGGCCTGCCATACAGAGAGGATAACGCCTATTTGTATTTCCTTGAAAAAATAAATTCAATATTCAAAGACGTTAGCGACAACGTTAGATTTGAGCTCAATCTTAATCCAGCTACTTAAAAAAGAGGCAACTGAGAGCATGGTTCAATGTGCCTTTTTAAATTTGAATTGTTAAACTCGGTTTTACATCCAACCTACTGTCCGTTTTTATTAGTTGAATACTAGCTATAAGTATTAAACATTACAATTTTCACATACAACTATCTTATTCTTCCAGGTATAAATAGAAATTACACTAACGGCAAATTTTAGTGCAAGAAGATTAATACAGCAAAAAAATAGCCCAGAGCAAACAATTAACATTTTTATTCAACTTTCCCTTTTTTAGACGTTGATGAATGTGCCAGCAATCCATGCCAAACAGATGCGATATGTCTTGATGGAATCAACAGGTACACTTGTACATGCGCTCCTGGATGGACTGGCTACAATTGCGATGAAGGTCAGTATTGCATGTGTTAATGAAAAAGTGACGTAATTGGATCCAGGTTATAAATAGGAAAGATACAAATGTCAGGCCTTAAGTTATTTCTATTTTTACTAATAATTCAGATAGTTAGAAAGATATCCAGACTAGCATCTATATTGTTGTCGTTTATTTTTATGAGAACCGATGTAGCAGGATAATTTTTGTTGGGAAATATACAAATTTCAGGACTTAAGTTATTTCTATTTTTACGAATAATCAAGATGGTTAGAAAGATATCCAGACTAGCATTTAAATTGTTGTCGTTTATTTTTATGAGAACCGATGTAGCAGGATAAAACTGCTACTTCCTCTCAAAGCAATGAATATGCAAGAACTGTACACGTTGAATGTAAAGTACTTCTAGCGTTGCCTAAATGTTATCAAAATTTATGGCGAAGTTTTTTAACATATGAAATTCCGGCTAAATAAGCATTGGGAATTTAATTACAATGAATCGTCATGTTTTTTTCTCCAGATATCAACGAATGTGCTAGTAACCCTTGTATCAATGGAGGAGAATGCAACAACATGCAAAATGCTTTCAGCTGTAATTGTACAGCCGGATGGACTGGCGTCACATGTGAAACAGGTAAGCAATAAAACACGATGAATTACAATTCTCCATTCTCCATTAAACAAACTATGATCAGGATAGGCAAACTTTCCTCTTATCCATGATCATCGTAACGCGCGACTTTTTCTAGAAATGCTTTAGAGTAGGTGATCCTAAATTAAATCTTTATAGAGGGTCACACTTTGATTGATTTGCAAAAAGAAAAGTTAAAATTTTGATCAAATACACAAGCTTTTAGCTTTGCAGATATGTATATATGATTGTGTATTATATCTTGGGATTATTTCTTACAGAAAAATCCTAACCATAATTCTAAACAAAGATAACACAATGTGAAAAACTTTGTGACACACTATGTTGACATTGTCAACTGCATGAAATCTTTAATATTCTATTTGTTCGTCTGCGAAATGGCACCTAGATGTAATGATATTGTATATCTTGTTTCAAGAAGTACTCCAATAGGAATGGCTAATGAACATCATTGTGTTGCTCGTGATTCAACAAGTAAAATACTCCCTATTCTAATCGTAGATGTGAATGAGTGTGCAAGCACGCCCTGCTTCAACTCTGGAATATGCACCAATGGAAGGAACGTCTACACCTGCACTTGTCAGCCCGGATGGTCAGGCACCAACTGTGAAACTAGTATGTTCGAAATTCTATTTACAGATCTAACACTGTTTTCGAATATAGAGCTTATAATTATGAGCTTTCATTGCCTTAGCCTGGATGATCGTTTGATTTGATGATATAATGCACATATTACGCCAATTACTTTTTAAACCTAAAAGGAATATAATTTTGCAGTAATGATGGATTTAGCTAATTCATTGCTTTAACAAAAAGGACTCAAACCATGCTCCCATCTGTGTGACTGAAAGGTTGCCCTCAGAGGTGGCGTTAATTGAGGGCAGATGGGGTGGGGTTGGGGGAGTGCCCCTATGATTAGTCAGTCTTCCCCAAACTTAATGGACGTTTTTAAAGTTTATTGTCGAGGAAGTTTAAGACGTTTTGCTCGACGTCTTTATATAAAAAAATTCGTTTGTATGACAGCAGCTAGAATTAAATTATAATTGACATTTCATCTATATATAAACATATGCTAGCAACATGATTTTTGAAAATATCTTTAATGTATCTTGTTACTCTATTACGCTCTTTCTTCAAACATCAGACATCGATGAATGCCAGAGTGTGCCTTGTCAAAATGGTGGACAATGCATAGACTTCGAGAATAGATACCAGTGTACATGCATGGCCGGTTGGATAGGCATCAATTGCGAAATTGGTAAGATCATATCCTTTTCATAATGCATATTAAACGTTGTTAAACAAACAGTATTAATGTCAATTGTTCATTCCACCTGAGACGTGATTAACTTCATACGACCTACTACACAGGGTAATGAAGGGTAACGCTAATGCTTTGGGTTTTTATTTTGTTAAAAAAAGGTTAGAGTTAAAGTAATAATTTGTTTTTTTGAGCTCATGGGAACTGCAAAATAATGCAACCGTAACAGTACACTAACCTCCTGGATTACAATGTCATTTTGTGTCTAGTCCGACGTGCGTGCCCGCTCACACACTAGCTAACTGTACACGAAATGTACGCACATATACGTTAGGTGAATTCGGAGGGTGAGTGCGCGCACGCAATCAAACATTGTCTGAAATCATTGGAAGAGGCCATTGTCGTAATGTATTCAAATGTATACACGTTCACTCAGCAATGAGCTATTAAATTCACCTTTTATATATTATTGTATTTCAAGAGTTAAAATACGAATTACATACACCAGTATTGCTAAGAAGGACAATTATTTTGGCTCGCCCCATATAGTAACACATAACGTAGGGAAGTTACATTCTGACTTCTGTTATACAATGATTCGTAACAGGTGTATGAAATAATTCGTAATGAGGTACGTACTTCATGAAGACTTTTGTGCAAAATGTGATTACATTACCTAAATGGCGTATTTGGTCTTTACTTTGTTAACCCACACAGGTGTGAATGAGTGTTTCAGCAATCCATGTGTAAACGGGATCTGTGTAGATATGGAGGACGGATTCGAGTGTAGATGTGATCTCGGGTACAATGGCACTCTATGTGAAAACAGTAAGTATTACCCTTATCGCCAGTAAAATGAACAGGACAAATTTAATAGCAGAATTCGACAGTACATCTCTTTAACTGAGATTCCTAACCCGTTTCAGGGCTATGATTACTCGGAAAGGATAACATGGTGTAAGTCCCGATTTTTTTTGCTTGGCATTAATTAGCCCATTTTTATGCTTCAATCATGAGGCAAGAGTCGTAACGTAACGATGATATTTGTCACAGAGCGAATTCTCTTTATGTAAATAATAACGTTAGTTTGTAATAATGATATAATGTAAAACAAATCAGTGTTGGAGATAATTCCAAGCATGGTATGAGTTTTTACGTACTTTAATTGTTAATATTTCTTTTAAATAACATAAGAATTACTTGCAACACGCATTTTAATTAAACGCAGTGATCAACATGCTCGCATGTCTGAAGATGTTGCCTAAATTTTGTTTTCAAATTGGTTCAATTTCTAAAATGGCAAATTTTATTTGCTAACCAGTTGGAAAAGACAACATTGAATTTCATTTTTTTAAATTACAGATATCGACGAGTGTGCCAGTGATCCTTGTGTGAATGATGGCACCTGCGTTGACGGATTGAACAGTTTTACTTGCGTTTGTGTGGAGGGCTGGACAGGCCGCTTGTGCAGTACTGGTAAGTTTGAGGACGGAAGTGAAGTTAATTCGTTGAAGATATCATTCTATTCATTATATAGTTGAGGAAGTCACCGTACATATAGCCACAATCGATGTATTTTAATGTTTCAGACTTAAGATTAAATAGAAAAAAAAACAGGGAGATAAAGCATTCACTTTATTTTCTATGGTTTGAACATGCACTGGTACCTTGTTAAAATTATAAGAACTATTTTTTATTTATTTATTTATTTATTTATTTATTTATTTATTTATTTATTTATTTTATTTATTTATTTATTTATTTATTTATTTATTTATTTATTTTTTTTTTTTTGGGGGGGGGGGGGGGGGAGGTCATTTGATACATTAGCTTAGGATGGGTGTACAACAATTCGGGCAGTTTTTTACGAATATTGAATGTTGAATCTAGTAAACTATCAAAAGTTAGCATTAATTTAATCGTACATAATACAGTGCTGGTGCCATATATACTGTAAACACGTATCATATGACAATGTTCTTGGAATCCTTTGCTCGCTACAGACGTGAACGAGTGTGGAAGCAATCCGTGTCTGAACGGAGCAGTCTGCCTCAACGAATTTGCAAGATTTAGCTGTGTGTGTTTGTTTGGATATACGGGCATCATCTGTGAAACAAGTAAGGTTTTATTTATCTATATCTTCTATCGAAGTATTATTCTTGAACATTCATCTACCAAACGTGGCGTAACATTGGAAGAAAAATAAATAAATTTATAAATGTATTATTTCTTAATTGAAAAAAGGCCAGCCATTTTTAAAGGGTCGCTGACAACATAAGTGTGTGCGTGTGTGTGTGTAGAGGGGTTCTTTTCCTCTTCAATTCCTTCTTTTGTTCTGTTCTGCTTTTTCACTATGTGACTGAGAGAGAACCCCCATATCTACCCCATTGTATATAGGGCATTCGATCATATCGTATATAGTGGGTTTAAGTATAGGGGATGCAAGTTTATACCAAACTAACAAATGGAATGAAAAGAAAGCAATAGTGGATTGGTATTGATAGAGGGGGAACGACATTGTTAGTCATTCATTAAGATGAAAGGGCAAGCTACATATTGTAACCGTATAAACCGTAGCTAATGGTGTCCACATTTGGCCCCAAAATATAAACTGCTGAATTGACATGTATTCCTAAATGTAAAAGTGTTGGACATGAAAGTTATTCATCTCTCCACACAAACTGTATTTTTAAAGGTTCTTGCAATTCTTTCATATATAATTTGGCTGTTGTTCACTGTATTCTGTGAAATTGAATAATACGGAAATTATGTTCATGCTGTCCTCGGAATACTATTTCCATATTTACATTGATGATTCGTCCGAAGCAAAAGCGAATGTTCAAGTACTTTTTACATGACCTTCCAATAATAGATATTGATGAATGTGGCAGTCTCCCCTGCATGAACGGTGGTCTATGCTTCAATGACGGCAATGACGGATACACATGCGAGTGCACACCAGGTTACAACGGAATTCATTGTGAAAATGGTGAGTATCCTCCTTATCTTCTCAAAACGATAATTGATATTTTATCTCCAACCTACAATTATCCTTCTTTTTCAAGTAGTGTACATTCAGTAATTTTTTTTTCCTTTTTCATTGAAATATTTTATTCAATCATTCGTAAACATAAGAAAATGATGTTTTGTTAGATACTAGGGTTACATACCTTTGACATTGGTATATAGAATTCCCAGGAATGTTACAAAGCCTTGTGCGAACTGATATTAATTACCCCAGACCATCCAACCTTAGTGGTGTAGCCAGCAATTGAAGAGTGTGTCATTCTCCCCGGTTTGGAAAGGAATGAAAAAGGAGACTGTACATGGAGAGACCCGCATTGTCGTTCTCCATTGTGTAAGTTGGTTTATCTTTGGGGTCTTTAAACAAGGGGGAGTGGGAGGGGGGAGGGGCTCTCAGCTATCCCAAGAATTCAACTCGTCAGATTCAATTAAAAAGTTAAAAAGGCGGCTTCAAATCATGCTGGTATAATCATATAACAAAACACATATTTGTTTGAATTAAATTTTCATCAGAAATCCTCGAGTGCGCATCTAACCCCTGTCTCAATGGAGCGACCTGTGTGGAGGGCCTCAACTCCATCTCGTGTCTCTGTCAACCCGGTTACGCGGGATTTCTTTGCGGCACCAACATCGACGAATGCGAGAGTTACCCGTGCGAGAACGGAGGTGCTTGTCGTGATGGTGTTAATGGTTTCACGTGCTCCTGTCCAACTGGGTACTCCGGAGACAGATGCGAAATAAGTGAGTATATGTTATTTCATGATCAGTACATGATTTAAGTGATGTGAACTGAAATTGTAGTGATATTAAACCGAAAAGCAATATTTTTGTACAGTGAGAAAATCTGAAATTCGTAATTCACTTGATATGCGATACAATTAGTAAATCATGTAAAAATAGTAGCATTTATTATAACTTCCTAGCCATTTTTTTTTTTGGGGGGGGGGGGGTGTGAAAGACGTCTTTGAAATAAAAAAATTTACTTGGTCAACAGGATTAACAACAAAGCAAGTCCAAATGATTCATGTTTTTTCATGTCAGCTTGTTTGACGTTTGATCATTAAAACAAGGAAAACACGAACCTTGAAATGTTCATCCCCATCTAGTACAGATTCAGTCATGTTAAGACCAAGGCACCTGACAACAAAAATAACGGGGGTGGGAGGGGATGGGTGGAAGGGGATGGGGTGGAAGGAGTTATCAGAGACATTTCGTACTTGTGCCTCTTGCCAAAAGAATCCTTGAATCGCCCCCTTCTCCCTTCCAAATGTGAGTTCTAACCTTTCTTGTTTGACTCTTTTTCTCCCAGACCTTAATGAATGCGCTAGCAACCCATGTGACAACCTAGGAACTTGTGTGAACCGTGTGGAAAGTCATGGATACGATTGTTTCTGTCAACCTGGCTTTACTGGCACCCACTGTGAAATCAGTAAGTAAAACGCTCTCTAAGCTTCTTCTTTTTTATTTCACTCCTTTGGGCATGACGATTGTGAATTATTTATTTCACTTCTCGTGACGGAATGCATTTAAGGCATAATTTATGATGTATTTTTGTTTTGTTTTGCAGAAAGTAATCTTTATCTTCCATGCCTATTATATGAGAGAGGTCCACTCCAAAATGTGTTTGAACAACAGAATAGCCCGTTTTCTCCTATACATTGAAGCATGCTTTATGGATTTTTAAAATATATCAGCATGTTCAGACTACCATTCGTAATACCTATGTCTTTACGATAGTCATGATATTGCACAAAACAATGTAGGAGAGAGTGAGTTGATGATTGTACGTGTTACCTTTATGTCGTCTTGCTGTTTCTCTATTACGCAGATATTGATGAATGTGCCAACCAGCCATGTCTGAACGGTGGTATCTGCAACGATCTCGCCAATGGTTACCGCTGTACTTGCCCCATGGGATGGGCAGGAGATAACTGTGAACAATGTGAGTATTCTAGACATAATTATAAGATAAACGGTATAAATCAATAAATAATGGTGTTTTCTAAAGTTTTACCCAAATTTAGTCCAGCAGGTTCAAGTTTTTGGTTATGCTTCGGTTGATGACATGTATGACTTATGATTATCATTGTTTCTTTTTTGGAACAAATAATGTTTCATATAAATAGAGAATTAAATAATTGGCATACAACATTACTACCTTATTCACCATCGTTATGGTGATTTCTACTTTGAGGTAACCCAAGGAATACTACATGGGTATAACGGCGTAATCACCATTTTAAATTGTTTGTCTATCTCTCCTGATATTTAGCTGTTGGTTGTCGAGTCAACTACACGCTTGCCGTAGGAACGAAGCTTGAGATTCACTCACCGAATTACCCATCCAACTACGGGAACATGGAGAACTGTCGCTGGTTCATTCAGGGGATCAACGGTCGCCAGGTTACAGTCGAGATTAAAGATTACATTACCGAGAACCGGTACGATGAGTTCAGACTAGGAGTCGGATCGAATCCTAACGATGAGGGTTCAAGACGGATGACGCTATCCGGCCCAGGTCCATTTTCAACGAGGACTATGACTCTTCAGGCAAACAATATCTGGACAACTTTCATAACCGACAACGAGAAAACCGAGAGAGGTTTCTCCATTGAGATAACGGATTCAGCGTATGTCGGTTAGTTTTAACGCTAGTATATTTTTAGAGTGTATTTGAATCCTGAATATATAATATGAACATTGAAACGCCAATAACAATGTCAATATGGTGATTTCATGGACACATCATAAATGGTTATGAATTTGGATTTAAAAATTCCGCTTAAAAGAAGCTATCCTAAATGAATGTAAACAGAACATATATTATAGCATTGCAAGGATAGATATGTTGTTTCCACAAAGAAGCGCCATCTTTTTCATGTGAAAAGTACAAATACTTCTCCTTTTTTTAAAAATTTCTTTCAACTCATAGATTATGGAGTCCGAGAATACTCTGTTAAAAACTCTTTTTCTAATACTATCATTTGCAGCTATTACGCCATGTGATGCTGAACCATGTATCAATGGAGGGACTTGTGAAAACGTGGGGAACACACGATTTACGTGTTCCTGTACCAGTCTTTGGACAGGACAGCAATGTGAAGAACCAGCAGGTAGGTAGTCCCAACAACACCCTGTCTTACAAGTAAAAAAGGAAGAAAGAAGTGATAACCTGGTTTTAAATAAATTTATAACTAGAGTTTGATGAATAATTTGTAAATTCTTCATAAGCCTTGATTTTATTGTACCCACATGAAGGGGCTCACTCTTAAATGAGTGACTATAACGATGTAATATTTTTGTAAAATTGAAATCCATATAATTACATATTTCTCAATTGATGACTCCTAAATTGTAAATGAACTAGAACTCATACAGAATGATGTATATTCTTTACAATCTCTTTTTGGTTTGTTATAGAAATGAACAAGTGTGCATTCCATCCTTGCACAAATGGAGCTGAGTGTACAAACATTGGACTAGACTACACATGTACATGTCCAGTTGGATTTACTGGCAAGAATTGTTCAATGGGTGAGTTTGTGACTTTGTGTAAAATCTTATGTAAATGCACAGTAATCTCATGAGTCATGACTGAAACTACCGTAAAAATTTGAGCTGTAATCTGATGGTAAAAACCTTTCTATTCCATTTACGATCCCCCTGTTTTAATGGGAACTCTTCTAATGAAACTCCTTCAAACAAACCGACTTTTCGATCGAAAGAAACGTTTTGCTTTAATGTCGTGCACAAAACAATTTTTAATAAATAGAACCATATCGAAATGTTTTCATGAAGTCATTACCATACAATCGCAAGTATCTTTCTAATTTGGTTCTCATTCATTAATGTTTAGTATTTTTTTAAATTTAATTAAGTTATACGAAAAATATTTCTACTCACACTAAGATCCCCTTCTGAGAAAAAAAAATGTCTTAATAGTACTTTTCCAGGTAAATTCGTTTATATTATGTTCTTACCATATGAACTGATATTTTCAAATTGTCACAAAGTATAATAAATATAGAATCATAATGCCTCAATTCTTTGCTTTTGAACAGAAATCGATGAATGTGCTTCGAATCCCTGCCAGAATGGAGGCACATGTCAAGATCTTATCGGAGCCTACGTGTGTATCTGTGCAAATTGCTTCTCGGGCGTCAACTGTGATCAAGGTACGAGGAACGTCTGCTGTGAATTTATAACACCGTTTATCACAATTTAATAATGATGAAAATAGCTACATTTACATTAGACATAAATCCATCACCGAGGATACTCATGGCGCTTACAAAGTACCATCATCACCTTGGCTTTAGCCGAGCTGCCCAAAGGCGCTCAAAGCATCCAGGAAAAAGATTCCTTGATGCTTCTACTTTCCGATGACTTATTTAGTACACCACGACACCTCTACATCTAGAAACGGACATTCCGCTCCTTGTGTACTCGACACCTACAGTGGCTCTACATGTTACGTTATTGTCTAGACCGTTAGTTCATTAACCCGATAACCCGATAACCCGATGGCACACACCAACCTGTGTGCCATCCACGCCAAGAGGGTTACCATCATGCCCAAAGACATCTTAGGTATAGTCATAAAACAATGTTTCCTTTATATATATATTTTGAATTCATTATTTTAAATCCCTCAAACGAAACATTTCACAGCCCAAGCTCAAATTTGTTTTCAAATATTTCGCCAATGTCACCAATTAAGCCCAAGCACGTTTTTTAAATTTCCCTTTACCTAGCTCCCGTCACTGATTCCTGCATCAAGAATGTCTGTGAGAACAGCGGCGAATGTTCCTTCTATGATGGATACTTCACATGTACATGCCAAGATGGATACTCTGGCGACTACTGTGAGAAAGGTTAATATTAAAGCATCATTCTACCTGCCCTTTATTCGAATAACAAGAGTGAACAATTTAAGAGGGTTAATTTTCCGAGGTTTCGTTTTAACGGGAAATAATTACCATTTTGAGTTATTACAACATCTAATTTCCGGAATTCAGAGAATTCTATTCACGTGAACTATCCTTAACTTATGTTTAGTAGTGAAAACTTGTGACATGGCAGCGGAAAGCCCTTTGTTTATGCAAGTCAAAGGGAGAGCTGAAGATGAAGAGACCCTCCCCCAAACCTCCCCTCTCTCGATCACTCTAATTAATAATACCTCATATTCGTTAACCCAGTAAGACAAAAATGCCTCACTTCTCTTTAAGTGAACCCAATCCAAGCTCTACACATATTTCATGTTGATGGTGGCCTTTCAATAGAATGTAACAACATGACGTTTTTTTCTTTTTAGATTTCGACTTCTGTCGCAATGCGCCATGTCTTAATGGCGGTACATGTACCAGTCTAAATGGAACATTCTCTTGTGACTGCCAAGATAACTACATTGGAATTACCTGTTCGATTCAGGGTAGGTAATTTTCCAGTTCTATCCACCTTTTACACCTATTCCCTTTACAATACTTGCCCGTATCGTTGTATCGTAATCCTTAAAATTGTCTGATTAATATTCTTCGTGTGGAGTTACATGTACATGTATATAAACATCTTTATCAGTTAGCTACTTTCATCTAGAATATCGTAGCAAAAAGAATGACCTGCTTTGGAATACTTGAACATTTGAGAACATGTCTCAATAAATGAATGATTCTGTGTGAGTAGCAGCAGCAGCAGGAGTAGTAGTGATGATGGTAGTAGTATTAGTATTATTATTAGTAGTGGACAAAAGTAGCAGTAATAGTAACTGTGGTGGTGGTGACAGTATTAGTAGTGGTGGTAGTAGCAGAAATAGTTGTAGACGAGCGAAGTAGTAATTCAAAAATACAACAATAGTAATGTTGGCCTTTTTGTTTGCATCCTTTCCAATGCAGTAACATTGTCCTGTGTACATGCGAACCCGTGTCAAAATGGCGCCCTCTGCACCTACATCGATGAAAGCTATCTATGTTCCTGTCCCTCAGGCATCACGGGTGAATTCTGTGAAACGAGTGAGTAACAAAACAACTAACGGAGTAAGATGGGATAAAACAAAATTTACACAGACTACATATGAATACCTGGTTCCCAACAAGGGTAGACGCAACGCAATTACATATAAAACCTAAACGAGGATGCATTAAGCAGACACTTTTCGTATATATTTATAGAATATACAGTATCAAACCCATGTCACCCTTCATGTACCATCTCTGACGTGAATACAGGAGCATCAAAATTTGTTTTATTAAAACGGATATATGCTTTCTATTTTAAAAAGATCTTGAAACAAGTTTGAATTTCTAATCTGTCTTTGATTCCATTTCATTTTTCAAGTACATATCTACCGGCGTTCCCGCGAATATGGCAACGAATTCATGTTTATTGCAAGGGAATTACAAAAATAATCTCTTTCTTAACACCTCGATTGCTTTCTTCCCACTCCTTTGCAAAATATGCCATTTTGCACAAAATAGATGCACTATTAAATGGACGGAATGACTGCTTTTTTCAACAGAGTGGCTTTGCAAAATATACCCATTTCCTGTCTTGATTTTTCGTTTTTTTACGACGCTAATCTTGAAACCTTCTCTATATCTATCCCATGATAAAACATTGTGGCTCAGGGAAAGTATTTGTGTAGCATATATACAGAGTTGATAGTCGCCTGTTCGAAACTTAACATTTATGAATGTACCGAACCATGCTATTGAACTGTGCAGATGATTTAATTCTGCTTGATGCTCTTTATCACTGTTCTTGTCCAGATATTGATAACTGTGACCCGTATCCTTGTGCGAATAACGGTGTGTGCGAGGACGGTATTGATTTCTTCTCGTGCTACTGTCCCAGCGGCTTTTCAGGAGATTTATGTGAAATAGGTAAGTGGTCATCCGTAAAGCCCACCGCACACATTAAGATTTAACTTCGATCTGATTTTCGAAGAACTTCCAATATTATTTGACATGAACATTCAAACTTCTAAAATCTTAGATATTGATGATCTGAATAGTGATTTGATTAACGAAATATACATTTTTGCTTAAAGTTTGCTTAAAGTTTCCTTAAAGGAGGAAAAGCTAACTCGGCCGAGAACCGTAGTGGTGTCATATCAGTAGTATGATTGTTTACAATCTGAAGTAGATTCGGCTCTTTTCTTGAAAGCTTTAAGTGCACTAAAATTAAGCTTGTTAGTATTCTTATCATTATTTAGAACCCAAATCAGGAAGATGACATTTGATTAGATTTCGTATTTGATATAATTAATATTGATTTGAAAATCGGATCGAAGAAAGATCGAAGGGTGAGTTTAACACATCCTTTTGGTAAAGGATGATTTTTTATAATGCAGCATCTCAATACTCAATTCTAGTACAACTTAATATACTATCGACATTCAGTAATTTTAGATTTTAATATACCACTCTTTTTTTTTTTACAATACACATAACAGTTACTATTGATATTCGTTTTACTATTCCCTGTTCATTCATCCATTATCGATTATTTAAATGCCTAGCACTTACGTCTGTCAATTTACTTCCCAATCTATCAGATATCGATGAATGCGGTAGCAACCCCTGTCAGAATGGAGGGACCTGTCTGAATGGTATCAACAAGTTCTTCTGTCAGTGTCCTGAATCTCTTGATCAGCCTGTCTGTGCTTCTGTTGTAGGTAAGTAGTCATACCCAACCGGCACCTTTTGTTTATAGTGTAGAAATTTCATTCGCTATCTTAAGAAAATAAGTGCCAATACGTTATCTCTCTTATAAATCTATTGTTAAGTTTTAAAAATACTAATATTGATCATCATTGATAAGGTTTGAATATACTGTAACCCATACCTTGAAAAAAAGCTTGAAAAAATGCTTGAATGAACAGATGATTTGTTTTATTATGTTTTGATTGTTTTATACGCAACAATTTTATACTTGGCTTTCTCCCTCGCCTCTCTATTCCTTGTTTCTTTCTTTCCCCTATCCTGCGCATTTCTGTTGTTCTTAATGTATATATAATAATTTCGTTTGTTTGTTTTTGTTTGCCTATTTATCATTGTAATCATATTTCAAATGTATTTTATCAACAATTTGTATTTTTATCTTGTGGATGGACCCCTTTGAAGACCAGCTTTTAGCTGACAAGGGTGATCCGACCTTCCCATATGTGGAAAATAAATAAATAAAAAAAATAAAAAAATAGTGCTCCTAAATTACCCGATATTACAAAAGTTCATTTACAGAATTCTACCTGCGCATGTACTTTGTGATGAATACGGCAGAAATTAGAATAGGAAAATTTACGTAGAATTGCAGAAACATTTAAAAGAAATGTATTCAACTGAATTATTTATAAATTGTCAGTAAACATGCACACATCTTTAATCTATTATTCATTTAAACCATGACCTCCACATGTCTGTGATCCTCGCTACAAATAACAAAGCACGTTTCTATATAAAAAAAATCTGCTCATAGCCATTTCAAGCATATTTAATACAGTAGCGACTTCTTAATGTTAGAATGCAACTTGCAAACTATCCATATAAAAGGGTATTTTTAATGTAAACGTGAACAAATATACATTTACTCAAACTAATACACAGTGTGGTTCCAATACAGTATCATGCCACAATAATGTACAAAATAATAATATTGTGTTTTAGTTTAATTGACTCAATCTTAAACATTTCATACTACATGTACGATGAAATTTATCAAACGTATTATAACTATATTTCCCATTATCTTGTCAATGCATGAAGCACAAGTTGCAAGAAATAACCCTGTCGTCGTATCCTTTCCACTGATTTTCATATATGATAATCAAGATGTTTTCAATCCTTGCAGTAAACCAGGCAGCGCAGTCTGGAGATACCTTTTTGGGTGCGGAGATCAATCTTAACCCATGGTACATCCTCCTCATCGTAGCATTAGCTCTTATCGCCATCTTCTTCCTGCTACTCTTCATTTCATCCGCGGCTTGTAGAAAGAACAAAAGGTAATTTTCTTCCATCAAGCAGTTTTATCAAAATAAAATTTTGTATATTCCCGCGAAAGACAATGAATTTGTATGGGTTTAAAACCTGATCCTCAATCCACCGTGTAATTTTTTTTAAATATCTTTTTTTTGACAATGAATTCATTACATAGCTACTACGATATATTGTCCTGTCAAACATACGTCAAAATTGAGTAGCCAAATATGTAAGATGATAGGCCTTATATTTATTATATTTTATTGTGTTTTAACATTGATACTATAATATTGTGTAATAAATGTTATACACTGTATACTCATCTTTAACAGTGCCCTCTACGATGCTGAGTTGGCGAAGAAGGAGAGAGAACGAGGGGTACCTAATTCTCAGCTACATGACACCCTTCCAATCTTCGATGACGAGCGTCCTCTGTCACGTGATAACGATTACGGTTTCCTCCCCCCGAATGCTGTGGAGTAAGTCTCAATTCCCTTTTCTTTCATTTTTATTAATAGTGTCACATGATCCAAGTATTTATTCAATAAAGGTTATAAGAAAGAAGACGTAACATAAAATACATAAAAGAAGTGATATACTTTAATAATTGCTTTCTTTAAAAGACTTTTATATACAAATAAAATAAAAATAAAACTTGTGTCACATAAATATTCAGGACCCCAGTCTTTAATTGACTTGGCTTGACTTAATGTCTACATGGTCTTTCAGTCTCTAGGTCCTCCACGCAGGAAAGTAATGGAGTATTCTCTCTATCTCTCTCTCTCTCTCTCTCTCTATATATATGAAAACATCAGTCTTACAAAAGTTGAAATGGATGAAATATAGAGTCTTTTGTGACAAATGAACGCCTTGTTTGTCGAAAAAAGCCTGGTGTACTAACATATTCAACTTGAAAGCTCGCCCAACATAGCCAAAAGTAATGTATGCAGACTGGATTCAAAGTATTGTAGTTCATTTATTAATACTTCGTTAATGGAATAACTCGTCACTAGGTCCCCAGGAAAGAAACATCCATACATTTGAAACCGGTCTAATGCATCTGAATCCTACAAATTAGGTGTGTTCGCATAGTGGACTGCTACGTGTGACATCCTTTTGGTGCCTTAAAAGGACGTCACATGTAGCAGTCCACTATGTCTTCGTGCAAATCTAAAAGTCCCCAATGATGTTGATGAACACTAAGGTTGTGCAGCAAATCAATAAGCACCTTATTTCGCAAATTTATAAAAGCAAACTTTTCTATTCGTTTTAGATCGAATGTGCGGGAGGTGAACAGTTACGAGAATCCATGGCCTCAAAGTACGGATGAAATGCAAAAGACTCATCTCTAACTGTACAACAGGGGACATAATATTTAAGAGATTTCCGCTTCCCCGCTTTTTAAGACTTGATATTTCACACCATTTTGTTTATTTGAAGTGTATTCACTGACGTGCACATTTAAAGATAAAGTTAAGTTCTGGTCCTGCGATTGCATTTGTGTATATACTGTGAGCAAATTGATAATAAATAGGCATGGTCATGATTATGATACATAAATGGGACTACACAGAGATGTGGCATTGAAATGTGGTCCACAAACTTTAGCAGTTACTGGATATATTTCGCAAACAAGGGTATTTGAAAAGCAATTCTCTCAGGGGACTCTTGAAAAAAATACTCTTCCCTCGAAATTCTCTCAAACTTTGTAATTGAATCATTATTCACTGTATATCTTATTCAATAATCGTTTGATTCCTTCCTATGCTACATAAGATACCAACTTATATTCAAAAATATTGGTATGAACATCATTGCATGCTTAATTCAAGTCTCAATTCAGTACCAACTTGTTGGAATATCATTTATCTTATCATTTTTTCATTTTATTGTAACATTATTAATCTGCAACCTATAAGTCTTGGAGCCTGTCCCATTTTACCCGTAAGATTTGACTTATAGCAATTACTTTAAGACCGCAGGATTCCTCGCCCAGATGTAAAGTGCGAGTTGGGGAAACAAAACACATTTCTAGAATTGCCCATTGCTTCAAGATGGAGCTATAAAATAATAGGAAATAATATAACATGTAGCAGTATTGTCATTTCTCCTGTTTATGTTGGTGCCATTTCTGGGCAGGGGTCATTTCATTAGGCGATGTCAACATCTACTTGTGCCAACATGATAATCAATTTGAATACAAATCACTAGAAAATAAACGTTGTTACAATTATATTTCTTGTATAGCATCTTCAAATTTGTATTCCAGGATAAATTTACAGAATTCAGGGCATTTTGGTTACTCATCTGAAACATGAAAATAAAAAAGTCAAAAAGTTGTTAATTTACACCTGGCAGTAATTTTTCGACCGTGCTCAATATTTTAAATTAAATTGAAGATTCTGATCGTAGGGCAATTCCCTCGGTACACCTAAGACTACCTCTCCTATCTTATGGAGGGGAAAGGAAGCGTTATCCCGTTATTTGTCCGGGGTGTAATCGTACAAGGTGTACTTGTGTTTATAATCTATGCCTGCATAGGATATTCATCATTATTAATTTCTAAAACCTTGTGAGGTGTTAATTAACCAAGTTTAGATTCAATTCTTTATATATTACTTGAGTAACTGAAATCGGGAAATGTATCCCGCTATGAACGTATTTTCAAGTTTTCTCTTTACCCGACCGTCATAAGTCATATAAACTGATTTCATTAATATATTTTATTTGGCATGAAGAATTGTATTTTTAAAGTAATGATACCATTTTACTATGTAGAAGTTTTCTTTCTTTCTGTAACAATATACATTGTATACTTACCCCTGCATACAATAAAGTGTTCTAATTTCACCGCATTCTCATGTCAGCCTTGTGTTTTTAATATTTTTCAATGGAGTTGATAAATGGAGTTTTAATTATTGAAATAACATTTCCTCTTTGACACAATAGAACTTTCAATTTATGGAGGTTTCTTTCCCTAACCCCCGGTTACCAGCCTTTTCATTCACATGTTATGAACAATGGCGAAACCCGTGGTATAAAACCGGGGGGGGGGGTACCCCTACCCCTTTTTAAGGGTCATTCTGGGGGATTTCTAAATAAAGGCCCATTTTTCAAAAATTTCAATATGTTTGGAAATTTTGAAAAACGGACCCAATAGCGATATTTTTGTGTGAAATAGAGATCAATTAGAGCGGCACATCCACGTTTGTCTTAATATGTGAGTAACCCCTCGGTATAAAGTTTGTAAACTTAAAGATTAATAAATGGTGAGCAGACCATAAATGCATTTATTTTGCTAAACAAAGAAATATGCCAATTGAAACCTGTGATCAAACGTGGTAGCGGAGCATGCAACTTCATGTACATACATTGACTAGAATACATTATCAAATCTGCCTTGACATGGGTAGATATATGCAATTGTGCAAAAGATTTATCAGAGTGTTTGAAATTTCGTTGCAATCGGGAGTTTCATCCGAGTCAAATGTGATTGTAGGTGGCCATCAGTGCAAATTTCAAGAAAACAGTGGAAAAACATAATTTTGGGCAAAAAGTGCAAGGGGTTTAGTTTGCTCAGAACTTTTGATTTTCGGTCAGGAAAGGCTGTCCCTTATTAATATAAAAGACGGCTTTGAATTTCACAGGCAGAAAAACAAAAAATAGGATGTAAATGTATATCACCACAACTCTACATTGTGCTACAAGGAAAATATGACAGATATCAGCCGACTCGACCACATTATGGAAAATCGACAGGTACGATCGCAAAGACTTTCGAGAAATTCACTCAAATGTGATTTAAATGATTAGAGTATAATCTCTAGAAATCATGTTTGGATTATATGTCAGTACTGTTCCCGCATTCCAAAAGGTAATGCAGTGCACAAGGCTACTAAACAAAAGTTTTGTTTTTTTCTCGAAAATTATCTCTGCCTGTAAAACGTTTGTTTTTAAAGCCCTTTTAAATCATAAATATCTTTGCCTAATAAGCGAGTTCGTAATAAGAATTTGCGCATGGGCAGATGAAGGTCATTCGGACCCAAATTGTAAAACCATTGAGACGAATACTCGGATCGTGCTCATGAAAGTTATGTAATCAGTATTCATTTATGCACCAACAGTACATTTATCTGATACACAGGCGGAAGTATTCTTCTCAAGAGGCAAACAAAAGGTATTCATGAAGCACCTCCATCACTTTGACGGTGATTATTCTAAAATTCACAGGTGGGAAGTATCCATCGTGTCTTAAGGCCCGGTCCCACTGCACTTACGGATGCAAAGAGGATGTAAAACGTAAACAAAATCTTGCCATCCGTTGGAAAACGCTATGCATCCGTTGTGTACTCATTGCATACGTGTTTCATACGCTCTATCCATCGAGCATCCGTCCACTGTGATTTCATCCGCGCAAAAAGTTTTGAGCTGCACAAAACTTTTAGAACGGATGAACTTCCGCCGTGTACGATGTAAATCCGCGACAAATACGAGCAACAAACGTTCTATGTCCGTTATCATCCGTTAAACGTCCGCTGTATCCTCTCTGCATCCTCTGGGCATCCTCGCAACTCACATCCGCTGCAGCTGAAAACGGAAAGAGGGAGGAAAGATAAGGTACATGGAACGTCTATACATCGTAAGTAGCACGGAAATAGAAAGGATGTAAGCGTATGCATCTCGTATATAAAGTATTCAAAGCTGTCATCCACTTCCATCCGCTTTCATCCGCTAGGCTTCCGATGAACATCCGTTTAACATCCCCGCTACATACTACCCACGTCCGTTATTTTCCGTTCTGTTTTCGCAAATTTTCGCAAATTTTGTCCATTTCTGGAGCGGATGAAAACGGATGGAGCCACACCCGAAATTTTGCTCGTCCGCTGTGTCCGTTATCAGGGGCGGATCTAGCTTTTTGCTAAGGGGGGGGGGGGGGTTTGACCAAAATAATGACGATGCGGAGCATCGTCGACGAGCCGCGAAGCGGCGAGCCGATTTTTTGGGGGGTGTTTATTTGAACCCCGTAAGTGATGTTTTCCTGGCATCTATTAACACAATGGAGACCATAAAAAGCAGTGCATGATAACGTCTTTTTAAATCAAGTAACAGTTTAATACATAGTTATATCCAGAGTTATCATGTGTTTGGGTTAAGTTACCAGATGAGTTGAATATCTTCTCACAATATTTGCACTTGAAAGGGTTTCTCTCCAGCGTGCGTTCTTTTTTCTTTCTTTTTTTCTTTTTTTTTTCTTTTTTTTTTCCTTTTTTTTTTTTTTTTTTTGGGCCGCCCAAGGGGGGGGGGGGGGGTTGCAACCCCCCCAACCCCCCCTCTAGATCCGCTTCTGCGTTATGCATACGTTTTGTGTCCATCGGCCAGTGGGACCGGGCCATAAGATCTGTGGATATTTTGGGGTCATGCGGTCCAGAGCTTTTTACGAACTCGCTTATTCAAAACGACATAGGAAATTACATACAGGGCTTTGCCGGCTTGTTGCCTATTCAATATGGTCAAAGGTAGGGTAAAATTCGTGTTGAAAGTTCGTGTCCTAAGGCACATAGAAATGCACCGGCAAACCCAGTTATTAAAAAAGGAATGACTGAAAGTTATAACCGTAGCCCAAATGAGTGACTGGCAGTAGAATAAATTCATTTACTAGTGCTATACACATACGTTTCCCTATCTAAATGATAATGTAGACCTGCCCCTTTGGTCTCTTAATGTAACACAACAAGAAACAAATCACGGCAATGTAGACGATGTTCTCCATCAAAAGTCATACTAAAAATATTTGATAAGAAAAAATAATTGCTAATAATGTATCGAACCCTTCAAATGATATAAAGATGATGATTTACATTAGCCCATATGAAGTGTACTGTCACATTGTTGCAGTAAGCTTAAGTGGACATACACAAATACAAAATCAATCAAAGAAAGAGTCATAATTGATATAGTTTGAATTTTTAATTAAGCAAGAAAACTGATATTTCACCAAGTTACATTATGAGTTTACGTAAAGTCAGTTGAAAATTAGAAAATGAATAAAATTTAAATGTTATCAAGAGGGTCAGTCGGTAGAGCAGTGGTCTCGTAATCCGGTGACCCGGGTTCGAAACCCAAGGCGATGCGCTAGTGCCCTTTAGCAAAGCATTAATCCTCATTACCAGGTCCCTCGGAGAGGACCTAAAGCCGTCGGCCGTCTGGTTGCTTACTTACAAGCATTTATGCTTTCTTAGCAGTCAGTTAAAATAACCTCCACCATTCCACTTAATAATACAAGACAGTGATCTACATTTGCCACGCTCCACCCAGGTGTTAAATGGGTACCCGATGGGATGCCAAAGTTAAAGTGGTTGAATTAGCAAGTGGCGCTTGTAACATGGCGACTGGGTGGAATGCTCCTCAGGGAGTGGAAAATGTGCATACATTGTGTTGCGGTAAAATTGAATCCGATGACCGGGGTAATCATTATGTACTGTGCCTAGAAACAAAGTATTCGACGCATTATAATTTTGAGCTATTATTATTATTATATCAAACCGTAAATAACCTTAAGATACTACAAATGAATCCGACTTTGATAATCGATATTAGCTAAAGCGTTAAAAAGTGTTGAATAATATAACCGTATGAGGCCGATGAGTTAAATACAATTTGCTATTATACAGACCATTGTCAATCAATAAATGATGTCAAGGTAACGCGATCACAGCGTTCGAGATCGCAAACTGTTCACTGTGATTGAAGGTCGTTGCCGGAACGTCCCATCACGCTGATCAATATCAGGATCGAAGTCGAAGTCGATGAGGTGATGACGTGGATGAACACCAACCAATGAAGTCAGCGACCAGGAGAGTGTATACATCAGTCGCTGGTAGACTACGGCTGTAATATAATTAACGAGCAGTAATAAAAATGGTACCCTATCAGAGTATTTTGATCCAAAACACTTTACCAAATGTTCTTAAAATTTAAGTACTTTTCACTTTTCTACAACATACGATGTTGACTTAAACATCATTAAAGAGTACATGAAATCAATTTGCTTTTACATATCTAAAAACAAAATTCCTCTCCAGTATCTAAATATTTTCAAGATAAAGCAACCAGACCAACCGCTTGCAATAATATGCAATCACAATAATTGTTACAGCATCTGGATATTTGTAACTAAAAAAAAAGTTTCACTTTTGCATCACTTTTGCACGTCTCATAACTGTGATAAATCCTTCAAAATATCGGCCTTTGTAAACAATACTAATAATATATTTAAAGTATTTTCTGACTTCAGAAATATGTTTGTAAATAAAATTTGGCTATCCGCCATTTAAACTATCCTAAATGGCCGACTTTCAAAATGGCTAACCTCAGCGTCTGCCGAAAGAGTGCGTTTACAAAATTAATAAATATTTTACATATGTTACTTTACTTTACTTTACTTTAACACACGATGTTGTAGGTCTAAGCCTGTTCATCGATCCATGATTCTTCCTTGGTAATTGCGATTTGTGGAGGGAGGAGGTTGTGTAAAACATGAAACAACGGACATTAGAAGTGTCGTATATGTCATTTTTTTCTCAAATGACTAAAATCCAAAATTAATTACTTAAAGACAAATGAGGCAACAACTTATATAATAACATGCTCTACTTTTGGATATTAACAACTAGACCTAAAGGTTTCAATTTGTAATATAGGGCATTAGACAGGATCAACATTTTAAGGAAAATGAGAGATGAGCTTTAAGGTTGAGACTTACAGTTATTCTGAAGATTGAAGATCCTGTTGCCAGACTCCTTATAGTGATCGTGTCCAAAAGACGACCGTCTGCTCGTTCGATCCACTCTCAGAC